ATATTTGATCAAACGTTATCCTGGACGCCGCAAATTAGTGAGCTAAGCAGAAAGATGTTTGCTGCAGTTGGCTCACTCCGAAGATTGCGCAATGTCTTCCCCATCTCTACTAAAGTTGCTCTGGCTCAGTCTCTTTTTCTACCGATCCTTGACTACGCGGACACTTGTTATCCGGATCTATCTGAGGAGCAACTTAATAAACTTGAGCGGCTTCAAAATTACTGCATAAGGTTCATATTTGGGTTGCGAAAGTATGACCACATCTCCGAATTCCGCCATAAGCTCAAGTGGCTCCCGATTCGTCTTCGCAGGAATACTCATATTCTTCATCTTCTTTACTGCATTCTGTTCAATCCCACCATTCCTCATTATTTAAAAGATCAATTTATATATCTAAATGATTTACACTCTTTTTCTCTACGTTCTCAAAATAATTTTCTACTAAGTACTCCTAGTCACTCCTCTTCCTTCTATGCTAATTCTTTTACGGTTTCTGCTATACGTCTTTGGAATTCTCTTCCTTTAGATATTAAACAATCTAAATCTCTTCACATTTTTAAAACTAAATTAAAATGTCATTACCTATCCTCTTAATATACTATCTGTCGTCCATCATATATCTTTTTTTTTTCTGTCTATATGTATATATATATATATTTTGTGTATTTACTTTTCTTATTATTTATTTAGTACACCCTACCGCTTTCTTCTTTTAATGAATCCTCTGCCCTAAGGTTGCCTGGAAGAGATCGCTGTTTTAGCGATAAGACCGCCTGTTGTACCCATGTGTCTTTAGTTATAAATCCTTTATTTCTATTGGTGTATAATAAAGTATATTTTACTTTACTTTACTTTTACTTTAAACATCTAATAACAACATTGATAACTTCTTCGTTTTTGAAGTGCAAAATGTGGGAGTATCTTATACATAATTTGCACTTTTTCACCGACTTCAAAAAAGGAGGAGGTTTCTCAATTCGACCGAAATTTTTTATTCTTTTTTATGTGTGTTCGCGGATAACTTCGTTTATGAACCGATTTTAATGATTCTTTTTTTGTAAGAAAGGAGCTATCTCAAGGGTGGCACGAAAACCCAGATCTGATGATGGCATCCCAAAGATATCGAGGGCAATCCTCAAATGTTATAGGTTTATGTTTTTTTTATTTTAGTTAGCTTCCGGTTTGAAGTCGGTTTTTTTTTTGTTAACAATTATTGATTCGCAATACGTCGTATGACACTGCACTTTGTAATGAAAAACGGGTTCCGTCAGTAACAGTGTTCTGTGCTTCTGATCTGATATTTATAGCATATCTCTCAAACCTCCCAATCGGTCCAAGCACGAAATTTCAGCAGTATTCCCCGATTTACTGCTATACTTATGGTAATTTGATCCCTATTTTTAATTTAAACTGCCTGTTCGTAATGGTATAAATGCGATAACGCTGTATAAAGTGGGGAACAATGTCTAAATATGTACAATAGATACCATCTGTCGTTTTATTCTAAAGCGAAAAAATGTTATACATTATTTTTTATATTCATACAGCACATAAAATAAAACATAAAATTTAACTTTATCATTTTTATAATTAAGTACTAAAATTTTAGCCTATATTTCAAATAAAAGCTTTCATAAATGTACGTCATACTTGTATACAATATATGGACTCAAATTAATTTGTACTGCATTTATTGGTTTTAAAATATTATATCTACACAAACAGTTTACTGCGTTGTTGTAATTGCACAATTACAGCTGGTACACAACTCTCGTAAGCCCGATTTATACTGGCCAAGTGTTTATTCACTAAGCAAAATAGTAAATAAGTACAGTGGTCTAAACCATCGGACAGTAGCGAGTCAACATGATTGTGTTGTAAGCTGCCTTGCAACTATATCCAATAGAATAGCTTCCTATATTTTTTGGTGCAAATGCACCCTTCGCGCCCCCGCTTTATCACCCGCGGGGCACTTGTCTCGTCATTTGCCGTAGAACGTCAAATTAGTACAGTAAACAGTCAAATTAGTCACATAGAGATTGCACGAATTTTTTGACTGCTAGTAGCGACTTCTTATGATAGTTGGCGTATTTTTAACAAAAAAACTTCGTACTATGCTTGGTAGTAATCTTTCCATAGTATAAAAAAGTCGCTCCCGCATTTGGACGCTAGATCTTTTAAAGTACGCAACGGATTTTAATGCAGTTTTCAACAGAATTTTTCAAGTGATTTAAGAGGAAGGTTTGTATTATAATATCATAACTTTAGATTTTAGGTTACTTCCTCTTGATTGTTGATTGACTGACATGTATATTGTAATGGAGAACAGTCGACAAATTCAAAGATTTGTAATGTGATGCAGTAACAAACATATGTTAGTGCCTTTACATTGCAAACGCTGGATAAACCTTACGTGATAGGTCAAATTAATTTACTATGGAATTGTATACCTTAAAAAAATGTTTGCACTATCACATGAAAAAGCTGTAAATATTGTATATAAAGGTATCCTGCAGTATAGACTTAATCATTTTTTTTAAAACATTGCCCTTACATTAGGATAACACTATCCTGTGTGGCAAGGACGTTTTACATCCATAAAATTCACGTGGACAAACACCCAGATGCGAAACAACTATCTGTGGGTCACACAAATAGTTGTCCCGTGTCGGAATCGAACCCACGACCCCGGACGCCGAAGCCACATACTTTGCCACACATTAGTATTTACATTTTAGCAATGCTAAGGCCGGGTAGGGTCGCTAGTTATTAATGATCTAAAAAAAAAATTATTAATTAATTTTCATTTTGTAACTTTTGAAGAATTAACAAGAGTTACATTCAGAAGTTTTATAGGTACCTTTTACTCTGTTCTGGCAAAGTAATAATTTTTCTAGGTGCCGTTATTAATGAAACCATTAATATTTTTATATAGGTGCCGTTTTTCCACAATTTAGAATCATCATTATTCTTCGCATTTGTAGCTAGAAAAGTTTTGTATAATTAAAAAAGCTTTTTTCACTGTGCTTCATCATTTCAATCCACAGTAACATCTTCATGCAAAAGATGTTGAAAACTTCTTATTAAATAAAATGCTTTGATAAGGTACGAAGCAAGCAGACTAAACTTGTTCAACGGGTGATAAAGTGATTATTACCACCAACTTTGGACATTTAAACCTATTAGATTGTATTACCAAGAGTATCGCAGAAGAACTGTGCATTCAGCGATTTTTTTTGGATTGTGACTGGATTATTATAGATGAAAAAGCTTATAACATATTAAAAGATGAATAATTGAGATTGCAACATGAATAAAAAATATGAAATGTATGCTCAAAGTATCGATTTCACTTGTTTCTAATTATGACTACAACTCCAAAACCGAACAGAATTTAAATTTTAGAACCGACTAAGGTATTACTGAATATTGTATTATTATAATACGCAGTTCTGGAACTTGACATTCCTGAATATTCCTCATTTATGCAAGCCTATGGCCCTTATTCAGTAATCATTAAATAAATTAATTCTCCATTGCTTCCAGACAAAAACATTCCTCAAGCATGAAAAACATGCTTTCTGAAATTTTAATCGGCAAGTTTGTTTTAAATTGGATTCCAAAAATCTCAAAGTAACAGTTAGAAAATTATTCAACAGTCTCATAAATAAACTTATACAGTTTTAATACACAATTATTATTGAGCTTTTTTACCAAAGTTCAAATTAGTTTGAAATTACATTTTTTGTGCATTAACTCATCATTTATTTGCTTGCTATAATAGCTTGTATTGGTGCGTAAATTGGAAAAAAAATAAATTCAGAGAAATGTTTACAGGCATGATAAACAGTTGTTTGCAACTTAATACCTCTATCATAAGATATGCTTTTTCCACATTTTTAAGAATTGAATTAATGAGGTAATACTGAATTATTGTTTATAAATCATTCTTTCTTCATATACAAAACAAAATAATTTGTAGTAACAATATTCATTACATCTTTTTAAAATTAATAATATTTAATTGTATAAAGCCTTATATTTAAAATGCAAACAAAAAACCATTTTACTTTTAATCAAACATTAAGCTAACTTCAGACTGGTCACATTATTACCATCTATAAATTATCTATAAGAGAGTAATCTGTCAAAGAGGATTTCATATTAGGCCCATTTCAATTTTCTGTCTATTTTTACTTTTGGTTACTGGAGATAGAATTTTTATGTATTATAGAAAAAAAAAAGTAAAGTAACAGCCTATACATGTCCCACTGCTGGGCAAAGGCCTCCTCTATACAGAGGGTATCAGGGCATAGTCTACCACGCGGCCCCACTGCGGATTGGCGGACTTCACATATTTTCGAAATATATTTTTTTTGGTATTATTTCGAAAATATGCAGGTTTCCTCACGATGTTTTCCTTCACCGCGGAGCACGTGATAAGTCAGCACTTAAAGTTAAAAACTGCTTTGGTGCTGGCACCGGGGATCGAACTCAGGTTGCTAGAGTATATTGAATTAAAGGTGAGCGCCCGGACACTGAGCTATCACGGCTCTTATTACTCAAAGTACTAGTGACCAAATCAACAAATAGAATATTGAATCTGGCCATTAATAATTAAATTAGTTCTATCCTGCAGTTTTTATTAACATGTAAATAATTTCAGAGCAAAAACAAATATAAGAACCATGAAAACATTTTTAGAAACTCAATTCCATTTAAATTGATTTCATAGTTTTATTACATTGTTTAACAAATGTTTTGTCTATTATAAATAAGGCACCTACTTTCATCAATTGAAACTGTAACCATATTAGTATTGTTTCATTTGACTTCTATTTTTTGGGGACTTTTGTATATAATGTAAGTAACAACTTGTATCTTACATAGTTACATAAATATTGTGTTAAATATACCTATATTTTCAACTATATATTCAAGGCATATATATGTACTTATTACAAAAAAATATGAATTATATATGCCCTTGTCAACAATTAATTGTTTTTATTTTGTTCAGCTGTATTTTTCAATGAAGAGACAAATGAAGGTTTTCCATTAGCATCCCAGGTAGTCTTGCATTTCTTAAATGCAAATGCCATATATATTGCTGTAACAAAACATAAATCCAGTTGATAATAATGCAAAAACTTACATAATATAAACATAATTATAAAAACTTACATGCTACTTCCCATTCACAGCTACTCATGGTACCAAGGCGATCATTTTCAGTCTTATCTTTTTTATTTTCCCAATATATCTTCGCATGGTTGTACTCTTTTTCTTCACCAATCAATTCTTTACCTGGTGGTGCTGGATAGCTTTCAAAACACATGATCCTGTTTAATAATTCCTTATAGCTAACAGAATAATCTTTATAAAAATCAGCAAATCCACTTTTGTACACTAATTCAAGGCCATACTCTGCAGCAAGTTTCACAAGTAAATTAAAATTGACTAAAAATTCTGGGCAGTTCACAACTCCTTCTAAATGGAAATCATATTTACCACCAAAAAGAGGATAACCATTCTGAGGGTCAAACAATAATTTTATTTCATATATCCTATTCCCGAACATGTTATTACTTGATTTTCGAGCTCTAGAAACAATTTCAAAAGCATTAGGTATTGTTCCAAAGAAATATCCACCTGGTACCAAACATTCAGATATATTAGTAAGCATTCTCCTTGCCTGATTTAAACTTTCAAAACTGTAATGTAGGCCAAATTGACAACTTACTATATCAAAATTTATTGAAGGATCTCTATATTTCTCTCTAAGGGGATATTTAGTACAATCAACAGCAATGAATTCTGCTGAAAATAAACGACCACATCGTTGTTTCAAGTCTCGATACCGTGCTTCACATTGCTGTACTGAAACCTCAGCTATGTCTGCAAAGACAACATGATTGACCCATGCTTTTTGCCACTTGCTTAAGTCTCCTCCTTTCCCGCAGCAAATATCTAGTACTTTTAGTTGTTTTCCATAATTTTTCTCTCTTATTTTATCAATATACTCACGTATTAAGACACTTTTCACCCAATTGTTAAAGTTTCTTAGATAGAATATAGGAGAATTAAACCTTTCTCTTAACCCCTTCTCCTGAATATTATTATAATGAGCAGCAACTAAACTTGCATGTTCAATATTACTTTCAGCATTCTCATCATTAACCTCTTCATTTTTAACAGCGTTCTCATTTTCGTTTTTTAAACTATTTGCTTCAAAACTATTCATGATAAAATGAATACAGGATCAACTTAAATACGTATATAGACGTATTTTTAGTTGATTCTAACTCTCGTTCCTAGACTTACGATATGTACAGTAAGGCTGTGATTTGTATTCTATTCTGTATTATTAAGTTTAATCCAAATGAAATGAGATATAGAAAACAAATTTTATAACAGCATATCCTTACAACCAAACAAGTCTAATCAAAGTGAAGGAAAAAACTTAAAAGTTAAGAGCTAGACGTTGAACAATTTATAAATTAACAAAATGACACATGACAAGACAACACCAAAACAGACAGTATATTTTTTATGGAAAACTCCAAAGAATTTATTCATATAAAATCTACATAAGATTTTGTAAGCAAAAATTATAATTGGATTAAGATTCACTTCTGTTATTTAATTTTGATTTTATTATGAACCTAAATATAAAGTATTTATTATTTAACGACAAGATGTTTTAAAAATATAGTTAATCTGCTTGCTGCAAACTCGCAATTTCTTAAAAGACCAACTCTATCTTCCATTAGTCTGAAATACCTACAATTAAGAACATTGAACTAACTCACCTGAAGTTGTTCATAACCACGCGTAGCGCATGCGCATTCGTCACATCACGACACTTAGAATTTGCGTTCGCTGGACCGGCCCGGCCTGCGGCCTCATGTAATCTTGAACAAGGGACGTATATACGTAGGCAAAATGAGTGTAGAAAATCCAGCAAGTGATAATGATTGTGAAGCAGTAAGTATCAATATTGATTTAATTTTTAAAGTAGATTCATTTAAAGTATAAAATAGTTCAAAAGAGCATAAGAATTTTCTTGTTTACTGGTGTTCAGTAGTGATTCGAAGCGAAAATTTTCTAAGTCCCAATATGGCGTCAACGACAATTGAATAGTTTTGTTGAAGCGTCGGTCGGAGGGTAGAATTTTTTAATACCATTCTTTATGAAATACTCATCTACATTTAAAACATGTACCATTTTTAAAATAAGCTTTAAAATTTTAATAAAAGTTTTTTTAAGCATTAAGACCTAAAATTTTTTTTTTTAATAGGGAAAGGTAAACGGCAATAAAACTGAACACGTGAACGGCGTCCACAACGGCTACAGCAGTTCTGAAAAGCATAAAAGTAGTCACAAGTCTTCTAGCAAAGACAAGCACCGCGACAAAGATCGTGACCATAAAAGCTCATCCAAACACAGCAGTAGCTCAAGCAGGTTAAAAATCCAGAATCTTCTATTACTTTCTACCTTAATTTGTTGTATTTTAGTTACTAATTCATTCAGTCTCATTATTTATTAGGGATAAGGACAAACATTCAAGTAGTAAAAATCATAGCAGCTCACACAAATCGTCCAGTAAAGACAAGGATCGCGGAGATCATAAAGATCGCAGTGAAAAGAGTAAAGAACGTACGGATAAAGACAGGGAACGTCATGATAAAGATAGACACCGTAGTGACAAAGAAAAAAGTAGGAGTGATCGAGAAAGAAGTGATCGTGAAAAGCATAAGAATGTTAGCAGTGATGCAGAAAAGAAGTCATCAAAGGACAAGGAAAGAGATAAAGAACACAAGAGCTCTTCTTCATCAAAAGATAAAGAATATAAATCCAAGGATCGGGACAGGGAACAAGAGAAAGACCACCACAGGAGTGACAAGCATCGTAGTGATAAACACTCCAGTTCAAAAGATAAACACAGGTTGCTTTTATTTTTACTTTTACCATTTTACTTCCTTGAATAAACACTATCTTTTTATTTAATTTAAAGTTATATTTCTAGCTCCAAGCATAAAGAGAAGAACTGTGAACAGCTGGACAAAATAAAAACAGAATCAATGTATCAAGAGTCTCTAATTAAAAATGAACCTTTGCAGGTAGATTACTTTCTTTGTACATTTGTTCTATTTCATAAAATATAACAGTAACATGTTTTTTTTTCTCTATTTACATATAAAAATTTTATTAATAAATGTTTTTAGATTCATGAACGTGAAATGAAAAGGGAAATAAAAGAAGAAAGCGAAGATGGATTTACTGGGGCAAATACAACTGCTTCATCTTGTGACTACTCATTATCACAGTTTAAAGATGAACCTCTTTCAGAACTACCGATGGAAGAGAGTGAGGAAGATACTCCATTGGTACATGTTTTTACATTACTATTACTAGAAACCATTAATATTCTTCTAAATACAATAATATATTCTATAAATCCATAAATATAGGCATATAAAACATTATTTATTTTCAGTTAGAGCGGATGGCAGCAAAAAAACGTGCAGCCAGTGAGAGTGAGGAAGATACTCCATTACTTCAACGTAAGAAATCAAAGAAAAAAGTGAAAAGGGGTTTGTATTAGAATTACATTACATAATTTGCAAAACAATGAGATGCAATATTACAGGGAATTAACCCCACCTTTTCTGAATAAAATAGCCTGTTTTGTTTTATTACCATTAATGTTACGAAAAATATTAGTATAAAGAAAATTTACATTTAATATCATCATATCAACCTGTTCACTGCTGAACAAATTGTATCTTGTATACTATATTTTATATTAATATATTTTCACAGAAACAAATTATGATGATGATATGGAAGATGATGAAATTCCAAAAAAAAAGAAAAAGAAGCCTGAAAAACCTAAATCTACTAAGGTAAAATCTGAACCAGATGATGGCCCCAGTCCAACTAAACGCAAGAAAAAACAGGATGAGGAACAAGAAGTTTGGAAATGGTAAGAAAATATGATTTTTCTTAACTGTAAATGTTAACTATTTTTCAATAACACAATAATATATAATTAGTTGTAACTAATTTATAACTTCCGTATTTATAGGAATTTCTATATGAGAATTATTTAAGAATGTAAATTATTACTACATTTTAGGAAATCAAAAAAGGGCGTCTAAATTACATAATTTATGAATCGAATAAAATGAATAATACTAAAGCATGTCATTCTATAATTATCTAGATTCATGACCTTAATTATTCTAAAAAAAGATTATGTTATAGCAATAGAGGGACCACAGATTATATGAATATATTTTAGAGCTATAGCATCGTACTAGTACAGCATTGCCTCACAAGATGGCGCTAGAACCATTGAATCAATGTGACAATGGTTTAGGTTATGTTTTACACCAAAATGTTTGTCAATTTGTGTTTGAAGTTATATAGTAAAAGATCAGCTGTCTGCCTTACATCTCAAAACATTTTAATCATTAAAGAATTTAGGATTTTTAAAAATATCAAGTACTCTCATTTTATTTCATGAAATTTTGAAAGGTGAATTATGAAAAACTAATTTGAGTTTTGTGTTTTTAATAGGTGGGAAGAAGAGAAAAAAGATGATGGAACGAAGTGGAATTTCCTTGAACATAAGGGACCCCTATTTGCACCAGATTATGAGCCTTTGCCAGAAAATGTTAAATTTCGTTATGATGGTAAAATTATGAAATTATCTCAAGATGCTGAAGAAGTTGCTGGATTTTATGCACGAATGTTGGATCATGACTATACTACTAAGCCTACCTTTAATACCAACTTTTTTGCTGACTGGCGTAAAGTTATGACTCATGAAGAAGCTAAATTAATTAAAGATCTTACTAAATGTGATTTTAAAGAAATGAGTGCTTATTTTGCTAGTGTAGCAGAAAAAAATAGAAATCGCACTAAAGAAGAAAAAGCTGCTCTTAAAGCCAAAAATGAAGAAATTCAAAAAGAATATGGTTTTTGTGTCATAGATGGGCATAAAGAGAAAATTGGAAACTTTAGAATAGAGCCACCAGGCTTATTTAGAGGAAGAGGTGAACACCCCAAAATGGGAATGTTGAAAAGACGTGTTATGCCTGAAGATGTCCTGATAAATTGTTCAAAAGACAGTAAAATACCTAAACCTCCACCTGGGCACAAATGGAAAGAAGTTAGGCATGACAATACTGTCACCTGGTTAGCGTCTTGGACAGAAAATGTCCAAGGTCAAGCAAAATACGTAATGTTAAATCCTAGCTCCAAGTTAAAAGGTGAAAAAGATTGGCAGAAGTATGAAACGGCTAGAAAGCTCCATAAATGTATAGATAAAATAAGGGACACATATAGGAGTGACTGGAAGGCAAAGGAGATGCGTGTGCGACAGCGGGCAGTGGCTTTGTATTTCATTGATAGGCTAGCATTAAGAGCTGGTAATGAAAAAGATGATGATCAGGCTGATACCGTAGGTTGTTGTTCTTTAAGAGTGGAACATATTCAATTACACAAAGAAAAAGATGGTAAAGAATATGTTGTAGTATTTGATTTTCTTGGTAAGGATTCTATTAGATACTATAATGAAGTACCAGTAGAAAAAAGAGTATTTAAGAATCTCGAGTTATTTATGGAAAACAAAAAAGACAGTGATGATTTATTTGATAGACTAAATACGCAGACTCTTAATGAGCATTTGAAGGATCTGATGCCAGGTTTGACTGCTAAGGTCTTTCGTACTTACAATGCATCAATTACTTTACAAAGGCAATTGGATGAACTGACTGACCCTGATGCCTCTGTACCTGAAAAAATTTTAGCCTACAATAGAGCAAATCGAGCAGTGGCAGTACTTTGTAACCATCAGCGTGCTGTGCCTAAAGGTAAAACAACTAGTTTAATTTGGTTATAACTAAATGTAACTTTAAATTGCTGTGTGCTGTGTGTGTATTTTGAATTTATTGCCATTTGCATTTTTTATAATTTTTTTATTTATTTATGGTTATACCTCTTTATAATACCAAACACACATGTTCTTGAATTTCAACTTTTTTGTCATTTTAGGTCATTCTAAATCAATGGAGGCTCTTAAAGAAAAGATACAAGCAAAGCGAGACCAAGTAGATGAGGCAGAAGAGGACTTGAGAGAAGCAACAAAAGCAGCAAAACGAGGTTCAGTCAAAGAAAAAATTGCTTGTGACAAAAAGAAAAAGGCTTTAGAACGATTGAAAGAGCAATTGAAAAAATTGGAACTCCAGGAAACTGATCGCGATGAAAACAAAACAATAGCCTTGGGAACCTCCAAACTTAACTATCTTGATCCTCGCATTTCAGTAGCTTGGTAATTTAATTTTCATTATCTTATTCAGAATTGTTTATATAAGAATAATTTTGTTTATTATTTAATTACAAAAATTATTACAGGTGCAAGAAACATGGTGTTCCCATTGAAAAAATTTACAACAAGACTCAGCGTGATAAATTCCGTTGGGCAATTGATATGGCCGGTCCGGAGTATGTGTTCTAAACAATTTTTTAGCATTAGCTATTCTTTATATATTTTGTTAAATCTGCAGACGTTCCACTTTATACAAATTTTTATGTTTTTACATAAAACTTATTTATTATTTTATGAACTTTTGACCAGGTTAAATATTTCATGTATGTTTGTGCTACTAGGTTATATAGGCAAAATTTGGACACAAATTGAACAGCATTACTGTAATTTCTAATGTTCCTTTCGTGATTAGGATTCAAGTTAGAAGTCTGATTCTAATTAAATTTTTACTGTATTAGTTTTTTGAATTTGCTTGTAGTTTAGTTAAGTTAGTTTTACCATGTAGAATAAGTCTGTGCAAGAGTGCAATCTTTTGTTAACAATCTTTCACCAATATCATGTACTTCAAACTCTACCGTGTATCACTACACTGTGTATCAGCATAGAAATAGTAGTTTCCATGCATATTTGACATAAGAAAAGTTAACTGTATTTTTACTAATGTAACAAATGGTTAATGCAGTGAAATATGTACTTGTATGTAAGTTAAGAACATCATTGCGAAAAAATTGTATATAATAGTCAAACTTTTCATTCCTTTTATATTATTTGACTCCATCTTTTAGCACATGCTTGATAAGAAAAAAAAGGAAAAAATTTATTTTGTGTATGTAAGATAACCATCTCCTGATGTCATGTAATGTCGGTAGACACTGTAAGATGACTTCTTGAATAATTGTGCACAATGTGCAAATAGTAAATGTTGTAAAGTAAAAATAATGTTATTTTATTTTTTATATTCTTAGGATTTAAATTTATGGCGAAAGCACTCAAATGAAAAGGTACAATGTTATAGGTAAATTTGTAATGTTAATGTGTGAAGTGTTGTAAATAGTAAATTTTTACCATGTCATAAAATTGTGAAATGAGATTATCCCAAATAAAACATTGAAACTAGGATTATTTCATTTTTGACTTCAGAATAGTGTTGCACAACCATCGATAGATGACCTCGAAAACTATTCAGGATATCGATTGTACTACCGATAATTTCGTCAATACTGTCGATACTACCGATAGTATCGATGGCTCTCCAAGTGCCAATACTGCGATAGTATCGATAATATTGCAATTTCCATTAGTTTTTGACAAAACCTATCGATAGCCTCGATAGGTTTGTACTGTCAATCGCCAGTAAAAGGCTATTGATAGTACAAAATCATCGATTAGTTTTTGGTAAACACTAATAGTTTTTGCAATACTATCTCATGCATTACTATCGATACCATCGCTGTTATCAATAGTATGGACATGAGAGCCATCGATGCTATCGGTAGTATTGACACGTGACAATACTATCGATAGATTATCGATACTATTGCTTTTACCTTAACTATTGATAGATAATCGATTGTCTATCGATAGCAGCTATCGATAAGCAACATTACATTCAGAACTTTGCAAGAATATAAAACTCAATACAAATGTATTTATTGTAATAGTAATTATAATAAACCTAGTCAAACATGCTTCTAAGGGATCAAACAATTTCTCAAGATAATTTGCGCATGATAATGTGCAAACATTAAAAGCACTCGGTGCTTACAAATGTGAAAATAAATATTTACTTGAGTAGCATTGTAGTTCCTATTTGTAAGGATATAAATTATTCCTTGTCATTTATTCATTGTTCCACATTTTATTTGTACCCTTCAATTAACAGACAGCGACAACCAAAAGTTCTATCAAAAACCATGTATATGAATGTGTACAAAACATACATACAATAACTTTGAGAAGAAAATTAACAGGTCTCATAAAAATTTCAACACCTGCAAGGGTCTTCAAGGGACAAACTTTAATGTATCATCAACATCAGCAGCCACAAGACGTCCACTGGTGAACATAGGCCTCCCCCTTAGAACGCCACAACGAACGACACGGCCATTTGCATCCACCGGTTGCACGCGACTCTTGTGATGACTGTTATCTATTATCTTATGTATAATATTACAATTTTAATATATTTTGATCTAATATAAAATTCAGTTATTGTAATTGTTCTGGCATTAAAGTAGGTATGTATGGTTTTAGTTTTAATGAATAATCCTTAATACTTAATTCATTAATAAGAAACAATAATTTTCATTATCATATATTAATCATTGTTAAAAAAATTTATGTTTTTCATACCATCTGGCATATAATCCAAGCCAGACTCATCTTTGTGCAAAAGATTGTAGCCCTTTGCGTAACCTAAAAACATAAGAAAAATAAATCTTAAGTATTTTTTAATAATTGAATAAGTTAAGTTTGCGTTTCACCGATGCCTGAGACTAGAGGCAATGGAAAAGAAAATCTGATGCATTATGTAAGCAGTTAGGTGAAATTGTTCCTATCACGTAGGTATCATGGTATTGCGCTACAAATTCTATACACGTAGTGGTTATATTCTCTTTGATTCTATGTATGCATTCTTGGCATCTACACTGTTTCAATTGTAATGGCGCGAAGACAATGTAAGTTCGAACAATTATTATTGTTGATTCTACTCCTCAACGGAGTCGCACTCTGTGTTTTCAAATCATATATAAATTATACTGTAGGTACTAGGATATAATTTGATGTTGGAAGGCATATTAAGAACAACCGTTGACCAAACACTGTTTCATTTTCGTGGGATTAGATGGCAAACTACTATTGCATAGACAACCAGAACACCCTTGGGTTATATTGACTTTAAATCGTGGGTCTCGATTACCTCACTTTTTACAGATGAAATTCAAAAATTATACTCTCAATATATGGTGAGGCACTTCTCGTAGAAAATTCTGAACAAGCTGTCCATCCATGCAATTTTCATCTGCACGTAGGTAAAAATTGTATGACCTTCCTATAATTGTAGCCAGTTTTGATGTACTACATGTAGTGAAGCATAAAGCGTAAACATATTATTTTTATTTATAATTTGATTTGTTGTTATGCTTAAAATATTATTTTAACAAAAAGGTTTTACCCATATCTTTCATTAGTTTCGTTGGCGCATTTCGTAAATGTAACGGTACAGAGGGAAGAGGTCCCTTTGCCTCTTTCAAAAACGCTTGGCATTTCTTCATTGCATCATACACTTCTCGGCTTTTAGGAGCCCTAGCGAGGCTAACTGCACATTGCACCAACAATATGTCACACTCTGGCATCCCAATGTGTTGACATCCATGTAAACAAGCCACAGCTTCAACGACAGCGTTTTGTTCGCCTAGACCTGTTGATTTCTTTCATTAGTTGTAAAGATGATGAGAAATAAGATAAGTAAATCGCCTTTTGGAGTGATAAGATAATAAAAATGTGAACTTTACATCACATATTTTCATGGTTAATTAGCAAGCCGTGATAGTTCATTGTCCGGGCGCTCGCTTTTAATTCAATATACGCGGGCTACTTAAGTTCGATCCCCGGTGCCGGCACCAATGAAATTAAGTGCGCAGTTATAATGAGTTCAGCAGTGAAGGAAAGCATCGTGAGGAACCTACATATTTGCACTGTAATGAGACATAATATTATAGGATGTTATTATACCTTATGTTTAATAAGGTTGGGATCCAATCGTCGTGAGTACGATTCCGAAGTTGACAGTTACTATCTGTACTGATAATAGCACTGAAAAACGTTTTAAATCAGGCTTCTTTTGGTTTCAGTCCGAACATAAAGCTTCCTCGGTCGCAGAACCAGTGGTAAATAGGGGTTTCCATGAATTTGACAGGACTTAAACCAGTAGTCACGCTTGTGGTCATGCGTTCATTAAAAAATAAGGGGTTGTTGACTAAGTGCAATCGGAATCCGGTGGACTGTAAGCTCGACAGCCGTCGACTTAATCGATGGCGGAATTAGGTGATATGCGTCCAAAACGCCGGGTGTAACTTGCTTATGCAATGTCTCACCGTGCACTTCGCCAAAGACATTCGGTACTACAGTTCTTATAACAGCCTACATCTATACACATAAATAAAATTGGAGTGTCTGTTTGTAATATTAAAATAACCGCTTTTTACTAAATGCATATGGATGTATACACGGTACATATATCAAAATAACATTGTTCACAATTTTTGTTTGTCTGTCTGTTTGTTCCAGCAAATCTCTAAAACGGCTGGACTGATTTGGACGGGACTTTCTCTGCCAGATAGCTGATGTAATAAGGAGTAACTTAAGCTACTTTTATTTTAGATTTTTTTTTACTTTAAATTCCATGCGGACGAAGTCGCGGGCAAAGCTAGTAGTAAATATAGTTAGTTTACAAGTTAACGCAAAATATGTAATATGAATGTCGGACCAACAGTCCATCAATCCGCTTTTCATATACATAAGTATGTAAGAGGAAGAGAAAAAAATCCGGAAGTGGTTTATACTATGTATGAAAATATTATTACCGACGTCTTCACATGCAATACGAACCAGCCGCCGTGCTATGTAAAGAGGATCCTCGCCACTATGCAGTGCACGTGTAGTCCAGTAAAGGGCCGCATTGTCGTCACTTGCCCTAATTGATTTGTGTATTGCCGATATTATGTTATAGTGTTCTTCACCACTACGGTCGTAAAGCACGTGCGATCGCTGAAAATGGCAAACATTTGTTTTTAAAGCCGCTCGCGGTGACCTAATAATGACCTTTATGCGTCTAATTTACCTTTATACCGTTTTGTAGGTCACTCAAAGTAACAACAGGTACGGATTGAGCTTTTGCGGCAGTTAGCGCTAATTCAAGACATCCTAGCGCAATACGAGCGTCGCCATCGCATACTTCTGCTAACCACTGAAGTGAACTATTCTCAATAATAGCTACATTTCTATAATTAAAAAAAATATATCAATTGACCTTCTTATATGTGTGTGTGTGTGTGTAATTTTTAAACAAGTTACCTACTGGGGTGCCCTATTTCCATCTATTGTGTCAATGTCTTCAAGTGTATTAACAATGGTAGCTAACTTATTACGCACCAGTGTCCTTTTCAATATTTCTACTATATCTTTAACAGTTAATTTTGACATAACAACAACCCTACACCTGCTTAAGAGAGCATTATTTAAACTAAAGGAAGGATTTTCTGTTGTTGCACCAATTAAAATTATCGTACCATCTTCGACATGTGCAAGAAAACTGTCTTGTTGTAGTTTATTGAACCTGAAAAAATAATTTTAAGATTATTTTTTTTTATTTTCAGTGCTTTCACATATGAGAATAGATAGTTGTCGAGATTTTGGCGCCGTGAGAGCATCGGCCAACATTTTATGTACACATTTTTGAGTTTCCTCTAAGTGCAAAGGTATAGCATTAAAAATTAAATTCAATAACAAAGGCGAAATCTGTAGTTCGAGTCTAACAGTGGAGAAAAATTTTATCTACACAATTTCAAGTTTACATTGTAAGTTTAAAGATAAGCACAAAAATTTCAAAGGAAATGTTTGTTAAATTGTTATATAAATATTAGTATAAACAATAGACTAACTTTTTAAGACAATGTGGATGAAGATAGGGCTATCTTTTAGTTGTATTAAAATTCTTAAGTTTAAGGAGTTACATCTTTGTTTTAAGGTAGAGCCATGTCATTTTAACACACCAGTCATTGGGAGACACAGATGTCAATACTAAGCATTAAGGCTTTACCCATGCTCAGCTTATTGAAACTAGCTAAGCTGGCAAACATTATTTTGCCATATAAATTAATTGTAGGGTAGAAAAAATATTTAGGGGTGGACCACCCTTAACATTTAGGGTGGTAAATAGGTTGAGAAGTTTCGGAGAAGTTCAATTAGAAACACAGTGGCACAAGAATTTAATATATTAGAAAATGTGGCCTTATCCCTCCTAAACATATTTTCTGCAACCTTTAGAAAATTAAAATAAACCATGATCAAATCTGTAACTAAGTTTTATTAAAAGTTGTAATATTTGTGTAAATAAGAAAATTTAATGAAATATTCTGAGATAAACACTAATGAACTAATTCATTTCCCTAAATAATTTTCTATAAAATATAAAAGTCTTTCTACCTGCTATGGTTTTTTGTACCACAAAGGAGAAAAATCAATACCTATGTATTTCATCCATAAAAAGAACTGTCTGCCTTTTGTATTGTACTTCATTTTTGGCAACTTTAACAACTTCCTTTATATCATTTACTCCAGCCATAGTTGCAGATAGTTTGACAAACCTTAGATTATTGCTTTCTTTGCATATATGGGATATAACATTTGCTACTGAAGTCTGAAAAAATTAATATCACACATAAAAAATATTAAAAGGATTGTTTACTTTTCCTGATTTGCTAAGTAACAATTTAAATTTTATTTTATTTATATATTAATGCTTATTACTAGCCTATTTTATACCTTTCCACAACCAGGTGGACCCCACAAAATCATGTTTGGAATCTTCTTCTGTTCCAACATAAAATGTAACAAAGAATTAGTTCCAAATGCATCAGGTTGACCAACTATATCATCTAATTTGTGTGGTCTCATTTGCTCTGCTAAAGGTATGCCTTCACGAAACTTAGCACAATGAGAGTTTAGGCTACTAGAAGTCTGCTGAGGATCAGTACTAATTTCCCGCTATGGAATAAAATATAATAAGACATACATAACAATGTAAATATTGTCAATTAAATAAAAGAAAAAATAAATTTACTTTGCTCTCTAAGGTAGGGTTTGTGACAGCATCTACTTTAAATCTTTTTCCTGTTGAGAAACTATATTTTAAATGAGAGCTATCTCTCTTTATTTTTTTCCCTGTTACTGTATTGAGAAACAAACACTTATTAACATGATCTTCAATAATTTCTTTTTCAAACTCCCGATTACATACTGGACAAGGAACAAACACTTGATTGTGACATGAAACATTATTTGGATTTTTGGAGTTTTCGTTTCTTAAGTTTAGCTTTTCAATATTAGTTTTTTGAAAAGACATTATGAAAATTAATTCTCGTATATGTTATCATAAACGTAATTTTAGTAACAATTAGCATTATTAAAATTATCATTATACTTTAAATTCTCCGGATCTGTGCTTCGGATTTCTCCATACCTACACAAAGAGAATATAACCAGGAACCACCAATAACAACCTACGTCCATACAAACAATTCGATTGAATTCATCGCAAGAACATTAATTATACCACCATAGCCTTTTTTTAATCAAAGCAAATAGCAGACACAACAGAACTTCTTTCTATCTAATGTAACTTCGTACGCTCAGCCTCTTCTAATCATAGACCAAGATACTGTTAATGCTGTTAATGTTATAATATATATATATATATTATACTCAATACTGCTTGCTTCTAGAGCTTGACCAAATGGTGACGTTATAAGTTTCCATATCGAGTTTATCAAGTCGATGGTTTCAAAAAGTAATTTGTACTGACGATAATTAATAATTATTATGCGTAGTCTATTTGTGATTACGTGACTTTTTTATTTTACATTCCAAAATTGGAAACTCGTGTCTCGCATGTATATTATATATGTAAGCCTGCATTTCTTTAGTTAAAATACTTATTAGAAGTAATAATAATATAAGTAATAATTATCCCCTCCTTTAAGGTTTCCCCGTGGACTTGAGTTACGTGAAAAATGGATACGCATAATAAACAGACCCCAATGGACTCCATATAAAAATTCAACAGTCTGCAGCAAACATTTTGAAGACAAATGTTTCATTCAAAGAAAGTGCCGACGTGTATTAATGAAAGATTCAATACCTACTTTATTTGTACCTGTAAGTATACTTAGAAAATTTATTTATTAATGCCTTATTAATCTATCTATTATATTCATTTCGTTTAGTAGGTACATGAGTGAGGTAAAATATGTTTACATTTATTGCAGATCAAACTGAAGCCTAGAAGATTGGCGTCATCATATGTCAATAGAGACATTACTGTTCCATCTGGAGAACTAGAACCGTATGCACACACAACTGCTGGTCATTCTTCAACCCTATTACTTACACCACGAAAAAAGAAACTTATGGAAAAAAAATACGCGTTTAAGAAGAAAAATATTAGAAAAGAATAGGGTTTTAAGAAATTTAAAAGCAAAAACTAAAAGGATGACGAAACGGATTTTAACTTTGAAGGAAGTTATTGAAAATTTAAACAACAGGCCAGGGCTCGAAAATCACCGAAATGAGGTTCAATTAGCGTGCGGTAACAATCTACTGCAAAAATTGGTAGACAGGGTGAACGGAAGAGCAACGCAACAAATCAGTCACACGGCCGACTACGACGAAGAAGTCAAAAAATTGGCTTTAACGGTCCATTTTTACAGTCCAAGGAGTTACAGTTACTTGAGGGATAAATTCGACTTATGTTTACCACATGTAAGTACACTCCGAAAGTGGTATTCGCGTCTAAATTGCGAGCCCGGGTTTACAAAAGAATCACTGAATACTTTGTCAGAGTTATCCAAACAAGGACCGCTTTTTGTGGCGCTGACTTTTGACGAAATTAAAATAAGAGAAGAGGCCGAAATAATAGGCAAAAAACATTATGGCTACGTTAACGTAGGGAATGATTTATGTGGCGACGAAGTAGAAATCGCAAAAGAAATACTTGTGTTTATGGTTGTTGCTGTTAATGGGTATTGGAAGTTACCTATTGGTTTCTTTCCTGCTAAAAGTTTTACAGCTTCAGAAAAAGCTAGATTATTAAAAATAAGCTTAGATTTATTAAAAGATGCAAATTGTAATGTTATTGCAATAACTTTTGACGGAATTGCATCTAATTTAAATATGGTGCAATATCTTGGCGCATCTGTTACGACGCCACCTTATAAACCATATTTTTTTTATCATAACAGAAAATATATTATTTTGTTTGATCCATGCCATCTAATTAAGTTAATTAGAAATTATTTTGGGGATCACAAAGTATTTTATGATAATATGGGGCGCAAAATTGAATTTAAGTTTGTACAACAGCTACACATTTTACAAAAAAATGAAGGCTTACATCTTGCAAATAAATTATCTGCACGACATATTAATTTCAGGACCCAAAAAATGAAAGTCCGTCTAGCTGCACAATTGTTAAGTAGGTCAGTAGCTATTGCTATAGATGTGTGCGAAAATGATCTTCACATTTCTGAATTTGAGAATTCTGCCGCAACGGTACAGTTTCTTCATAATGTCAACAACAATTTTGACATATTTAACTCGAGGAATTTAAATAACTTAGGTCTCAAAAAGCCGCTTTGTTCGAGTAACAAAGCAGAAATTTTTCAGAATCTTGATGAATTATATGAGTATTTTCAAAATCTCAGATGTGAAGACGGTAGATTTTTGATAAGTACCCCGAAACGTTTAGGGTTCTTAGGATTTGTAAATAACATAATTGCACTAAAATGGATCTATGTTAATTACGTAGAGAAGAAAGATAATCTTAAATTTCTTCCAACGTACAAATTGTCACAGGACCATTTAGAAATGTTTTTTAGCGCAATTAGGTCAAAAGGAGGTTTCAATAACAATCCTAGCGTGAAAAATTTTATATCAGCTTACAAAAGGTTGATCTGCCACACTGAAATAAAAATAAGTGAAAGTGCTAATTGCTTGGAGTTGGAAAATTGCAGTATTTTCTACGAGCACCATGTCGTCTATAGATAAAATTAATACTTCGTCGAACTATAACACAATTTTCAACGAATTGTTACATAGTAATTTTTCCTCAGAAAATGAAGAAAATGATTTAGACGACGTAGATGTTCTTGTAGATAATACTACTTCTTTGTCCCAAATATCTATGATGATCGTTGCCTAGATTTCGGGTAACATTATAAAAAGAATAAATAAAAAAATCAAGTGCGATGTCTGTGTACAAAGTTGTATGTCAAGTTCATCGAAAATTTTTCATAACTCATTAATTATCAAAAGAGATTATTCGAAAAAAAATGACGGCTATCTCACATACCCATCTAATGATGTTATCAAGTTATGTTGTAGTGCTGAACGTTATTTTAGAGAAAATATGAAGAGGAAAAGAATGGACGAAACCATTTTCGCCAAAAACGTATTGAACGTTATACATAATAACCAACACTTGTTTAATGATTTAAAATGTCATGCTTTTGATCAAGACCCGTTGGATAATCATATATATTTGATTATGAAAAGTATAATCGAACTTTATTTCGACTTAAGACTGAAGTATGAATGCAAATTATTAAAGTTTGATAAGAAAACTTTACGCACTCATTTAAATAAAACTATTATTTTCAGGGGCGAATAAATACGTATTTATAATAAATAATGTGCAAAAACTGTGTTTTATTTATTTTTTACTATCTTTTGACTGCATGACACTTCATCAGCATGGATCTATGGCCCTAAGCTCGTCTCTGTAAATTTTTACAAATTGGTTTCGCAAAAGACTACATGTAAAGGATTTAAAATTTATCGTTTTTGGCTAATGAAATAAACTCATTTTATAGCGGATATTTCGCTTAGAATGCGAAAAAACATAATTGACATTATTATACTTGCAAGACCACAACGAATTGACTATCGATTTTTAATTCCGTGGAGTATCGATAAATATAATATAATCACGTCGCAAGCCCTATTTTTAACTCTCACACAACAGCAAATTTATTTTGGTATCGTTCTCAACCTGTCATTGTTAATCTTGTACATTCTAAATCTATGAATCAATCAATCACAACTTGACATTGGCGGAAATGTGATAACTCACAAAGCAAGCCATTATTAAGAAGAAGAAGAAGAAGAATCATCATGACGGAAATGTCATAATTACACATTAACACCGTATGGCCAGTGTTGCCAATTACTAAAAGATGGCCCTAAAACCTAAAATCAAGATGAAATAACCCTAGATGCAATTTTCAAAAACCCCAATTCTCAGAATCAAAAATTCAAAGATATTATTTAAATGAGTTTTACGTTTTGTTAAGGTACATAAAATATTACTTAGTTTTAATTACTTTTCATTACGATTTCAACTAACATTTCATTAATTACAATAATTTATAGATACTTTTTTTTTCACTTTGATCAGAACATTCCCACTTCCCGGCTTATTATCGGTTTCACTTAGCTTCACTGTGGGCAACCAAGCTACGGCTACTAAGCCCCTCAACTACGATAAGACAAAAACCCGGTCTGAGGGGAACTTATCTCATTGAATATTGGCAGGGGGGGATTTGAGGGATTATACGTGTCCAACCCGGCATTAAAACGCATTTAATAGTTTCTCTCTGCATATAACAAAATACCGGGATTCGACCTGGGAGCCGTGCGAGCCGTGAGATATCCTCAGATCCTGACATCACATCTCACGAAACACAAAAACATGAAAGGAGTAGGAGAGTTGGTGGCCGCAACGACGATTGCAGTCGTTGCAAATATTACGCATTGCCTAGCACTACCATTCTGTGTAACCAACTGCCGTCGGCAGTCTTTCCGAACCGTTGTGACCTGAGAACCTTCAAGAGGAGAGCATCTCTCTCTCAGAAAGAGTTTCTCTCTCAAAAGGCCGGCAACGCATTTGTAAACCCTCTGGTGTAACAGGTATCGCGCTACTTCATGAGCGTCCTTTTCCCACGCTTCTTCACAGACTTCCTCGCGCGCATCCGCATTTGACTTTGCACTTAAAGATTGCCATCTCCTAAACGTTGCGAGCTCTGACATTGACGAATTGATTATGGAGTTGGTAAATGTGGGTTCTTCAGGGCTCGCTCTCCAAGGCATGTCCAGAGAAGTATCAAATATTCTAGGGCCGGGCCCATTCTAACTAGTATTTAGTTTCTAATGCCCACCCCGGCCCGTAAGATCAACGTGTGGGCAAATCACTACAATCGGAATCTGACACTCCAACTCCGGTTCCCTCCCTTTCAAACCCCGCACCACCCGTGCTTCTATTCTTCGTCGTTCATCGCAGTACCTTCTCCTGACTAACCCATAACCATACGCTGACAACATTTAACAGTGGTAGGGCCACGCAATGGTGTTCACTGTTGCACGAGGCAGGTCCGTCCGGGTAAGTATCACGACATCACAGAAGACCAGCGCAAAGTAGAAGTGTTATAGTTTTGCGTTTCGTCTTGTGAGTTGGCAACGCTTCTGCAAACCTACGGGTCTTGCAATCCATGGGCTACGGTTATCACTTAACATCAGATGAACCGCCAGCTCGTTTACCACTTTGTCATATATATATATCGATTGAGCTCCATACAGAGGTTCAAACCTCCATCTGAGAGGCCTTTGGATCGTATCTTTCTCGCCCTTTTCAGACGAATTGTTCTGCTTTCACCAACAGCGGAGCCGTTAGCTTATCTTATTTGTATCGTCGTCGTTTACGAACTACAGTCTATGTTGTTCTCCTGAGTCCGTAGGTTTTCTGCTTACTGACCTCTTCTGACAAAAATCATTTTTTAGAAGGATTTTTTTTGTTCAATATTTTTTAAATTAAAAAAAAAATTTTTTTTTTCTCTGGGATAACTTATATTAAATAGAAATAGAAAATAGATACACAAAACAAAACAATAAAATGTTGAAAGGTCACATTAGCGGTCTATCGCCTAACTAACTTAATTTGATGAAAATTAAAAAAGCGGCTAGTGGCCCTGGCCACCCATGGCCACCTAAAATTACAGTTATGTTTTACTTAGTTCGTAAGACATAAATTAATAGATTTTCTATAAAAAAAAAAGTATTTCTATGTTCTAGCTTGCTAGAAAAGTTTTATCCTGCGTTATGGATTTGAACAAAAATGTAAAAAAACGCAAAGTTATAAAAAAGCGAATTGAGGTCAACGACCTAACAGAAAACAGTTTTTTTAATAATACTGTTGAAATAATAAAAAGGGAAGTTGTAAGTATCTTTAGGTATCTTTTAAGTATGACATATATTTATATAATCAGTAATTTAGCGAATAGAAATAAACATTACTGAACTTATACTAGGGTGATGGAGCACCTGCTGAATGTGAATTTGAATTATCTGAAAACTATTCAAGCAATAAAAGTTATGACTACCGCCCATCGAGGCTTTACTTCAAAATAGAAGTTGATGTAGTATTGCTAGTTTTATTGGCACTGGCACTATGGACTCGCTTGTACAATCTTGAGGAACCCCGTTATATTGTGTAAGTATGAATTATTAGTAAATTATGTTTAATTTTATTAGTACTATTGTGTTATTTAAATTGATCTTGTTCTGTGAATAAAGTGGCACAGCCATATAGTAATAAAACAATATCAATAGAACATTCATTTCTGAAAATGACCATTCTCTTTACTATACAGAAGTCCAAAAATCAAGGCTGGCCATTTAGTATATGAATGAAAATTTTATGTACTTGTTATTTATATATAGATATATACACAAGTCTAAAAATTATTTTTCAAACTTATTTGTCTAAGTAGTATAGTCTTAGGAAAAAACCTTTTTTCACCTTGTTTTTGTAGTCTTATTACAACTGATAGCTGTTCATTATATCCATGTGAAATTTGTACCAAATTTACATTTTCTCACCTCAATTAATAAAAAAAATTTCAGATTTGATGAGTTACATTATGGCAGATATGTATCACTATACACAAAAGGAGTATTTTTTTTTGATGCACATCCACCTCTTGGCAAGGAACTTTTGTACCTTGCTGGTCGAATAGGTGGATATGATGGTAATTTCACATTTGATCGTATAGGGTCACCATACACTGAATCAGTACCTATCAAAGCTTTACGTATGATCCCTGCAATAAGTGGAAGTCTTCTCGTAGGAATTTCTTACCAGTTGATGCTCGAAATGACCATGTATCAAGGGACTTCAATACTGGCAGCTATCTTAATTTTATTTGGTTAGTAAATTTTTCCTTTTTGCACTTTAGCACATATATTTCTTTATTTTAATGTTAATTATTTCTTTATAAATATTCTTCTACAGATAATAGTTTTTTAGCGCAGTCAAGATTTATGTTACTAGAAAGCATACAGATTTTATTTGGTTTATGTGGAATTTACTGTGTCCTAAAAAGCACCTATAGGAGAGGTTCCGCTACAGTAGTTTGGCTTTGTGTTGGTGCTATTGCTCTTGGATGTTGTTTTTCGTGAGTAGACATTGAAAATGTTTTTTGGTATATTTAAATAAATAATTCCCCCTAGAAAGGACAGAATTACGTACTGTACATTTTTACTAGATTGTAAAATGTAATATGGTATCTATCAACATATATATATATATATATATATATATATGTATATATATAATCGGGTTTTCGGAAACGGCTGCAGCGATTTTTATGAAATTTAGTATGTGGGTGAAAAATCGATCTACTATATATAAAAATAAAAATATCATTAGAATTATGATGGTAAATTTCGCCGCAATAAAAAATGTTATAATAGCTCGATCGATAATCGGGCCGAAACAGACGTCCGCGGTTCGTATCACGATCATTTACACACTTCTTTTTTTACTTCTTTTTTGATTCCAGATCATTGCTTTCTTTATTTTTTATTTTTTGTCCATTTGTTATTTTTTTCCCTTTATTTTTAAATTTCTTTATTTTTTGAAAAACACCAGTTCATATTTTCTTATTATTACGTCGGTAAGATCGAAAAATATTATGCATATTTCATTACTCAGTAATTTGTATCTATATGTAATTTCCAAAATACAAATACAAAAAAAAAAAAAAAAAAACGAGCAATGCTCGGTCCTCCAGGTACTTCTTATTATATATGCACATTTTTACCTAATTCTTTTTAAATTAAAAATAAATTCATATTATATTATTATGACTTGTGAAATATAAATATTTATTGATCATTTACTTAATGTTATGCAATTTTTAATGAAAAATATTTTATTTTCAGAGTAAAATATTCAGGATTGTACACCTATTACTTGGCACTATTTATTGTTGGAAGGCAAATTTGGCAGCAAATTGGTCATGTTGAATCCAGTTTGCGACTTGCTTTGTCAGCTTTTTGGAGATTTTTCATATTAATAGCTGTACCATTAGCTGTATATATAAGTGTATTTTATGTGCATTTAGCAATGCTACCCAAAGCAGGACCACATGATAGTGTGATGACAAGTGCATTTCAAGCATCACTACAAGGTGGACTTGCAAGCATAACAAGAGGACAACCATTACATGTTTCTCATGGATCTCAGATAACTCTAAGGTAGTCATTGATATTTCATGTCAATATAAAAATGTTTTCCTACTAACTTTGTAACTTTTTAGGCATTCACATGGTCGAACATGTTGGCTTCATTCGCATGCTCACGTTTATCCAGTACGGTATACGGATGGCAGGGGCTCCTCCCACCAACAACAAGTTACATGCTACAGTTTTAAAGATGTCAACAATTGGTGGATAGTGAAGCGGCCTGACCAGGCTTCATTGGCTGTATCTAACCCTCCAGACTCTATCCATCATGGAGACATTGTGCAATTGCTACATGGCATCACAAGTCGGGCATTAAATTCTCACGATGTAGCTGCACCTGTTTCACCACAATCACAGGCAAATATTTTTTTCATTCCAACTTTATTTTCTTTATATATGTATACAGCGTGTCGTTACCACCGCGACAATAAATGAACACACGTCTAACGCTACTTGCCAATAATCATAAAAAATATTAACGTTAAAAAAATCCATAACTAAGTAACTTTTTTTTTTTCAAACTATTAGTTAAGTAAAGAAGAAACAAAATTTGTAACACCTATACAACTACAACTGACTGATTCATACATTCAGAGACTTTCATTCGTTGCCACAGCGTTGCATTACAAGCCTCTCTTTCTAACAGTATGTTTTGTCTCTTTTAAATTCATTCAACCCATTCATATGCTTTGTATCCTTTACAAATGAACTTTACGTTACAGTTATACAGCGTGTCGTTACCATCGCGACAATAAATTAACATACGTCTAACGCTACTTTCCAATAATCATAAAAAAATATTAACGTTAAACAAAATCCCTGATTAAAAAAAATATTTTTCAAACAAACTAATTAAGTAAAAAAGAAACAAAATTTGTAACATCCTATACAACTCGCGCCACAGCGTCGCATTACAAGCCTCTCCTTTCAGTTTTATACGTAAGGATGTTCTAAAATTGGTTGTTTTGGAAAATTTAATAACTCGGTAAATATTGATGTTTAAAGAATGTAAATGTGTGTTCATTTATTGTCGCGATTGTAAAGACACGATGTATAACTACATCTGTTATTGATCACACATGTTTTTATTGTGCGAGTTGGCTGATGGAGGTCATAGTTACGATACAATACATGATTTAATCAAAATGATGTTTTTTCTAGCTATATATAGGTAATATAGAAGTTATTTGTTTAGGTAAAAATCATAATGTAACCTAGATGTCTAAGTAATAATAATAATTTAAAAGAATGAAAACTTAAAGACATGTGGTCTGTTTTTAATAATCAATTTTTTCCATAGTCCAGCAGTGGAATATATAATATACACTACTAACCAGGAACTGCTAAACACTATTCCATCGCTCAGATGCTTTATGAACACAAAAAATGCATTTTAAGTTTTATTTATTTTATTGTTCTACCTTTACTTTGTTACACTATCACTTAATAAAATACGTTTTGTTCTTGCAGGAGGTCTCTTGCTACATTGACTACAACGTGTCAATGCCGTCCCAGAACCTTTGGCGTGTGGAGATTGTGAACAGAGATAATGACGACGCTACTTGGGACAGTATAAGGTCCCTCGTTCGCTTGATTCATGTTGACTCAGGATCAGCGCTACGCTTTAGTGGGAGGCAGTTGCCTACCTGGGGCTTCCACCAACATGAAGTTGTTGCCGATAAAGTAGTGACGCATCAGGACACAATATGGAATGTTGAAGAACATCGATATACAAAAGGTGAGTTTTTTCTTTAGTAGCTTAACTTATATACGTTTTAGTACAATACCATAAATCCGCTTCGCTTTTTTCGAACACTTATCTCTTCTATTCAGACAAACACCTTGGCCGAATAACTATTCGCCACCAAAGCGCAGCCAATCCGATCGGTGGCTGGTCTCACAAATGTAGAATAGACGTCAATCCAGAAGAAGGGCTAGCAAAACACTTCATTCTGGCCTGGCCTGTAACCAACTCCAGCTCCCCAATGACCTAAACTCGCCCGAGCAGGAAGCTATGGCAAATCAAATTATACGGCCAATCGATCCCTTGGGAAAAGAAGATCTAGTACCTTACAATTACCTTCGACTCCAGAATGACTTTCGCAGCTTATATTAAGAACATACGAAGCAGAATAGGATTTCAAGTAAAATTCCCGTAAAGCACAAACATTTATATCTAGGGCTTACGTACGAATATTAATGTTGTACGCTTGGATGTCCTTTGCTCACGTAAGCCCCGCAAACCTGCATAAACTTCAGGTTAAGAAGTAAAGTAAAATATCAGCCTATACATATCCCACTGCTGGGCAATGGCCTCCTCTGTACAGAGGGTATAAGCGTAACGTCTCCATGCGTGGTGGTTGCAACGAGTCACAAGGTTCCAAGTGGTTCCCTGTTCCAAGGCGGCTGTCATTGTTCCAGTCACCGATAAATACGGTGAACGGCCATGATCAGGGTTTATAACTCGTAGGTGACATTCCTCCCCATAGATAACGTACAGATGAGGTTATGTTCGGCCCTACCCAACGCTGAGGGCCGAGTAAGCAAGCTGTCTGTGTTCAATGAAACTTTAATAAACAAATGTAAAGCATATACACTATAAAAAAATTACATGAGGCGTAGATGTTATCACGAGCACATATGAAAACCAATTTGGAAGCATTAACATCATTAGATTGTACTCATAATTATAGCCGAGGACAGGCGCGAGCGGGAGCGTGAACTAGTATCGGCGGAGATGATACCGACGGCGGCGACGCAGCTGTCCTTTTGGGCCAAGTTCATGGAGCTGCAGTACAAGATGGTGGCGCACGCGGCCGACGCACCCAGCGGCCACATGTTCGCCAGCGAGCCCACCGAGTGGCCGCTCCTGGCCAGGTCCATCGCCTACTGGCTATCGCCGCATTCTAACGTGAGTTTCTACTCAATTGAACAGCGCATGATTTTCCGACAAAACATTTGAAGGAGCCGTGGTAGCTCATTGTCTGGGTGCTCGCGTTTAATTCAATAGCAACTATACTCGAGCAACTTGATTTCGATCCCGTTCCCGAGTTCGTGCCGGCACCAATGAATTAGTTAATTTTAAGTCCTGAATTATCACGTACTCAGGGGTGAAGGAAAACATCGTGAGAAAACCTGCATATTTTCGAAATAATAAGAAAAAAAAATATTTCGCAGATATGTGAAGTCCGCCAATTTTTTATTTGAAGGGCAAATAAAATTAAATGTTTAGTCCCGATGAAATCCATATATTTTTTTTTTATTCGAAAAGTTGTCTAACGAGCAGACGGTTCTCCTGATGTTAAGTGAATACCGCCGCCCATGGACATCTGCCACACCCGAGGGTTACAGATGCGTTGACAACCTTTTAAAAATTGGGCTCCGGCTACCTCACTCACCAGACGAAACGCGAAAGTATTTGTCATACTTCCACTTTACGCTGGTCTTCTGTGAGATCGTGGTACTTACCCGGACGGGCCTACCCATTCGTACAACAGCCGAGGCTGCTGCGTGACCCTACCACCGTTAATATTCGGACTAAACGTTGGTCAAAACAGTTTATGTTGTAATATTGCATTTTTATATAACGACGTTTTTGCTAATGACATAGTTATAGAAATCCGTAATAGGAAAAAAACATTTTGCACGCTCTTGGGACTCGAATCGCGAGCGCGACAACTTAGATTGCCAAGTGTCAGAATATGTAGTTCTGGGCTTCTGGGGCATCCCTTCCTATAAAGAAGTACTTATAATATATATTTATCTAATCTAATATATTTATATAATACCTTTATAGCATTTCTTGTATATATGTAAATATATAATCTGAATCTCGGAAACGTCTTCAACGAATTACATGAAATTTAGTAAGCTGTGGTTTTCGGGGCGATAAATCGATCTAGTCAGGTTTCATTTTTAGAAAATGTCGTGTTTTCAAGCAATGAAAAACTGATATCATTACAATACGAAGGTAAAATATAAGGTTATAATGGCTCAGGAAGACCCCGGTTCGAGTCCAGATGATTATTATTTTCCCTTTTTTTTTTACAAAATGTTTTGTGAGGAAAAAATAGGAGGTCATCTCGTTATATCATGACACAAAAGCCAGGGCCTAAGTCATGAAAAGCGTACATGAAAATACGCCATTTTTGAATTAGAATTCAAACAAATATGGTATTTGGTTTTGTAATTATGAAGAAAAGTACATGTCTATCTCAACTACGAAATTTCCTCTACCCTTACCTACCTATCCATTGTTAAAACGTTAACAAGCATGTTTTTATATGAGAAGGTGGCAAGCGAACTATAATAAATCTATATATATGTAAGAGATTTCCACCGATAATTGACTCATCACAATATCTTTGGTACAATAAGGCTTAGTGACTTGAAATTTGGTATGAATATTCCTTTTGCCGAGTAGAGGTCAGCTAAGAACGGATTTTATAAAATGTTACCTGTTGGATCCGCTAGTAATAAATAAAACTATAATGAATAATAATATGAAATAAATATATAATTATAGCGGTTCACCTGATGTTTATGTGATATCCACCACCAGTGGACATTTGGAACACTTGTAGTGTTTCAGATTACTTGCCACATTTTAATGAAGTGGGCCCCGGTTGCCTCACTTGCCAGATGAAACGCAGAAGTATAACACTTTGCGCCGGTCTTCTGTGAAGATCATACTACTTCCCCGACAAACGTGCGCAATCTTACAAGACTGTTGCATGGCCATACCAAAGTTAAAAATATTTTTTGATATTTTTCGACTTAAGCTAGATTGTAATAAAATTAGTCTAAGTAAAAAAGATCTTAAGTATTACTCTTGTTCACAGGCACAAATACATCTTATTGGAAACCTAGTAATTTGGTATGCTGGGTCACTATCAGTACTTTTTTACAGCGGTTTGCTAATATTATATGCAATCAGACAACGAAGATCATACCAAGATTTGCCGCCACATGTTTCTCAGAAATTTTACAATGCTTGCTACATTCTGTTCCTGGGATATTGGCTGCATTATCTACCTTATTTCTTTATGGATCGGACACTATTCCTACATCACTATTTACCTGCTTATATGTTTAAGATTTTACTTTTAGCATTTGTAATTGATCATTTATATTATGTTTTGCAAATGCAAGAAAAATTACGTGCTTTAACGAATGTATTTATAATGGTTATAGCTGTGTGGTTGACATATGTTGTACATACTTTTTATAGATTTAGTGTTCTCAGTTATGGTACAACAGATTTGACTGAAAATGATTTGATGAATCTTAGATGGAAGGATACTTGGGATTTTATATTACATAAGAGGAGTTAGGTTTTAAATTTTTACTTACATCTGGTCCATCACCATTTTTTACATTGTATACTAATAATACTATTATTTTAAACCTGTTATAACTTAAAAAAACTTGTAATACTCAATTTTACACACTATAAACAATTAGTCACAAGTAGTGTAATCACACAATTTTTACTTATATACAAAATAAAAGCCATATTTGATTTTTAACTATTCATGTATATTTATCCCTTTAAATTTATGCGAAAATGCTTTATTTTAGCTAGTTGTATAGGTTTAAATGATTCCGTCCAGTTTTGATATTTTTTAATCTATAACTTTGTAAAAATTTCAAATAAATGAGTTATTTATATAAAACTGTACATTTAATTTAATATTAAAAAATTAAAGGAAAATGGTAAAGATGCACTTTATTGAACAAAGCTTTTTTAAACTTAACTGAAAGGTTGAAACCTCTGGGGGTTGATGGGGCCTTTGTATGGAAGTCTTTAAAACTATGTATGGTACTTTTAACCTTCTCATTTTTTTATGTGAAGTCAAAACATGTACATTTGTTACATCTGAGGGTATATGTTGACAACTGTTTAAAAAATCCGGCTATCTCACTCAAAAGACGAAATGCGACAGTATTATACTTTCACTTCACGCTGGTCTTTTGTCTGGTTGTGGTAGGTACTTACCTGGACGAGCCTGCCCATTCATGCAATTGCCATGGGAGCGACATGACCCTACCACAATTAAATAGTCCATGACTAATGGTGTAAATGAATTAATGCTAATAATTAAATAGAATTAACACACACACATTAGTATTATTTTATCTATAATCATTAATTCCAGCTTAACACTGTAGAAGTGGCTGTACATCTTATATTTCTGGTCTTAAGGACACAACTTAGAAAAATCGTAATAAATAAATGGAAACTGACAAAAACAGTGACCTCCAAATCTTGAATCGAATTATTGAAAGTCCATATCACTTTACAAAAATTTTATTGAATAAAATTTATTATTAATGTGTCTCCACTTCCATAGGCTGCACTGGATGAATAGAAACAGATTCAACATCTAGAGGAATTACTCTCTGTTTCAGCACAGCAGTAGTCCCTAATGGGTATCTATAGGAACCCTGTTTCTTGCCCTGTAAAAAATAATTTTATATCATTAACTAACTGTCAATAAATACACCATGTTCACTGATTTTATCTATATTTCAGAGCAAGAGTTTACATTCACATAATATTTTATCTCTCTTTAAAATTGCTAGAATAACTGAAGTATGGGGGAAGTCTTAAAAATTCCTTGAATCATGAACTGAAATTTCAAGAAAAAATATTTGTTATCAAGTACCTTGATATTAGCTTCTTCATATGTTCTAAGATATTGAGCTGGACCAGAATTACGAATAACACACAAATCCACATTTGAACCTGAGCCTAAGTCATTAAAAATGCCAGCAGCTATTGCATCCCTCACAAGCTTTTTGCCTTCCTCTTCAGATAAATTAGGTTTCCATCCAGATTCAAACACTGCCATTGCAGCCAATGAGCCAGAACCTATAAATAATTTACTTAATATATATATGTTTTTATTTTTTTATTTAAATGTTATTTGAATATGTAATAGGCCACTGTAGTAGTTATTAATGGTATTCATTTGTATATGGAAATTTTTATACACAATGTTATCATTATTTTTTTATTAGTGGTATTTAAACTAAAATTGTATATTTAAATAATTTAATTGGAAAAATTTAAGTAATGTTATAAATTCTGAAAATATATTTACCCATAGTAGCATAAGGTAGTTTATCCACCGATCCATGAGGATATATGCAGTATATGTGTGGACCTGTACGGTCTACACCACCAAGCACAAGTGCTGCCCCTATGTACCCTTGATAACGAAACAGCATACGTTTCAATAGAGTTGATGCAGTTTCTACTGGTACAGTTCGACCAGTATGGAGCCGTTGCAGCTCTAGCTGAGATGCAACTGTTTGTGTTGTCATTTCAGTATCAGCAGCCGTACCGGCACCACAACAATACATATTAGCAGCTAGGTAATGAATCTTTTGACAGTTTTTATCAGAAACCACAGTATTTTCTGTAGCTCTCGTGTCCGCGCCGAGAATTACCCCATCAGCATAAATGATTCCCACGATAGTAGTACCAGTTTTTGTTGCCTTCGGAGCTGGGAATCCTTTCTGAGCGAGGAAGGAATTTCTAAAATAAAATTTTAAAGTGAATGGGAAATTTATTTTTTGTTCTAAAATTTAAAGTTTAAACTTTGGAAAACTCACCGTTGACAATTCTCGAAAGAGAAACCAGGAGCTGGAAGTTCTGGTATTAATATTGAAGCCATAGTTTTTATTTACAGTAACGTTTAGTTACTACGATTGTATTTCTGTCTTGAACAAGATTGCAAGTCAATTTATTTAACAGTCCCTAAAAAATTTAAGATGCAACAACTGCAGCATGAGCCAGCAAATGTATCTGTCAAATGAGAGAAATGACAGCTAAGTTAGATTGCAATCAAGTTTACAAGCTACATTTACAACTTAACTATCTAAGTAATATCGTTTTCTTTTAGGTAAAAATAGTATAATCGATTATTTATGATTAAACAAAATATTTTCTTAATTTTGATAATTTTTAAAAACTGCATTAAATATTATAACTGGCGGATAATTAATGTAGTGATGAACATGAGATGATTTTTCAAACCGTGCCCTGCGCTTGTTCAAAAAGCAGGTCAAGAGCTCATGCGGGAGTAAATACGCTATAAGAAAATAAATGGGAACCTCTGCTGGGGATATCTCTGTCGCACTCAATACTTAAGAAATTATTAAATGCCTAATCACTAGTTTGGCTTTAGGACTGGCCTCCATTACTTAAGTACACCATCCCCACATACTTTCAAATCCGTTCTGATGGCCTCGCCAAAAGATCCGAGTGGGCTGTCGATGGAGTCCTATGCTCTAACCATGGGAGAGCGGGGATGTATTACCCCAGGTTTTACCCCAATACTGTACTTCCTATACACTAGCTACATCTCTAGGAGCCTTCTTACCAGGTTCTCGCATATTCATGACTGAACTTCCACCACAAATATGGGTAGTCGTTTCAAATCGCAAAAGTAAGAGCATAGCTACGAGTCAGGAAAAAAGAGGGCTCAAAACCAAAAAGCCCTGGTGAAATCGATGGTTCCTAAGCCACCATCGAATGAAAATAAACTCAGCGGCTGTTAAGGTCACTGAGCCGATGGGTAAGGACTCGTTAGTCCATGAGAGTAAAATCGTCTTAGTGCGAGTGGATTCGTGTGCACGTCAGGTGCTAGGTACTTACAGGGCACAGATGATTTGATGAGTACTTCAATATGATTGGACGCGAAATGATAATTCGAAAACAACATTGTGGTGGGGATCGCGACTCCGCGCAACACTTGTTCTCTGAGTGCCCTGCGTGGGAGTCAGATTGACGGATCCTGGTCCAAAAGATCGCGCAGGATCAATCGCAGTGTTGAGACTGGTCTTGTGATGGGCAGATAATTCTTGGAAGGCGCTGGTCTCTTTCTGCGAGGCTGTTATTGAGAACGGGACAGGGCCGACTCCGCTCGGAGACAAATGCGGCTTGCGGCTTGCCGGCACAAACGGAGGAACCACCCCAATTGTCCCGTAGTCTTAGGCTCATAGAATAGGTCAAAGGTATCCATTACCTGTCGTAAAAAGTGTCTAAAATGAAACACTGGGTTCACGGACAGCTGATATGATGCTGGGTCGACGATGATTTACATGCATGTGTTGCCGCAAAGCAGTGAGGGCTAACCAAACTCAACAACAAACGGTCCGAACATTGGGGGGCTGAGAGTGATCGATTGTTTGACTCTAATGCTTAAGTGCTCGTTGGGAATGAGCCTTTATCCAGGCGCTCGCCTTTAATTATATTTACTCGAGCAACCTGAGTTCGATTCCCGGTGCTAGCACCAATGAAATTGCTAATTTTAAGTGCTGAATTATCATGTTATCAGCGGTGTAGGAAAACATCGTGAGGAAACCTGCATATTTTCGAAATAATAAAAAGAAAATATTTTCTAAAATATGTGAAGTACTACGCCTTGATACGCTCTTTACAGAGAGGAGAGAGGCGGCCTCAGAGGAGGCCTTTGCCCAGCAGTGGGTCAATTATAGACTGTTTCATTACTTTTGTTTTTTTACTTTTATATATATATATATATATATATATTATTATTAAAGACTGTAGGTTGGTCGGCCAAAAAAAAAAAGTGAGGATAGCGTAAACAACTTTATATATTAATTAGACTACTTCCTACTTATTAGGACAGGGTAACGTCCTATACAAAGGATAAGAGTGTTCTACCCTATCACTGAAACATTATGCGCTTATATACAAAAATATAATGAGTCATAACAACTACATTACAAATCAATGCACTTATTAAATTACTAATACAGTTAATAAGATTGACCTATTAAACTATAAATTATTATTAAGCATGGTTTATTATATAATATTATACCAGATATGGTTCAATATTAATCAAGTTTGTTATTGCTCGTATATTAAGCAGTGTTGCCAGTGGATTGTAACAATATGTATATTTTTTTCATGTGTCTGGTAACATTACTTATATACGAGGCCATCCTTGATTGGACTAAAAATACATTGTTGGCATATAGCTCTTATTACGTGGCACAATGTTTCAAAAATATAATGTTCGTGAGAGTTATTACTCTTTTCTTTTGAACTAGTCCAGAACCAATCCTGGCACGACGAATTGTCTGAGCACGCTTGTCAAATAAAACTTGTCATTTGTCAAAAACGAAAATGTAATGTGTGCTATCGCAAGTTCGAAAGTAAAAAGTTTTTCTTCTGAACAGTTCCTAGTTGAAGAATATTCAAAATGTTAGTTAATACTGTTTATATCTGTTTAATTTATTTTATGTCTTCACTCCTGTTATGTTTAGCGGGTCGTGATTTTTATCAAATACTTGGTGTGTCTCGTTCAGCCAACACCAATGAAATAAAGAAAGCTTACAGAAAATTGGCAAAAGCACTACACCCCGACAAAAATCAAGATGATCCAGACGCATCTCAAAAGTTTCAAGATCTAGGTGCGGCATACGAAGCACTTTCGGACCCAGAAAAACGAGAATTATATGATAGGTGCGGCGAAGAGTGTCTTAAAAAGGATGGAATGATGAATAATAATGATCCTTTCGCAAGCTTCTTTGGAGATTTCGGTTTTCATTTTGGCGGAGAGTCTCAGCACCACGAAACTCCTCGTGGAGCTGATGTACTCATGGAGCTCACTGTGTCTCTAGAAGAACTTTATAATGGAAACTTTATAGAAGTAAGTTGCATTGACAAAACATTTAATATTGACAAAAGCTGCTTTTACAGTTTAAAAATTTAGTTTTAACTTGTTCCTAATATTTTCTTACTAAATTTATTTTTCAGATTACACGTAATAAGCCAGTTATTAAACCTGCATCAGGCACCCGTAAATGTAATTGTAGGCAGGAAATGGTGACCAGGAATTTGGGTCCTGGTAGATTTCAAATGATGCAACAAACAGTGTGTGATGAGTGCCCGAATGTTAAACTGGTCAATGAAGAAAGACTTTTGGAAATTGAGGTATTTGTAAATACTTTTTAGTTACTAAGTAAGACCATTAATATTAAATCAAATATTAGATACTCAGAAACATAGCAATTGTTGAAGTTGGAAGAAAAATTACCTATTACTTAAGTAAAAATGATAATGATTTAATATTTTATTATTATTTATAAACAACCCAATCAAAAACATTGTTTTTATTATTGTGAATATATCGTGGGCGTAGAAGGAAAACCCGCTAAGTCCATTTTTGGCTAAAAATGCGTTCTTTGCGTCCACATAATGTTTGGGGGGTTCTGCAGTAGAGTACCAGAGTAGCATTAAAAAAAATCGTTGTCCATATTTCAGGCTAAGTCATTCAGCTAAGTCCTGAAGGAATAATGCGATTTTTCACGACTTATTGAATTTTCAAACAAATTTATCTCCAAATGACGAATTTTGGACTTAGCGGGTTTTCCTTCTACGCCCACGATATAAAAAGTATAAATATGTGTAATAAATATGGTTATATACTTTAAATAATAATTTTGATTTTAGGTGGAAGTAGGAGCCCCTGATAACCATAAAACAAGGTTGAGAGGTGAAGGTGAACCACATATGGATGGAGAGCCTGGTGATTTGATTATAGTTTTTAAAACAGAAAGGCACCACCAGTTCACTCGTCGGGGTGATGATTTATATACTAATGTCACCATTTCATTGCAGGTAAACTATATTTGCAACTATAAAAAAAATTGTTTGATTTTATTCACATCTTTAAATCTATACAACTTATTTGAGACAAGTTTTAATTTTTAAATGATAAAGCAATTTAAAGGTATTTTTTTTAAATTCCTAGACTAAATTTTCATAAAATTCAACCGTAATTAAAAATTAGATATAGTACCTATATGTATAAATATATATCCACTTAAGTATTATAAATTTGTTAAAGTTACATTCATTTATTAATTAAATTTATAAAATTAATTTTTATTGAATAATGGAATAATATATATATTTCAGGATGCTCTTACTGGTTTTACAATGGAGCTACAACATCTTGATGGGCATAAAGTAACAGTTTCGCGTGATAAAGTAACATGGGCAGGGGCCCGTGTGCGTAAGAAGGGAGAAGGCATGCCCAATTTTGAAAATAACAACCTTCATGGAAACTTGTATGTGACATTTGACATTGAATTTCCTAAACAAGATTTTTCTGAAGATGAAAAAGAAGGTGAGTGTCATAGCAGATTGACTTCTGTTATTTATTCCTTATTACATGTTATTTATTCCTTATTACATGTTATTTATTCCCTTTCATTCCACCCTTACATTACAGATTTTTTTAATACTTGTCTGGTTTTGTTCCAGAGTTGAGAAAAATACTTAAGCAATCACCAAACAAAAAACTTTATAATGGACTTTAGTAATGTCATAATTAATAATTTAAGTAGTGAATTTTATGAGATGGTATGAACAAAGTGTCATCAATTGTGTGGTGTGAAGTCAGTTATTGTGCTGCTTGTGAGATTTACCCGTTTTGCAGAATAAATCATTGTACTGGTAACAGTTAAGTTTTTTAAAAATAAAAGTTACCAAAAAAATAATGTAATTTTTTTTATTACACAAGTAAAAAACAAATTATTCTCAGGTATAAATATAAAATTGAGAATTATAATTTTATTGCTACCAAATAAATAAACAGTTGCAAGAGACATTTACAATTAATGCAAAAAAGGTGTAAGGTAATTATTTTGTTTTAAAAGGAGCTTTTTTATTTACTATGTTTATTTAACACAATGGGCATATCTCTTATTTCTGTACCATAATGCTAGTAAAAATTCAACCCTGATGCAAATAATAGAACATTAATAAAAAATAACAGTTGTCCAACAAAACACACAACAACCTACTATATTTTCTTTTATGTGAAAAGGTGGCAAGCGTGCCACCCATGGACATTTCCTTGTATCTTGTATTAACTGATGTTTTTGCTTTCAGTCCCGAGACTATTAAAGCTTCATCTGACGCAGAACCGATGGGCTAGCCAGAACCCACAGGTTTGGGCCCTCCGCTGTGGGTAGGGCCACGCATGTGCTCATGCGTGCGTTTAACTATGTTTAACTATGCCATGGACATTTGCAACACCCATGAGTTGCAGATGTGTTGCCACCTTTTAATCAATTGGGTTCCACTTCCACTTCACGCCGGTCTTCTGTGAGGTTATGGTACTTCCCCAGATGAACCACCTGCCCAGTCATGCAACACGGCTTATGTCAATGAACATATTCAGAAAAAATATGTTTACCATATCAGCAAATTATTTCCTGCGCTGGTTGACAATATACACCATATTACAATTGGTTTATCACTTTACATTGGTACAAAGTACATTTTATAAAATATTACAGAATAAAAGATAAAGTTGTAGTGATTCAAAACTTTTGTTGGATTAGTTATGATGCTTGATTAAAAATTTTTTTTATTACATTATTATCAAATCCCCGCAATAGTTACACATCAATGCAGTTTCATCCATTCAAAATTGGGCTATAGTTTTTTTAACACTTCCAAGACAACAACTTAAAATAAAATACATACAATATAGCAAACTATAAATTATTATACAGCGTGTCGTTACCATCGCGACAATAAATGAATACACGTCTAACAACGCTACTTGCCAATAATCATAAAAAAATATTAACGTTAAAAAAAATCCATAATTAAAAGAAAACATTTTTCAAACAAACTAATTAAGTAAAAAAGAAACAAAATTTGTAACAGCCTATACTACTACAACTGACTGATTCATACATCCAGAGACTTTTTCATTCGTTGCCACGGCGTCGCATTACAAGGCTCTCCTTCTAACAGTATGTTTTGTCTCTTTTAAATTCATTCAACCCATTCATATGCTTTGTGACCTTTACAAATGAACTTTACGTTATAGTTTTATACGTAAGGTTGTTTTTAAATTCTTTGTTTTGGAAAATTTAATAACTCTGTAAATATTGATGTTTAAAGAATGTAAAATTTTGATACAATTTTAAAAAGTTATCCTCTATATGTGTGTTAATTTATTGTCGCGTTGGTAAAGACACGCTGTATATATACAGCGTGTCGTTACAACAGCGTCAATAAATGAACACACGTCTAACGCTACTTGCCAATAATCATAAAAAATATAAACGTAAAAAATCCATAATTAAAAAAAATATTTTTCATACAAAGTCATTAAGTAAAAAGGAAACAAAATTTGTAACACCTATACAACTGCAACTGACTGATTCATTCATACAGAGACTTTTTCATTCGTTGCCACAGCGTCGCGTCCTTCTTAGTATGTTTTGTCTCTTTTAAATTCATTAAACTCATTCATATGCTTTGTGACCTTTACAAATGAACTTCACGTTACAGTTTTATACGTAAGGAAGGGTGTTCTGAAATTTTTTCGGGGGCGAAAAATGGATCTAATGCCCTTTTATCCCTGTTTTCAGGGAATGAAAAATGTAATTCGAATATGACGGTAAATTTCGCCGAAAGAGAAAAATTCATAATAGCTCGGTCGGTAATCGGGCGGCCCCAAAACAGACGGCCGTGGTTCGCGTCACGATCATTTACACATTTATTTTTTTACTTTTTTTTCGATTCCAGATCATTGCTTTCTTTATTTTTTATTTTTTGTCGATTTGTTATTTTGTTATTTTTTTTTCCCTTTTTTTTAAAGTTCTTTCTTTTGTGAAAAACATCAGTTCATATTTTCTTATTATTACGTCGGTAAGATCGAAAAATATTATGCATATTTCATTACTCAATAATTTGTATCTAAATGTAATTTCCAAAATACACGATTTACCAAAAAAAAAACCGAGCAAAGCTCGGTCCTCCGGGTACTTGATGTTTAAAGAATGTAAATGTTTAATACAATTTTAAAAAGATATCCTCTGTGCAAATGTGCGGGAAGTCGATGGATGCAGGTGGCTCAGGATTGTACTTCATGGCAGTCTATGGGGGAGGCCTATGTTCAGCAGTGGACTCAAACAGGCTGAAATGATGATGATGATGATGATCCTCTATATGTGTGTTCATTTATTGCGATTGTAAAGACACGCTGTATATTATTTGGCACCGCGACGCGCTTAGCCTATTGACAAACAAGAACCGGTCTGTGTGACGTTATTCGGTGGATCGGCCGTCGATCAGCTGCGACCGCGCTTCTTATAAATCAGTCAGTTACCTGCTTATGCAACGCGAGGTCTATAACGCTCTAACGTTCACCGATTACATTGTAAACACGTCTTATTATTTGTAAGAACATTGTTTTGTGTTTTTCCTTCCGCTCTGTACTTTCTTCCTTCTGACTGTGTAGACTTAACAATAAAAGTGTGTAAGTGAAGTCTGTACTGTTTATTTTCTATCTCTTTGCTTCATCCTGTCGCTTACATACTGCTGAATAACCTACACCGGCCATCACAGTGTGATAAAAAAAATTGCTTCATATATATTTTAGTACCCGGTGAGTACCCTTGTAAGACATGAAAAACAAAAAGTACATTACAAGTTACAATGTCAGCTTTTGTTAATATGGCTCCACCGGCACTTGACACGCCTGGGAGCAATATCCTTGTAAGAAGATTAATTTTTTATTCATTTAATCATTATTGCAATAAAAATTGTACAAATGTGAGCTTAATGCTAAACTGCATTTTCTACCAGCACACCGTAGGTAAAACCGTAAGAGAATGACTAAGGCAGTAATGTACTCGTAGACGCTATGTATATAATAATATAGGTTGACACAGTGACAGTGAAGTTCTCACGGACACTACTCCACCAATACTGAAAATCCCCTGGGTCTACTAATCTTGTAAGAACCTTGTACCTTGCGGCTTCTGTTAATATCGGTTGCTCCAGTGTCGGTCGAGTTCTCAATGGACACTGCTTCACCGACACCGGAAACCCCCTGGAAGTAGGTTTTATAAAAAAAAAAAAAGATTACGAGTTGCGACATCGGCTTCTGTTATGTGGTTTGGCCCAGTGTCTGTAGCGTTCGAAGTACGGCGGGGGGGTATTAAGCGACCAGGCAGGAGTCGTGTGCGGGCTGCACGTGCGGCGCGGCGGCGGCCTGCAGCACGCTGTTGACCACGGCGCGGGCCAAGTAGCCCAAGGTCACGGCGGGCGCCGCACCGCTCAGCGCAGACGTGCACTCCGACTCGGGCAGGCCGCTGTCCTGTTTACGCACACACACGCACATCATCCATCGAGTCCCCGATTCGTTGAACGGTATTACGCAACGTGCACGTGCTATTACGCGCCGTGTAAAAATGAAAATTGTTTTTCGTCCAAGTACGTGAAACGCGTCTAAAGCTGTGTCATGTTCGTGCACGATAAAAAGCTCGTTTGTCGCGCGAGCCATTTTGCATGTTAACTTTAATTCAGAGCGAACACAGAACCTACACAGATCAGTACTTGGGAACCATTAATTTAGATTACACGCAACAGGGTGTCTCTGCCGCACGATGTATTACGACAGAGCACAAATCTTAATGCACGCGCGCGGGTCGATGCAGAAACTTTGGGGAAACTAAATCCAACACAAAGTGCCATCGCGGCTGGCTTGCCTTGGCGTAGGTGTAGTGCGCGTCGTCCAGCAGCTTGTCGAGGTCGAGCGGCTGCTGCAGGTAGAGCTCGGGGTTGCGGCGCAGAATGGTCGCGAGCACGCAGAGCAGCTCGACGCAGAGCTGGCGGCGGGCGGCGGACTCGATGCGCACCAGCGCCTCCTCCACCAGCAGCGCGAACGAGAGCTCCGAGCGCGACATGTTCACCAGCGTCGGCTGGGCGGGGATCGCGTGGCCCTGCCCACAAACACCGCTCAGTTCGCACCGAGGCCCAACAACTGTACGTCCCACCGCCGGGCGAAGGCCTACTCTGTACGGAGTGTATTAGGGCATAGTACACCATGCTGCCGCACTGCGGATTGGTGAACATGATAGATAGAGCCGTGATTGTTCAGTGTCTGGGCGCTCACTTTTAATTCAATACACTCGAGCAACCCGAGTTCATCTCGGTGCCGGTCATCAATGATATTGTGAAAAGTGCTTGACTTAGCACGTGCTCAGCGGTGAGGAAAACATCGTAAGGAAACCTGTATGTTTTAAATAATAATAAATTAGAAAATTCCTAAGATCGTCCGCCAATCAGCAGTGGGGCTGCATAGTGGACTATGCCCTAATACCCTCTGTACACAGGAGGCCTTTGCCCAGCGGTGGAACATTTTAAGGCTGTAACTTTGCTACCTTAGCTATAAGGACGCCTATATGTACACTATGTTACCTGTATTTTTTTTTCTAGGTATTTCCTTTTGTGCAATAAAGTGTTGTGCAGATATATATTTAAATAAACAGAATCAAATCAACCGCAATATTAATGTGTAATTAAAAATGTCTCGATAAACATATTTGTTTGTTCATCGCCAAATTACGTACCTGAACAATGATTCCTTTGGGTGTGCGCAAGAGGATGTCCCAAACCTGTATGTAGAAATGTTTCGGAACACGACATAGGCATCCCTCCAGTTGGCGGCGTTGCAGAGGCGTTAATCTGGAATAATTTAAGAAAAGAATGAAAATTACCTTACTAAAAGAGCGCATTGTGCTAAAATTCTCTTTTAAAGGTCTCCAAGCCATCGCGCTGTACATAACTAACAGGTAAAGTACCGCGTGTGAGGTGAACCGCCGTCTCTTTCTGTCTCGATACATCTTGCGATTTGATTCCGTTCACATAGATTATTTTACATATTAGGTATCGCGCTACAAGGATTGATAAAAATTTTCGCAAGGAGGAGTGCGGTCACCGCTAGATACAATCGATACGATACGATAGAATAAAATCTAACTGTGTTCGCTGTTGCACAAATGGGCAGGTCCGTCTGGGGAAACACGAGCTCACAGAAGACGGGCGTGAAGTAGCAGTTATGCAAATATATTTCTGCGTTTCGTCTGTTGAGTGAGGTATCCGGAATCCACTTTAACAAAAGATGGCAACGGACTTGCAACCCTACGGCGGTTATCACTCAACACCCGGTAACCGGCAGCTCGCTAGCGACCCTGTCACAAAAAAAAGAAAAAATAGCAGACTATAAAAGGTACAGACCCGCGCTCCTCCGCCCAGTCGGACACGGTGAGCACCCGCTGCAGCAGCGTCCGCAGCCGGTAGGGCGAGAGGCTCTCCAGCGGTGCGTCGGGCCGCTTCTCGTTGGGGAAGAGCGCGAGGTAGGTGCGGATGGCCTCCAACACCCAGCCCACGCGGATCTTCAGGATGCCGCGGAACATGTCCGGGTTCGTGCCGATCAACCGGCCACAGTACAGCACTATCTCCTGTTGGGTACGAAAGCGAATATTGTACTCGTCTGTCCATTTTTACAAAGCGCGCTCCGTAAGGATCATAACGCTATATATTTATTCGCTAAAGTATATTATTTAAATATACGTTCATATATTTTTTTCATTTTTTCAAAGATTTTTTAACTAGGTGTTATTGTTATGTTCAGAAAAATTCTCTAATGTACAATAGCACTGAAAATAGATTTTTTGTTATTTTTTTTAATTTGTCTTGATTTTTACTTTTTACGATATGTAATTACAATCACGATGTCTATCCATCGCCACTTATCATGAAATATATAATGCTTAAATAGCAACTACTAGAATTTTAGTTGAAAGAGGATGAGCACGATCGGACAAAGCGAGGGAAGCCATACGAAAGTAGAATCAGATCTGTTGGCCAGAAAGACGAAGAATCGGACCAAAGTGTGGGACAGTTTCACAGTGCCAATTGCTTTAGCACCATAATAATTATCAAATGTGGTAAATATTACACATTTGGGTCACACAAATAATTGCCCCGTGAATCGAATCCACGACCCCGGAATCAATAATTTAACAACTAAATAAGTTATTTGTATAATGTAAATAATACTCAAAATTATTAATCTTACCTGTTGCAATACAGCACCGATGACGTCGTACGGCTGAATTGTGGAATACATAACAGATTGAATTTCGCCCGGGGTCATCGGCTTGTCGAATACGGTCTCCTTCCGGCCAATAACACCGACGGTCAACTGAAATATTGTGATCAAATAAAATTAATTTAAAACATTCACCAACAATATAAAAAAAGTGAAGTAACAGCCTATACATGTCCCACTGCTGGGCAAAGGCCTCCTCTATACAGAGGGTATCAGGGCATAGTCCACCACGCGGCCCCACTGCGGATTGGCGGACTTCACATGTCTTCGAAATATTTTTTTTGTTATTATTTCGAAAACATATGTTTCCTCACGATGTTTCCCTTCACCGCGGAGCACGTGATAAGTCAGCACTTAAAGTTAAAAACTTCATTGGTGCCGGCACTGGGGATCGAACTCAGGTTGCTCGAGTATATTGAATTAAAGGCGAGCGCCCGGACACTAAGCTATCACGGCTCTCAATATAAACAGTTTTGCAGTAAACAAATGTTAATAAAACGAAAGTTATGAAACTGGAAAACATATGTGTAATATGGCCAATGGCCATATTACATAAGAGTCAAAAAAAATACACATATATTCGTTATTTTGTATATCTTAGTGAAGGACGCGCATTTACATGATTATGTATGAACAGTGATCTGGCAATATTGGGATCCAAGGGTCGTGGACATAGTAAACCAACAAACCAACCCCACCAGCTGGTGACACGTGAGCGAATCTACATGTATGGTAAAAACTCTAGATATGGCTAGCAGTTATAAAGTTTTATAGTTTTTTTATTTTAAATTCTGATGTAATTGTAACCTTTTAATGTCTTAGCAACATTAATTTGCTCTCATGTTTAATAAGAATCTTTTGTCACAATGCTATGTTGTCATACTTTCACTTTGACATATTTTTACACAACATTTTATCTAGTCCCAAATTAAGCAGAGCTTGTTCCATGGGTAACTGATAAACATACTTTTCTACTTTTGTATACAGGGAAGCTTTTCTAAGTGTATCTTAAGCTTTTCTATGTATATGTTATATAAAAAATTATAAATATTTTAATTCACTCGTAAGTAATTAATTTACATTCATTTGAACTTATCTCAAAAAGTGCGTGATTTATTTTACGCGCGATCATTCATAACTCACATACACACAAGTTCGTTTGTGTGCGTGAACGGTAAAATTTAGGTATTTATGAATGACTACTGTAACTGGTATCTTTTTGAAAAAAAAAAGTTTATTTTTATTTCAATAAACGATTATACTACCGAGTCTGAACCTCCTATGTAAATTTGGGCACCTTTAAAAAAGTCTCCTCGTATAAATACATATTCTTCTTCTTGGGGGCGCCCTATCCTATCGGATGTCGACGACCACGACACAGAACTCTAATCTATTCTGCGCCAACCTACAAAGACCGAAGGCGTCCTTGATGTCTGTCCATTTTTTCAAGTTGTCACTCCATGTTTTTCGTCTTCTTCCTCTTCCCCGTTATACATATTATTCTCGTTATACATCTTATATAATTATAGATATATAAACATCCAGACACTATAAATTCACTATGTTCAACACACAATATTTTTCCAGTAGTGGGGATTGAACCTACACCCTCTGGCACAAGACACAATGCCACTACGCCAATTGGGTCGTCAAATATAAAGACGAATGGTATTAAGTGTAAAGATTATAGTCCGGTTCTGTTACCTGCTTTCCGTTGACGAGTACGGTCGTAATGAAGGGGCTGATGGAGTCCACGGTGTGGTTGAGTAGCGACGAACAATAGCGCACTGCGCGCCAATGTCGTAACACACCCGCGCTGTGGTACAAACTCTTTCAGCGATTCCAGAGCGGTTCTGCCGTTCACCTAAAAGAAGTTATTAAATATATTGATAGAATCATGATAATATACATACTTACTTTACAACTACATCAAACCAAAGATGCTTCCAAATCCAAATCAATTGCATATATCATTCACTCCATTCATAGTTCACAAGTTATTCGTTCCCATTTAGTTCACTAACATTTAATAATCATACACTCTGCCACATACAATCATTGCCGATTAATAAAGAAAAAAAATACCATCACAATTTGACAAACGCAAATCTTTGTTAGAAGAAACGATTATAAACAGTAAGAGGTTAATGTCATAAAAATATACATATATTTGGCACGTGTGGAGCGAATAAAAGAGGAAAGTTTATTTCATTTTTTATAAACAAACAAATATTGATGGCGATATACATGGGACGATTGAATTAACGAAAAACTGCAAAGAAAGTGCGAAGGGGTTAACTGTCTTGTTTTTGTTTCATTGACTCACACACACATACACACGAGTCATCCACACTGCCCTAACGTGCGTGTCGTAAGAATTCATTGACTCGTTCTCGCTTCGCTCGTACCTCGTACATGGGCCCTTCCCTCTCGAGCAGTATGCCCCAGAGCTGGCACTGGGCGAAGATGTTGTCGGTGGCCCTGAGCGCGGCGACCACCTCGTGGGTGGGCCGGTGGCGGTGCTCCTCGCAGCTGAGCGCCGGCTCCCGGTACGTGAGCGTCCGGGGCACGTCCGTCAGCGACTGGTAGCCGATGTACTCGTGCTCCAGCTGCCTGAACTGGGTGAACATCTCCGACGGGAACTCGCCCTGGCTCATGAAGTCCAGGTGCTCTGTGCGATGACGACATCGACAGTTGTTAGGAGATATTGGTAGAGAGTACACAAAGAGGTGTGCGTTTTGCAGCGTCACCGCGGTATATTTTTGAAATGACGACCCTAATCGCGTGGGGAGTAGTGCACCTACCTCTTGCGCGAGAGTGTGTGGGTTCGATCCCAAGTACTGGAAAAATATTGTGTGATGAACATAGTTTCAGTGTCTGGGTGTTGATATTATGTATAATATGTACTTATTTACAAAAGAAAAGTATGTTTATCAGATATCTCGTACCCATAGTACAAGCATTGCTTAGTTTGGGACTAGAGAACATTGTGACAAAAATGTGTCCGAAATATTTATTAATTTAAAACAAATATTTCGAAGATATGTCAATTCCGCTAATTCGCACTGCGGGTCGTGGTGGACTATGCCCTAATACACTCTGTACAGGAGATCTTTGCCCAGCAGTGGGACATATAATAGTTATTACTTTACTAATAAATAAATTGATTAGATAGATAAAGGTGTAACTGTATAGATAAATATTTATATAATAAACATGTATAACGGTCCATTGTGCGTTATTTATAAAAAAATCCAATAAGATTTTCTGTGCCATTGTTACAGCTCAAAACCTTAAACAGTAGAGAAACGTTACCGATACAGGAGCTGGAGATCAGATTCTGCAGGCGGCCGAGTCTCACTTTGACGCCGTCGCAGTGGCCCTTCTTGAGCATCGCGAGAAGGTCAAGCATCTGTTTGAAGTGCGGGTCGCGCATGTGCTCCTCGCGAACCAGCAGGCAGACCGTTGGCCGACCCGACAGCCGCCAGTACCTGCACAATTCCGTTCGCAATGTTATACAAGGCAAGACAAATGTGTTGTCTACACTGGCCTAGAGGTCGCGCAAGTGCATTACCGGGTATTAAGGAATCGAACCCAAAATAGTACAGTTGTGAATGGCACTCTCCCCTTGAGTAATGCGCCCTTAACACTGGTTCAATTAACCCGCCTTATATAATAATTCTGTCAAATGTTAACTTGATGTCAACATCTTTTAATGCAATGGCGACATTCGATGGAGGCGATTGAAAAATTATCAAATGGGTATGATATCACTATGGAAACAAATTTTATCCACGCAGCGGCAGCGATACAGATAGCATTATATATTTGTATTCGGTCCCGCTGTCTTATAGTAAATAACATCTTGAGAAAAATGCGCCACTGTTAAGAAAAAGGTTACGCATGTCCCACTATTGTACAATCAATCTGGCTTTTATTTAATATATAATTCATTATTCATTATTGCCGCCTGTCAGTGCACTGTTGCGACAAAAAATCGACAACTGCGTAATTGAATGCATTTCAAGATGTTTGCCGGTCACTATATCTAGTTCTGTTAAAGTCCAAAGTATGTAATCGGTTATAAAATGATGATAATAATATCATCGTCATCAAAATCCATATCATAGACATCACTTCTAAGTTAATGTAATACGCACAGTTATAGCGACTTCATCCAAGTTAAACTTACTTTCCGACGAACTGTAATTCGGTCTTTATATCGTCTATCAATAGGGCCATGTCCCTGTAAAGATAGAACTCGGAAACTTCGAATATGAGCGGATAACACAGAACCGTCATACCGCAAACTCTGTAAATCTACAAATAAAACAAGAGTAATTAATTATTCGCACAATATGTAAAACAAATAATAGGTTAATTGTAGTTTATTTTAAGTTTAGTACCTTACTCGTTCCTAACGATCCCACAGGTCGTATAGGACGTCCCGTCAGTTTCAGTTTTGGACAAACACCCAATTCTCTATAGACGTGCACCAATTGCGTGGAGCTGCAGACCTACAAGTTATCCTCGAAAAGTTATTTTTAAAATAACAAGGCAAATATAATATGGTAATATTATCTTTTTGAAATCTCACATTTTGTTAGTCGCGGTATAGATACAAAATTATTTTTACTAATACAATTCAGGTTTTTTTAACGTAATCGCCTGTCCTAGTTTTATAAAGTTAAATATTATAAAGAAATAAAGTAAGACATCATATATTTGTCTAGTGTGTGGCTGCGGGCGGCTTGATAAAACAAGAATTGTTATTGGGATTACGCTGAATAAAATTTATTATTATTATCAATGATATTTTAAACAAATACGAGGTAGATTTAGATATGACACTAGCGCATCGAAATTTAGGCTCTCAAAATCCGCTAATTTGTGTAATTAGATTGCAAATCTATAGACAGCGATATAATTCGAAAGAAATAACTTTCCGTATTATACGTTCTATATCATCAGAAAAAGCGGAACAATTTTTAAACATGCGTCATCTATTATTAAACATTATTAAACATCATTGATATTATTAAACATACTAATATTATAAATGCGAAAGTAAATCTGTCTGTCTGTCTGTCTCGCTTTGACTCCAAAACTACTGAACCGATTTAAATGATATTTGGTACACAGATACTCATGAGCCTGAGAAAGGACATAGGCTATTTATTAATTGGAAAAAAGTGTTGAAAGATATTTAAGAGGTTCAACGCGAGCGAAGCCGCGGGCGAAAAGCTAGTATTATATACAATTACCTGAACAGGTTCAACCTCATGAGGCGTTTGTGTCTGTATACCATAAGTGCCCATCATAGCTTGCAATCGCATCGATTCAGCAATGAGCACCACTTGCACCACTAAATCTGTCGCCGTACCCTGTTTTAGAACAACAAGATATTTTTATACACAAGAAAGTTCACAGAATACAAGAAACCTCCTCCTTTTCTAAACTCGGTTAAAAAAGCCAAAGATAGCGTTTATACATATATTTTGACATATAATCCGTCCTACAAAAACTATTTTAATATATTACTTGCGAAATGTTTACGAGTTTAAAATGAGATAAATTAGACGCCGGGGAAATTTTGTCAAAATTAAAGATAGTTATGTATTACACATTGCTTGTTCATTATGTGTGCTTTAAGCCATGGCACATAGTTTAATTTTAATATTCCATAATATAGATTATCACAATTCGACATATTCGAACGAGAGGCCGCAAAAGGGTTCTGAAATAAGAACAATTTGCAAGTGAAGCATGGACATACAACATATAAATGCGTCATTAATCTACCATTTTTTTTCATGCACCAAATATTTTGCAGTTAATGTCGCTACTGATGTATTAATGCTAACGGTACTTACAAATGCTGGTTTGGCCTGTATTGTTAGCATGTATACAAAATAAATGTATGTTTTACAAACGATTAAATAAATTATAGAAAGGGTTTTGGCAATAGTTTTATAAGTGGTAATAAATTATCAGTAAGAGCAGTTTAGTTTAAAATGTAGCCGGTATTTGCAATGATATTTTCCAACGCCATCGGCATCGCAGATATTACTTTATGTCATATCAATACTCTCCCTAATAAATGCTCTTAATGTACTTTTTTTTTAAAAATTCTACGTTCTTCTGCTTTTAAAAATAAAAATTTATGGGTAATAATTAAATATATACTCGAGGGTGTTATTTATACAGCGTGTCGTTACCATCTCGACAATAAATTAACACACGTCTAACACTACTTGCCAATAATCATAAAAAAATATTAACGTTTAACAAAATCCATAATTAAAAAAAATTATTTTTCAAACAAACTAATTAAGTAAAAAACAAACAAAATTTGTAACATCCTATACAACTCGCGCCACAGCGTCGCATTACAAGCCTCTCCTTCTAATAGTATGTTTTGTCTCTTTTAAATTCATTCAACCCATTCATATGCTTTGTGACCTTTACAAATTAACTTTACGTTACAGTTTTATACGTAAGGGTGTTCTAAAATTGTTTGTTTTGAAAAATTTAATAACACTGTAAATATTGATGTTTGAAGAATGTAAATGTTTAATACAATTTTAAATATTTATCCTCTATATGTGTGTTCATTTATTGTCGCGTTGGTAACGACACGCTGTATATATTTAATTATTTTCCAGTCGATTTAGACGTTAGAAATGGTGTTAGCTGACTTCGAGGTTTTTCGCAAAAGACATCATAAAGAAGGCTTACTATCCACTTTATTAAAAGGTGTCCGTGGGCTGCGTTTATTTAACACCGGGTGAGCCACCAGCTCGCTTGCCACCTTCTCACATAAAAAAAATTTAACAGTGCGTGGAGTCCCTCCGCGCGAAAGATGCGTAACTTCGAGTGCCACTGTCGCTCTGTCTCTTTCATAACCCCTCCATGGTAGCGTTAAACGTTTAACGCAACCTTGTTGGACCTCGCATTAGAAGTTTCACTTCAAAAAGGACTTTAACAACAGCAGAGGGCCCAAACCCTAGGAGGGTTCTGGCTAGCCCACCGGTTCTGCGTCAAATGAAGCTTTAATAGTCTCAGGACTGAAAGCAAACACATTAGTTAATACAAGATACTTCAAAAAGTCACCTGGAAAGCGGAATAGCGGCCCGCCCTCCGCGGCCGGTTGTAAGACGGCAGGTAGCGACGAACCGGGTCCAGCTCGTTGACGTGCAGGAGCCCACCCGTCAGCAGTTGCGCCAAAACGAATAGAGACTGCGCCCACAGGAACAGGCCGCCAGTGTCTAAACGGTTATCGATATTTATGCCCGGTTCCTATATTCAACTAACGGCCGTTAGTTACATAGCTTCGTAACATTCATAACGACTTGTAGATTACAGGGACGCTAGTAACACACTTTCCGTAGCTAATGCAACGGCTCGTAAGGAAAACGCCACGTTTTGTTAATATAGGAACCGGGCGTACACGCCTTTTATCTACAGGTCGTTATGAAAGTTACGAAGCTATGTAACTAACGGCCGTTCGTTGAATATAGGAACCGGGCATTAATCGGGAAAATAAAACGCTACAACAAATTTGTGGATTACGTCGCGTTTAAGCCTGATAGACCGCGAACGCTGCAAAGCATTCGAACTTATTCAGAATTAGTGACGATGAAATCCTCTTGTATCTTGTATTAACTGATGTTTTTGCTTTCAGTCCCGAGACTATTAAAGCTTCATCTGACGCAGAACCGGTGGGCTAGCCAGAACCCACGGGTTTGGGCCCTCCGCTGTGGGTAGGGCCACGCATGGCCGTCGACTGTGCAATTAGCTTATCGGTGGCTGGGGGCGGTGAGAATCGCCCCGGAACGCGGGTGTACCTTTTGTACGCGTTGTGTTGGTCTCGTCGTGCTCGGAGGCGAGGGCGAACTAGTGTGTTTGTTGTTGCACTAACTGTCGGTGTAGTGTTGTCCGGCGGGACCCCCGGCAGTGGGTCCGGCGTGTCTAAGTCCCCTTCCTCGACCGGGTCGATTAGGACGTTTCGCGGGCGACGCTTGTTGACGTTCGCGTTTTGGTCGGGTTGGTAATTTGCTGCGCTTACCACCAGAGCTGTTGGGATGATGTTCGGCTCTATCGAAGAACCATTTGGTCAGGTCTTTAAAATATTCGCGAATCGTCGGGAGTCTGCAATCGCTGTGCAGGTCGACGTTGCGTTAATACCACTGCGCACCGGTTGCGCGGCGGATGAACTTATTTTGTACTATTTGCAACTTGTACAAGCGAGTAGGGTGCGTGTGGGCGACGGTCATGCATGCGTAAGACATAATAGGTCGTACGCAGGTCTTATGTAATAATAATTTGTGCCTTTAGGGCATTTTACTTTTAGTGTTAGTTAAATTGTGTAGCCGGCCGGAGATGAACGCGGCTCTATTGCGAACGTTATTAATGTGCGTAGAAAATGACATACGCGAGTCGAAAGTGACTCCTAAGTATTTGACCTTTTTCTCCCAGGGGAGCGGTTGGCCATAAAGGGATATTTGCCCCAACTTTCTGCATTGACGAGGGCCATTATAAAGATGTGACGGGTAAGTACTTCGTGTGAAGTGAATCGCCACACCCTTTTCGGGATTTATTTCTATTCTCCATTTGCGGAACCAATCGCCGAGGCGGTCGGCAGCGCTTTGGAGTCGAGCGGTTAGTTGTCTAAGGTTGCGGTCTGAATAAAAGAGCGCCGTTTCATCCGCGAAAAGCGCGAGATTGACGTGGGGGTCTTTAGGTATATCGCTCGTGTAGAGCGTAAAGAGCAAAGGTGAGAGGCTGGAGCCTTGTGGTACGCCTGCCGTGAGGCGGCGGCTTGTGGAGAGGGTGCTTTTTCAACTCGATATCGAAAAGAGCGGTTCGACAGGAAGGCCTGGATGGTGTGTACGAGCCTATCTGGCACTTTGAGTGTGTACAGCTTGTAAAGCAAGACGTTGTGCCAGACCTTGTCGAATGCTTTTGCGACATCGAAGAAAAGAGCCCCTGTACTAATATGTTTAGGGTGATTTAGGCCTTTTAGGATATGTTCCGTTAGGCGGAATAGTTGATCGGGACAGGAATGTCTACCTCGAAAGCCGAATTGTTCCGCCAGCAGAATGCCGTTGGAAAACACGTGCTCATTGAGCCTGTTTAATAAAAGCCGCTCGTAGAGCTTCCCCAGGCAACTGAGGAGGCTGATGGGACGATAACTAGAGGGCTGGTTGGCTTCTTTCCAGTCGTCTGGAAAGGAGCAACTGGAGAGTAAAGTATTGTAAATGGTCGCCAGTAAACAGATAAGCGGCCCAGGGAGAGCTTTAAGAATTTTGTTACTAATATTATCTGGGCCCGGGGCGGATTTGGGTTTTAAGTTTTTAATAATATCTTGAACCTCTTGGGGGTCACTGAATTCAAAGGATCGCCTTCCGGTGGAAGCGCAGCCCTAATCTCGATTACGCGGTCCACCTCCGTTAGGTGGGCTGTATCGATGTGTTCGCGCGATGGCGTACATTGCTGCTCTAGGTTGTCCGCAAGGCATTCGGCTTTTTCGGAGTCATCTAGGGCTACTGAAGCGCTATTAGGTCTAACTAACGGCGGTAGAGATTCGCGGGGGTCTGCTTTCAGACTGCGGACCAACCGCCAGTAGGCGGTGTGCGATGGCTCGATGTCCTCTAGGAGAGTGTCCCACGTTGTATGTCGGTGTTCCGATACACGATCTTTGACTTCTAGCTGAAGGCGTCGAAGTAGGGTTCGGTTCGATTCCGATCGGTATTGGTCGAAAGCGCGTTTGGCTGCATTTTTCTGCCTAATTAGGAGTCGCAGGTCGGGCGGAAAGTTAAACCGTCGATCGCCCGACAGTTTAACCGTCCGTTCCGAGTCTGCGACTGTGGAAGTGATGGTTTCTCGGAGACTCGCTATCGCTCGATTTGCGTCATCGAACGTAGCTATCGTCTCGGGTAGGTCGACTAAGTCCTGGGGGTCCAAGGCCTTGAGTTTGACCTCAAGACGATGCCAGTCCACTACGGATTTGGTCGGAGGGACCGCGCCGGCGTTCTGGCCCAGTTTACACAGGACGGGCCTGTGATCTGAGTCTAGTTTATGGATTGTCTCTATAGACTTGATGTCGAGCGAGACCTCCTTGAGTAACATGATATCTAGGATACTCGGTGTCGCGTGTTGGTAGTTGTCCACCGTAGGATACCTAGTGGGAGTCGCAGGAGCAATTATGCTAAAGTTTAAATTATCGGATAAGCTAAAGAGATGCTTTCCGTTGTTATTTGGGATGCTGTGGATGTCCCATGAGCCGTGTTTGCAGTTTAGATCTCCTGCAATTATCACGGAAGGGCCTAAGTTAAGTAGCGTATCTAGGTCGCTTTGTAATAAGGTTTTGTTCCCCGAGAGGTAGGCTGAGACTAGTACAAGCGGCCTATGGCCGGTGAGCGCTAACCTACACGCGGATGCCTCTATATGGCTTAGCTCTGGAAAGTCGAGCGGGCTACAGTGCAAGGAACGTTTGTAATAAATTAAGGTGCCTCCCAGACGGTTTGCTAACCGGTCGTGGCGGACTATGTTGTAGTTTGCGATTCTGGGATCGCGTACACTAGGTTTTAAGAATGTCGCTTGCACTAGAAAAATATCTATGTTATAATCGCGAAGGAATTCCGCGATTTCGTCCCTTTGACCCTTTATGCCGTTTGCGTTGAAATACGAAACAACCAGAGCCCGAGGTTTTGTTCTACCTGCGGTTGTACTTCCCATTAAAGTTTTTTATGAGTTCTAACTAACGACGCGGCGGAGCGCGGTTTTATTGCGCGGACTATTAAGTTTATGGTTGGCTTGTAAATGCCCAGAGGGCTTCTACAAGCATTTTTTTTTTATGTTCGCTAATGGCTTTAAATCGCGCGTTGCCAGATGTGGCGGCCGCTATTTTAGCGGACAATACGGCGAGTTCTTGTCTATTAATGCGGTCTAATAAGGCGCAGATGTTGGCAATTTGGGCGAACGGGTCGTCCTTGTTTTCGGCGAAAACCGACGGTGTCGACTGCACCTGCGGCGTCGGCGCCGTTTGATAGGCGGGAGCGATTGGTCGTGAGGCGACCGGGGGCGCAACTACCTGCGCGGCCACCTGGGGTTTCGCCCAGGCGTTTACGACGGGTACGGGCGCGGGAACGTATTTCACGGGCGCGGGTTTGGGCAAAGTAGATTTCGCGGGAGCTTTTCTCGCGGGAGTTTTTGGGGCCTTAGCGCAGCCCCTGTAGCTAGCCGGGTGGCCGGTGGTATGACAGTTAACGCAGTCCGGTGGATCTGCGCGACGATGAAATCCGTGAAGTAGTTTAATTGAAAACACTTCGCATTGCCAGAAGATTTTGAGACCAAGGTTATAAAAAAAAGGCAAACTATTGTTAACTGCAACCGCAACCTTAACCAAATTACACATTAGGAAGCAAAAGTTAATATAAAAAAAAGCTGGAGAGTGCGAAGTGAGACATACCAAATATTAATCACTTAAAAATTGCTTCGGTAAGCAGCGGTTTGATATTTTATCTTGCCAGTAGCAAACTTCCAAGAAGTTTACGAGATGTACGAGAGTGATGTACGAGTGTACGAGAGTTTTGCATTTATTTTCATAACAGTCATTATAAAAACTGCCAACCTCACAGTAACTAACTCCTCCGTAAGTAAAAAATTGGTTGACGTTGAAATAACTTTTAAAAATTACAGATTACAAAACAAAAATTACACAGGCATCGTAGAATCAATACTTGAGCTGTTTATGCCAGGGCTATCGAATAAATCATAATTTCAATGCATCAGAGGATATTGCTAGAGGTTACATTTTGGGCAAAACTAATATATCCACTGGAGGCGCTAATCAATTAACATCTACTTACATACAAAAGAACCAAAAAGCATATACTAGAAAAGAATAACAATCAGTAATAAAGCAAGAAAACAAGTAGCAATCGAAGTATTATTAAATAAGCCAACGCTGGAAAATTAGTCACATATAAATTGAAGGTAGATAAAGAAGACGCTTATCATTCTCAATTTAATGCAATTTTACCTTTATTCTCACTATCGCCTGGTTGGTCTGTAATTTTATATACTTTATTGATAAAAATTTTTATAATATATAATACTCTTAAGAATAAAGTTGTAATAAACTAATTATTTATTAAACTATAAATAAATCTATATTTTAATCTATAATTTACGGCCACGCAGCAGCCTCGGCTGTTGCACGAATGGGCAGGCTCGTACGGGTAAGTACCACGCCCTCACAGAAGACCGGCGTAAAGTGGAAGTATACTACTTTCGCGTTTCATCTGGTGAGTGTGGTGGCCAGAGCCCAATTTCAATTTCTGCTAAACCCTCGGACGTAGCAGATGTCCATGGGCGGCGGTATTCACTTAACATCAGGTGAATCGTCTGCTTGCTTGGCAATTTTTCACATAAAAAAAAAAAACAAAAAATCTTACTTTTCCATAAGTTCCGTCTTAGTAAGATGCGTTTGAGTGAAGTTGGCCCCGGAAGTTTGGCTCATGGACAGTTGCGTGGAAAAGTAAGATTTATAGTTTAACTAGCGACCCGTCCCGGCTTCGCACGGGTGCAATGTTGAATGTTTGTTTTCGACATCGCATTAGAAAACTCTAAAATTATCAGTGTTTCTCTATTATAATATCTACTTTATAATCGTTTATTACTATTTACTTACACAAACAGATTCTTAAATTAATTGAGTTATTTTTTTGAAGCTATCATATATAAAAAAGAGAACTTCAACTCACTAGCAGGCAATCTCCTGACGGAATAAGGCTCATTGCGTTCATTCTCCACGCCCTCTCGTGGAACATAATAATACCAAGGTATTACTGGATCTAAGAAGCAAAAAATGCATTTAATATATTTCAACTTATTATATATGCGTGAAAATGTAAATTGCATTGTATCTGTCATAAGCATAACATATGAAAACATTTATGCATGATTTTACGATCTACGTCTGAATTTCATTAACATGATTCAAATGCTGTGGCGAACCCTTATACTTAGACTTTCTATAAATTTACTAGCTGTCCCGGCAAACGTTGTTTTGCCATATAAATTATTTGTAGGGTAGAAATGTTTGGGGTGGACCACCCTTAACATTTAGGTGGATAAAAAATAGATGTTGTCCGGTTCTCCACCCTGGCCGATATGCACACAGAATTTCACGAAAAACGGTTGTGCCGTTTCGGAGGAGTTCAATTACAAACACCGTGACACGATAATTTTATATATTAGATTACCTCCATGCTCGTCCATGTATATTCGAGACTTTAGCAGCTTTTGGTACTCCTCCACTTGTTCCGGCAATGTTCGGAATACTCCGTCAATAATCATCATAACGTAAAAAAGCGGCCACTCAGTCTCTATGCCTTCGAATTCTTTCAGCTCGCCCTCGTGGTAATAGCGACGATTGGGATCTTCGAGGGCACATTTGTAGCCGTCACGACTGAATCTTTTGAAGCCGTATTTTCCTTGTAGACGTGTGAGTATATTGTTTTTCGTCAACTGCACTAAAAGATCTTCATGCGTGGCGAACGCGGGGAACGATATTGTTGGCAACAAAGCTGCATCAACTCCCTAGAGAATGGAATCCATCCAGAAAGTTATTTTTTAATGGAAATGCCTGTATATCAATTAAATTATTCTTTCGACATCATTGTTGGGGAAAGAAATATTTTAAATGGTAGTAGGTGACAAGAGCATAGACGGTTCACTTGATGTTAAGTTATTACCGGCACCCACAAAGAAATCATTCATTTAAATGTACATTGCGGGTCTCCATTTGATTATCATAAGATATTTATATAACAGTTCCAATATTTCATTTTTAATTCAATTGTACAGCCTTGGAAACAGAGTTTTTATTTTTTAACAGCCGTAGCTGGTGCGTGGCCCTACCACCGTAGTTATAAGCATTAATACCTTTGAACTAGATTCCCTTGGTAACATTGTCTCGAAAATGCTTCTGTTACGATTGTGCGCATCAATATCTACATAGACAACACTCCATGATGCACCTTTGTCGCCAAACAAGTTGCAACCGTTTATTGCTTCTAGAGCAGCTTTCGCCATACCTGGAATAATATTTTTTTTTTGCCATTTGAATGTTACTGTACTTCAGAACCACTTATTTATCAAATTAAGTAGATGTTAGATTATTTGGTGATAACCAGGGGTTGTGGGTCAAATTCCTACACCAGAACTATTTGCGTGACCCAGAGATAATTGTCTTAGAACTGGGTGTTTGTTCACATGAACTTTACGTTTGTTAAACATACTTACAATACAGGATAATGTTATCCTTCTGTAAGTGGCCTATGCTTTTGTAGGAAAGACTACGATAGATCCATCTACCTTACGGTACACATATTTAACAAAACCGTTGTTGTGATTGCGGACGGCTAAATTTGGGGTATATATTATTTATTTTTTTAGACTTATGTAGTGTACGTATTGTTAAGTACAAACTTATGCCCAGTTTTTTTGAATTTTTAGTCCTTAAATTATAATAAAATATTGTTACGTGTTCGGGGTTCGAAGGATTAGGAGAGAAAGACCTGCTGACTCTTTTGAAGACTTTATTTACTAGCGCTAGGTCCAACACAAAGCACTAGGTCCAATCACTAAGCACTAAGGATGTCCTAGATTGTAGCCAAGTCGTAGGTTTCACTGGTATCGCTCTTGATCACTAGTTTTCACTCCGAAGTCGCCTCGAAGGTAGCTCAAACTGAACTGTCCTCGCTCGCCTCCCTGCGGCTTTTTATATGGGCCGAGACCGGTTCCGGACTAATCCAGAAAGATCATTCCTGGAACGTACCCGACACGCACGAACATGTTCGTGATTCCGGAAAGTTCGCGAATGTACCCAGTTTTCGAGACTATAGTTCCACAGCAGTTCCTCTAACGCCATCTAGTGTTGAATAGGGGGTTTTATGTCGTCTTTGTTCTTTAGTGGTTTTAATAGTTGACGCTAGATGGCGTTCGTTCCTTTGTGTGTTCATAACACTACTCCCCTCTTAGAGATGCTCGTCCCGAGCATCAATGTTTACTGCCATGGTAACGCGCCAGACGGTCTATGTGTACCACTTTGAATGTCCCTCTTGGTTGCTTTTGAATCCTATAAGTCACATCATTCAGTCGGGTAACCACTTTGTATGGACCGTCCCACTTGGTCTGCAACTTTGGGGATTTCCCTTTCCGACGAGTTGGGTTATGCAGCCACACCAGTGACCCTTCGTCGAAGCCGTCCGTGTTCGATTTCCGGTCGTATCTGGTTTTCATGTTCTCACTTGACTGTAACCCATTTTCCCGAACCAAGGCGTGTATATAGCGCATTTTTTTTCTTAAATTGCAGACATAGTCTTGTACGGTCTCTGGTCCCTCCGGTGACCCTCCTGTCAATAGGTCTACTGGTAATCGTAGTTCTCTACCGTAATTGACATACGCCGGGGTAGCTTTTTATGCTCTCATGTTCGGCGGTTCGGTACGACAGAAGGAAGAGTGGTATATACTTGTCCCAATCCTTTTGTTTGTCGTCTACCAATTTCGCCAGATGCCTCTCAAGGGTCTGGTTAAATCTCTCAACCATTCCATCAGACTGTGGGTGGCACGCGGTGGTCCTCGTCTTATGCATGCCCAAAATTCTACACACTTCCTGGAATACTTGCGACTCGAAGTTCCTGCCCTGATCGAAATGGATTTCTAGAGGCACACCAAAGCGACATATCACTTCTTCGACTAACTTAGAAGCGACTGTTGTAGCTTCTTGGTTTGGTATGGCGAACACTTCGGGCCATTTGGTGAAGTAGTCCATGACGACCATAAAATACTTGTTTCCCGACTCCGTTACAGGAAATGGCCCAGCTACGTCAACTGCAATTCGTTCCCACGGTGCACCGACGTTATACAACCGCAGGTTCCCACGGCTTCTGGTCTGTGGTCCTTTTACAGCAGCGCAAGTAGTACATTTGCGCCACCAATCCTGTACATCATCTCGACAGTGCAACCAGTAGAATCGTTCTCGCATTTTTGTTAACGTCCTCTTGACACCTAGATGACCTCCTGTTACGCCATCATGTATTTCACGGAGAACATCTGGTACTCTCGTTCTCGGGACAATTATCTGAAGATGGAACTCTCTGCCGTTAGTCTTCTCCCATTTCCGGTAGAGTATTCCGTTTTAAAGTATCAGACTGTTCCATTGCGCCCAGTACGCCTTTGTGACGGCGCCAGTGGGAGCAACCTCACTCCAGATTGGTTTTACGTCACCCCGTTTCTTCCATGTGATGATGTGCCGAAGGTCGTCATCTCTTTCTTGAGCCTCCCTCATAGCATCATTCTCCCAGAGACCCAAAGGACTTGTTCTCGTTAGCTTTAATGTTACTTCATTAGATTCCTGTTTGACGCAATGGTTGCAGTCTTCTGAACACGGCCTTCGTGAGAGTGCGTCGGCATGCTCTTTCCCCTGCGGTGTTCCGTCTTGAAGTCATACTCCTGGAGCTGTTCAATCCATCGAGCTACTTGACCTTCTGGGTTCTTGAATTGCAGTAGCCACTTCAAGGCTGCGTGATCAGTTCGCAGTAAAAACTGTCTGCCGATGAGATATTTGTTGAAATGTTGTAGTGTTGTGTCTTTACAACAGCCAAGAGTTCTCTTCTTGTCACACAGTAGTTTCTCTCTGGCTTGGATAAAGATTTGCTGAAATATGCGATAACAACTTCTCTTTCACCCTGTTTTTGAGATAACAACCCTCCAATGGCCGTGTTGCTTGCATCCGTGTCGACTATAAACTGACCTTCAGATTGTGGATACCCCAGGATTGGTGTTTCACATTGGTATTTCACATAACTAAATTGTCGTTTATCTTCTGTCAGTCGATGTAATGGCTTGGCTATCTCTGAGAATCCTTTAACAAAACGCCTGTAGTATGAGCATAGGCCGAGGAATGCTCGCACTTCGGTTTTGTCCTTAGGGGTAGGCCATTTTTGAACTGCTTCCAGTTTCTCCGGGTCTGTCTGGATTCCATCATTGGAGATAACATGGCCGAGATAGTTGACCTTGCTCCTGAATAAACGACACTTTTTCGGGTTCAACTTTAATTTGGCTCCCTCTATTTTGGCGAAAACTCGCTCCAAGTTTCGCAAATGGTCCTCGAAGTCACGGCCGACAATGATGATGTCATCTAAGTAAACTAAGCAAGCCTCTCCAACTAAGCCTGCAAGTACACACTCCATGAGTCGCTCAAATGTGGCAGGTGCGTTGCACAATCCGAAGGGCATGACGTTAAATTGCCATAAACCTTTACCGGTCGAAAAAGCTGTCTTCTCCTTGTCTTTTGGATGAATTTCCACCTGCCAGTATCCAGATTTCAGGTCTAGGGTCGAGAACCATTTCATGCCACTTAAGGTATCCAAAGTGTCGTCGATTCGAGGTAACGGGTAACTGTCCTTCTTAGTGACATCATTGAGACGCCTATAGTCCACACAGAATCTCGTGCTACCTTTGTATCTTTCTTCTTCACTAACACAACAGGTGAGCACCACGGACTTGTAGACGGTTCAATAATCTTATTCCTTCTCATGTCCTCCAAAAGGCCTTCAACTTCTTTTTCCTTTGCAATTGGTATCCGTCTTGCTCGTTGACGAATTGGTCTTTCGCTTCCGGTATCTATCCTGTGCTGAACCATCGAAGTTCTTCCAAGGTCCCCTTCTTGACTGGAGAAGATATTCGCGTAGCGCTGTAAAAACTTCCTAGCTTTCATGCCCTGTGAATAAGTCAGATTACTCTTGCAGTCATTGAGTAGCTCAGTCACTAATCCGTAGTTGTTGCTGTTTGCTGGGTCTGCGCTTGTCGTCGAACTACACTTTTTCATCCAGACAACTTCCTCGCACTTTCCAATAACGTCACCTTTGTTCAAGCAGACCTCGCGATCACAGAGATTCAAAAACTTGACCACAGCGTTACTGCTTCCACTAACAAGGGTTCTTGCCGTCATCAGTTTTTGTGCCGATGTCTTGGTAGGTGTGTCTTCGATTAACACGCATCTGTTTGACTTTTTCTTTCCATTTGGCGGCAGTTTCACCAGCACCCGAGCTTCCGCTCGTCCAGGTATAATGACTTTCTTTACACATGCGACTTTCCCGCAGGCGCTTCCAATAATGAAGATTTCTTCTTCACCACACTTGAAAACTCCGTCAGCGACATTAACTCTGCAGTTGTGTTTCCTCATGAAATCCAAACCCAAGATGCAATCATCCATTATCTCAGCCACGATGACGTTATGAGAGTATGAGGACCCCCCTACATACATCGTGACTGACATTTCTCCCAGGACGGGTATTGGCTGACCGGAGGGAGTAAGAAGCCGGCAGTTAATTCTCCTTTTGAGTCCCCTTGCGGCTTTTACCAGATTAGGGTTCACTATTGTTCTAGAGGCTCCTGTGTCTAGAGTCATTTTTGCAATCCGTCCCACTAATAGTACCCTGAATCACAAGGCTATTCCCGCTGCATGCCTGGGAGATAACAGTTATCGGGGCCTCCTCCGCGTCAGCCAGTACTCGCCCCTTAGTACTGGCTTTTATTAGTTTCCCTGATCCCGGGCAGGGGACGAAGCCTCTCGCTTCTTCAGCTCCGCTATTTGTTCCTCGATCCATTTCATCCTTGCCATCTGGGTCTCCTTCTACGGGCAGTTGAGCTGCAGATGGCCCCTCTCGCCGCACTTGTAACACATAGCTCCAAAACTTTTCTTTGTAGGAGCCTTAACCTCCTTGACTTCCTCAGAGACCTCGCGGATCTTATGGGTCTGCCGTATGTCATGGCGAACAGCCTCGACCTCTAAAGCATGCGCCAGTGCTTCCTTTAGCGAGGTATGGTGACGAAGCCTCACTGCAGCTCTGACGTCCAGGTCTTTGATTCCGTCCACAAATGCTTGAACAATATTCGTGTCCACCATCTTGGTGTCGGCTCCTGGGTGTGCCTTCCCGACGAGTTTTTCAATTTCCAACGCCCATTGTTGTAGTCCTTCTCCTGAGCGTTGGACTCGGTCACGCAGTTGGGCACGGAACACGTGCTCCAGGTGTCGCTCCCCGTATCTGGATTCAAGTGCCTCCATCAGGTCTTGGAACCCATTTCCTGTACGTGGCAGTGCTTCCAGGACCGACAAAGCTTGCCCTCTGAGCGCAACAGTGAGAGCGGTCAGGCATTGCTCTTCCGTCAATCCGTTGGCAGTAGCAACAGTCTGGAATTGCCGACGATAAGCGTGCCAAGAAGTAGTGCCGTCGTATGGCGGCACTTTCACTTTTTGGTCCTTGTGCCACTCCAGTAGTGCCACTAGACATCGCGATTCCCGTGGTTTCAAGGCGCACTACTTTCTTCTGTAGTTCGGTGAGGCCGGTTTTCACATTTTCAACATCCAATCCTAACCCGGTAACTCGTTCTTCCACTACGTCGACATCTTTTCGAAGTTTAATCACCGTGTTACTAACATCATTTATAGCCCAAAGCGCCTTTTCTTGGAGGTCTTTCTTTTTGTTGCTCTTGTGATTCTCGAATCGCTCTGATTTCAGCCTTTTGAAACTCTTGAATCGTAGTCAGCTTGCGTTCTTGTGACTCTTGCAAAGCGCTAATTAGTTCAATTAAACTTCCTAATTGAAGAGCCATTTCAGGGGCTGCAGAAGTTACGGTGCCGTTGGTGGGCGTGGCAAGGTGGGCGGGGCCAGTGGGCGTGGCCCGGTGGGTGGAGTCAGTGGCCGGTGCTTGCACCAAAGCGGGCGGGGCCTGCGCCCGAGTGGGCGAGGCTTGTGCCCGAGTGGGCGGGGCCTGAGTCCGAGTGGGCGGGGCTTGTGTCTGGATGGGCGGAGTCTGAGGGGCGTGGTCGGTGGGGCCAGTGGGCGGGGCTTGTCCCGCAGTGGGCAGGGCTTGTCCCGCAGTGGGCGGGGCTTGGTCCCCAGTGGGTGTGGCCTCCGCAGCTCGTGCCCTTGTCCTGACATCCTCCTTGAAGTCCTCTCTCGCAGTCAATGGCTTCTCCAAATCCCACTTCTGACACCAGTTGTTACGTGTTCGGGGTTCGAAGGATTTGGAGAGAAAGACCTGCTGACTCTTTTGAAGACTTTATTTACTAGCACTAGGTCCAATCACTAATCACTAACGATGTCCTAGATTGTAGCCAAGTCGTAGGTTTCACTGGTATCGCTCTTGATCACTAGTTTTCACTCCGAAGTCGCCTCGAAGGTAGCTCAAACTGAACTGTCCTCGCTCGCCTCCCTGCGGCTTTTTATATGGGCCGAGACCGGTTCCGGACTAATCCAGAAAGATCATTCCTGGAACGTACCCGACACGCACGAACATGTTCGTGATTCCGGAAAGTTCGCGAATGTACCCGGTTTTCGAGACTATAGTTCCACAGCAGTTCCTCTAACGCCATCTAGTGTTGAATAGGGGGTTTTATGTCGTCTTTGTTCTTTAGTGGTTTTAATAGTTGACGCTAGATGGCGTTCGTTCCTTTGTGTGTTCATAACACTATATATACATTATATATATATTTTGTTTATCTTTGTGATTTCCTTAAGCTATCAAACACTTGATTACTAAATAGTTAACTTAAATATCATATACAGCGTGTCGTTACCATCGCGACAATAAATAAACACACATATAGGGGATAACTTTTTAAAGTTGTATTAAATATTTAAATTCTTTAAACATCAATTTTTACAGAGTTATTAAATTTTTCAAAACAAAGAATTTTAGAACACCCTTACCTATAAAAGCGTAACGTAAAGTTCATTTGTAAAGGTCACAAAGCATATGAATGGGTTGAATGAACTTAAAAGAGACAAAACATACTGTTAGAAGGAGAGGCTTGTAATACGACGCTGTGGCGCGAGTTGTATAGGTGTTACAAATTTTGTTTCTTTTTTATTTGATTAGTTTGTTCGAAAAATATTTTTTTTTAATTATGGATTTTGTTTAACGTTAATATTTTTTTATGATTATTGCCAAGTAGCGTTAGATGTGTGTTCATTTATTGTCGCGATGGTAACGACACGCTGTATATAGGATGTTACAAAAGTACCCGTATAGCCGAAAGGAGGTTAAATAGGGCCTTATAACGAATCCATTCAAAATATTTAAGAACCGTAGTAACGCTGTATAACATACCCAAAAAAAATAATTATTATTTTCACCGATGACCAAACCCTATTTCAGTAAAATTAAAGAGTAAACTACGCAGAATGTACCTACATTTCTACCTAATTCGCGGAACGACAACAATTTTAAAAGACCTAATCTAAAGGAACACTTAATCGTACGTTGGGAACAAAATGTGCCGGAGCTCCATCATACTGAAACACCATGTTTCTTTGGTTTCCAAAGTAATCCCAGTCAGCCACAGGAAGTCGTCAATCGCCTCTTCGAATTTGTCATCGTTCATCGAATCGTTTGTAAAAACGTTAGATAGTTGCTACCTTCAGACGTGATGGCATAATGACAGGACCGATGACATGCCCGTCATAAAGACCAGCTCATACATTCAGCTGACACTGGTGTTGGAATCTGCCCTGACATGAAGCATGTGAAATCATGGCGGCCCAAACGTGATCATTATACATATTTGAAAGTCCTGACCTCGTGAATGTTGTCGTGAATAGTTTAAGTAATTAAGGTTTTCCTCTAACTGAGGTACCACTCGCATAAATTCCTCCTGGGTACAAAAAAAAATCGGATGGTATCAGATCCTGTGTACAGCGATAGTGATAAAGGTGACGATTGTCGTCACGAAGAATTCGCCAAACTATAACATGATTTATAACGAATCTTGTTCCGTCTTGCCTCGTAGTGGTCGGCTCTTCTTCAAAATGTTCTAACACTAATTGACTAATGCCTGCCTGGCGTCGATTGTGCTTGGACGTACACTTGCAGTAGACCAATGAAAAAAGCCGGTGGAATGTAGACGTCTTGACATGTTCAAAAACCACTGGTACGAAGGCAGCTGTTCAGTGGGGGGTCTAACGTCGATACAGTTCGCGAGCACGATTAAATTGCTATATTCATGGCATACGCATAACATCATATCATAATATCATTTTGCAATAAATGTTGGGGAAAAAAAACTCGAAACAGTTGTAGGATATCGATTAGAATATTTGAAATTGACAACATATTTTTTTTCCAACTTCACACTTTTTGAAGCCAGTATTTGAATATAATGACATGCTATATATTTATATATTTTTTACATATACATTTATGAATGAAAAATAGAAAAACTTTTAGATTAGACAATTATTAGGTAAAATAGGTACGTAGGCCTTTCTGTTATATAATCTGGTTCCCTGACATGATAGCTTACTAGGGTTAACAAAATTTTTGCCTTTGATAATTAATTATATTTTTATGGGGTATTTTGTAACGCGTTCTATATACAGGGTGGCTTTTCTAAAGGTGCCCAAATTCACACAGGACTCGATAGTATAACCGTTTATTGAGATAAAAACAAACTTTTTTTTTTTCAAAAAAAATTGCTATTCCTTTTCCTAAAAACCAGAACTTGTTGTCAATGAGGTGGTCATTCATAAATGCGTCGTATAATTTTGAAACGAACTTGTGTGCGTGTTAGTTATGAATGATCGTGCGTAAAATAAATAAGTTGCCCATTAAATCACGCACTTTTTGAAATAAGTTCAAATGAATGTATTTAATTAATTATGAATGATTTTAAATATTTATCATTTTTTATTTAACATATTTTATGTCTAGGATTTAATAAAAAAATGGATACACTGAAAGAAGCCTGCCCTGTATATAAACACTAAATGTGGCATTTATAAGATTTGTTACAATATTAATCAAAATAAAGTAGTTTGTTTTACTTTTGCATTTTGTTTAGTAAGTTATATCACCAAGGCCTTCCTTAAAAAATCTTGACACCATGTGAAGTCTGTGTGCCAGTAATTATTCAACATAGGTGTCAAGTAATCATTTTCCAGTTATTACATAAAATAAATGTAAATTACCTATGGAGGAGGCATGAATTTCAGGTTTTCCATCATTATATTTTGATCCTCTTTCCCACATACCATAATCAGGTGTTCTATAAGCTCTTTCCACATAATATACTAAATTTTGTACAAATGCCACTTCATCCTAAAATTATTAAAAATCACAATCAGTAATGTATATCAACAATTTTTTTTTTAATTTTTGTATTTTCACAATCAATTTTTTATATGTTTAGATTGAACATCATTGTTAACAGATCCAAAGATCTACAAGCTATTTTCGGGTTTAATATTAACACTATTCATATTCCTTATTTGCAATTCTATGTGTGGCTCATATGGTAAAATTAATATAAATAATAATCATAGAACCTGTTTAGGCATTGCTGCCATAAATGTTGATAGCTGATGCCAATGCCATTATGATTATAATTTTTACAAATAACATAACATGAATATACAACAATAATGGTACCTGTGTGTATATAATTTGCAATCCAGCTGTAATCATTTGCACCAGAAATAAAAGATAAAGTGAAACAACATCTATTTGCAAATGATGGTATTCCTCATCTGAAAGCACTGGTTCTCCAGTTGTGAGATGAAACTTAACATGAAGAGCATGAGCAGCACTTTGTCGAGTTTTGAATGCTTCTACACGAGCAGACTGTTTTATCCAGCATTCCAAGATACCGCGCATACATTTCACTGTGCTTTGGCCCAACTCATGAGACTTGCCACGATCATCATCAATGCGCCTAATAAGAAAATTATAGTTTTATGAAACCTAATGTGTGGTGGACATAAAGTTGTAGGAAAAATTCAAAATATATCATTAATATATTAAATAAATATGCAGAGAAGTAATGATACCACAATATTAACTCTATTTACCTGTATGCCTGATACAAACCCCAAACTGCTGCTGCACAGTATACACTATCTCTTACACTACCAACTTGAAGGTCAGAAGATAAAACTGGAAATAAACCAGTAATTGGACTTTGGAACCTTAGCAGCTGTCTTTTAACTGGAACAAAAGTTTAACATATAATAAAATCAGACTTTTAATGATTAATAGAGAACTAATCTATTATATACAAAAATCATCACCATTATTATGAAATGCATAGGACAGCAGGCACTTTTCTTCTATTCAACTCTACCAATTATGACTAACAGTTTATACCTCCTATTACCCAGTCCATTTAAATTTATAAATTTAATACTTTTTATTAAGTATCTAAAATGTATTATATGATAAAAATGACATCTGTGTTACTTCTTTATATAAATGTATAATTCTTTTGCATGTGTGTATGTCACTGAACTCCTCCTAAGCGGCTGGACCGATTTCAATGAAATTTTGTGTGACTTTAGGTTGATTCGAGAATGGTTTAGATTCACAATTCGGTACACTAAAGTTTTTTTTATTATTTATAACTTGTTGTCCAAATTAATTAGTGTATATGAGACAACGTCTGTCGGGTCCGCTAGTATTATATAAGTGACAACTTACCTATTGCATAGTAAATATCAAGCTGACGAACTGTATCTTCATAGTTAGAGATCTTAAGAAATTGTTGAGCATTAATATCATCTATACTACCTTGCCGAATCATTATGTCCGGGAACACCTGTGAAAATATATAGGATATACAAACTATAATTACATAAATGTGAAATACTAAAGGAAGGAAACTATAATATAACAATTCCTTAATTTAAAAAAGTATAGTTAGTATTTAGTTTAAGTGTATTGGTCAAACAAAACTTTTGAGATAATGTTGCCGAAAACAATTGCTGACACAGTACATGTTTACATATTTATAATTTACTATCAAATTCATCACGTACTCAATTCACCAGCAAATCATGAAATTATTAACTAAACTAAATAATTAACTAATACGAACAACAATTACATCTATGAAGTTTGTTTTGACAATTGACATGACCCCAAGTGTCAAGGACAGTAGTGTCAAACAAACATGAATCATGATTCGTGTTTACAAAATCTTCATATCGATACAAACCACTCAATATTAAACTAGGTATTAATAATAGTAATTGTTTTTTAGCTTTTGCTTCATATTTTTATACATTTCTTTCTACTTTATTACAAGTCCCTCAATCAATATTTCAGAAACGTGAAATGATAATTTTAGCTACATATTATTTAAAATTTACTTTCATTTATTTTATTTAAATCATTGTTATTAATTACAAAATAAAAACTATTGCATAAAAATATTTTTCTTATTTTAAGTGTGATTTATATGAAGCTTTATTGTCAAACTGTGTCAACAACCTTGAAATCCTTACATTATTTAATAAACATTGTAATTGTAAATCGTATATTGGAATTAAAGGTAATAGATACTATATATGTCGTCTTAATAGATAATTATACATTATAAGAACATTTACTTATATAATAAAGATAATGAAAATATAGAAAAAAGAAAATTTAACAGGTTTGTTCCGAATTTTTGTAATTATCCAATTCTTTTCTTCACGAAGTTCTTATTTTAATTACGAATGAGTTTTTATCACTAGCACGCTAAGTAGCAGCTTACATGTACTCAATCTAGTACACAGCAACCAGAATGAGTCATGAAAAACATCAGGGACCTGACTCTGGAAGCAACAACAAAGATACTCAGGTTTTTTTTATGGGCATTAACACTAACACTGTTAAAGGCGATGCATCACTACACTAACCTATTTGACGCCGGGATTAGGCTAACAATTTATTTATCTAATTGACACAATGTAAGCTAACATAATAATTATTTTAGCATGCGAAAATAATATGAAAGGCTTATCAAATAAAGAACTTATTATTGTATATAATATAATAAGAAAGAATAAAAAAAACATGAGCAGGAATTATTTGAGAAAAAAATTTTTTATACTACTGTAAAGGCCTCTAAATATTTCAGTAGGTATAATTCATTTATTTGTTTTTGTTCTGTTTTGAGGGTTTTAATAATTTGTAATTGTTTGCAATTTGTTTCTGCATGTGGAAAGGATGATTGCCAAAACGAATCGATAAGAAATTTAATGCAAAAATAAATTGTAGTCAATGAACAAATATTATTTGTAAGGGTAATCTTGTGTTCATATATGTCTGAATGTAGAGCGGGCAAATGTGTTTTAGAAATTCTGAAAATTTAAATGAAATCTACTAAATATCTCTTCTATACAGCTGTGAGCGGTAATTGTTTATATGTGTAATCAGTTGAATGTAATAATGTGTATATATTTCGCAAATTGTTTATGTGTATAAAAAAATGTATGTAATAATCCTTAGTAGCTTTTGATAATATATATTTTCTTTTTGTGTTGTTTATATGGATTTTGTTTCTTTCTGAAGAAGTTATAAACTTTTGTTATTTTTTGAAATATGTATGTAATTTAATATTTTTTAGTTGGACCTTTTCACATTGATTGGCGGAAGCTGGCCACCAGCTCCTCGTAACCCTGAACATCCACATTATGGGACGGTGCCCAGAAATTTCAAGCACACTATGCATAATGAACGAAATAAGTCTATAAACTTAATTAATCACTTGGCACCAGAAAAAAGGAAGAATAGACCATCACTGACTTTACCATCTACAGGGAAATCTACAAGTTCTGAAGAGGTTTGTCAAAGGACAAAAATGGTACATGAACCTAAGAAGATTGAGACAGGTATTTTAATAGGTGAGTGTTGGTTAAAAGTAACATTGATAGATACTTCTGAAAGAATTATTTTGATACTTTGATTCATGATCATCTTCAACAACAACTATTATAATATTTTTCTTTATTGCAACAATTATTATTTTATTTTATTGGGGAATTCCCCAACAAAATAAAATATTAGGGTCTAACTGGCATTCACTAATTTTCCAAAGTTGTGTTGCTATGGTTTTTATATAAGAGACTAGAGACCAGCTCCGGCTTCGCACGGGTGCAATTTATTATACATATATACCTGCATCTTGAATCACTCTATCTAGTAAATAAAAACCGCATAATGATGTTCAAACAATAACTAAACACATTGTTTACATCATATTTAATATGTTGGCAATATACAAACATTTTTTGTTCTCTATTGTCAATATGTTAATTTAGTTAAAACTTCACTTTTCTAAGTGCAGGTATGAAGTTCAACACAGTGGCTGTAAATTCGTTTTTCAAAAATGTTTTTCTACAAAAGATCTCTTGTTATACTCTAAACAGATAGTGACTCCACTGATAACAAAACTGACCCTCCACTAGCAACACTGAAAAAAATTCAAGACTGAAAAAGATTCAAAAATTCTAAACAAATCATAAAATATTTTTTGATGATTGATTCAATAGTCCTAAACATTATGTATATCTTTCTCTCATGGTACAGTGCGCCTAAACATCATATTGTGTAGAAAATGTATGGTTTTATTATGTTACAACAACAATTGAAACTGTTTGTCGGTATTTCATGATTAAAATTACAAGGGTACTTGATATTATTATTAAAACTAAAATATCTAACACTTTCTTTATTTCATATGAACCCATATTTGTCCATAGTAATATCAATTAAAATTTGTTTGAGTGCATACAAACCCAGTGTTTTTGTTTTAATTTTGTGATTGTTATTAATTTCATACTTAAAGAAAGCCTTAATTACCAAATTAATAATTGTCAAATATTTTTTCATCATTTCATTCATAATTTATGCAGTAAAGGGTTAAAGGATCTAAGCATACATAGGGACAGACAGACAGTGGGATGAGTTTGTTTTATACTAGTGTAAAAAGTCAACGTCATCCCAGTGTCAATGTTTGTAGTGAAGATTAAAACATTATTCAGGATTTTTGAAGTTTTTACTTGTCTATTACAATTTCAATGTGAATATGATAAAATTGAGAATTTTAAGAATAACTTGACATTGGCATAATTCTGATAACTCACAAAACAAGGCATTAATAAATAGAAGAAGAAGTCATATGGTCCGCCAGATGCATTAGAAGAAGAAGAAAACATTCAGAATTTTAAACCATTGCATTATGTCATTTACCATTCTAATCTATACTGAGGGCATAATATTGAACTGTCTTAAATTAATTATTTCGTGTTAATCTAACTTGTTTAAAAAACTTTAAAAATGATAATGACATAATATATTGATAGAAATTGATATTAAACTTAAAATGTATTTGAATCATAAATATTTCAAGTTCAAAAAACAATCAATATAAAAACACTTACCATTTTATTTAAGGTTTTATTACAGTAAAAGTACAAATTTACTTAAATATATTTTATCAAGATTAAAACTCACACAATCATAATAATACACACCATATTTGCTTTTTCTATCCATGCCAGATAGGTCGTCACAGTTTTGAAAACATTTTAGAGTGCATACAACTGTACACTCTAATAATAGGTTTCCCAATTTCTAATTTTAGTTTTAACGTCGTAAGTAGATGCGCGGTTGTTTGGCGTTGGCTCTAGTATCGACGTGAAGTATGTCCCATGCATTTTATTACCAAGGGATAGATATCAATGATATACCACTTTGTGTGCTTCAATATCAGGATAGTATGTGATTAATCTCACCTGCTAGTGTGATTTATACAAGAGTGTATCTGACAAGTATCTTAATATCAATTATTGTAGATGTATGCGGTACTGAGGCGCCAGAGGATCTTTACGATTCCCCAGTTCTTGGATCACCTCGGACAACTCAACCACCTTCGAAATCTCCTATACACGTACAGGAGGATATTGGCGTGGGCTCATTAGTGGAGGTCGCGACTGATGTGGATCAACATTACTATGGCGTTGTTAGGTGGATTGGAATTATCGACGGTATGTTACAATTTTTGTATTGCTCATTAAATAAATGTAATCTTTAACTTTTTGTGGATGATTGTGATTCATTATTACTAATCTAAACTATATTGCAATGATTTCGTAGTTCTCAGTTGTTCAAGGAAGTCCAATAACGTTGGTTCATAACAAATTTTTTTAAGTGGGACCGTCGGATAAGTCAACCCAGCATCCGATAAACGCTACTGCCTCGCGCGCCAAGGAATAGTCCGACAATAGCTACCGTTCGAGCCAATGTCCGGCTTCTCCGGCCCTTCGAATGGGAATGCGCATCCAAGGGGTAAAACGGGATTTTACCCTTTGGGTACGGAACCTTAAAAACGGCTCTGTAAGTGCACCGTGCGGGCAGACACGGCGACGGCCGGCGTGGAGCTGGAGCAGAGCGTGTGCGGCCTGGGCGACGGCAGCCGCGGCGGCGTGAAGGTGTTCGCGTGCGCGCCGGGCCGCGCGCTCTTCGTGCCGCTGCCGCTCTGCCGGCGGGACGCGCGCTTCCGCGACACGCCGCCGCCCGACCGGGCGGACGTGCACCACGCGCAGCACTACGATCAGGTCGCTGGCCGGAAATAATGTTTCTTTTTTTTTTTACAAATCCTATTAAAAATAAATTATAGTTTAAAAACACGCTTTAACGGTAAAAAAAACTGAAAAGTAAAAAATAAATTGCAAAATAAGAATAAAGTGATTAACGAGAAAATCGATGGCATTGTTAGAGAAGCCTGAGGTGCTTTTACAAAATTTTTAATATTTCAGATTTTCGGACCAAAGCCAATTTAGTTATCATTAAAAAGTAGATGAAACATGGCTTACATGTAAAAAGAAATTGTGTAAGTACTACCTATAACGCAGGTTCGAGTATATCTAGTGGTTTGCATAAAATTACAAGCAAGCAGAACTTTCAGAACCTAATGAGCAAATGTGTGAATGCTTAAAATTAAATAAGGTTAGGTTATAGCGATCGGTATCGATAGACTTAGTACGAAAAAGCGGTCAATGATAAAAATGTAGAACAACTAGTTTTTGTGCACAGCCGGACTGCCCCGTAGTACCAGGTGTGGTGCCCCCGCTGAATTCGCTGGGTGACCTGGCAGGCAAGAACCGCGGCATCCAGGGCCACCACAATTCCTGCTACCTAGATGCGACACTCTTTGCCATGTTCACCTTCACCAGCGTTTTCGACGCGCTGCTGTATAGGCCTCCAGAGCCTGAGGTATTATGCTTTTTTGCGCAAATTTATACGGATTTTCAAACACAAATCTTTAAAAAGACGCACTGTTATATAAACATGGGAATGATAATAACAATGATTTCGAATAAATTAAATATTAAGCCGACACCTAGTTAAGTCGCCGGCTTATTTAAAGATACAACATAAGTGATTACGTACGCATCCAAAACCAAAACATCAGTACAATTCAATGTAGTTTGTTACTGTAAGGCTACACTATGTCTGAACTTAATGTCACATATGGGAGATTAAACGAACGTGGCCTTTAAAAAAATTTAGAGTGAAAGAAAGCTTTTTGCTGGTCAGTTATTAAAAAAAACGATAAAAATTATTTTTATTCATTGAATGAAACATTTAAAAAGGAACGTTACCGAAGTCACTTGAACAGGAGTCAAGTAGTCACATTTTATAGGGAAACAATAAAATAATAATCATTTGAACCGTGTTAAAAAATAATACATTATAAAAAACGTCACCGAAGTCACAGTGAATAGGAGGCGAGTATACTGGTACTCTCTATAGGGAAAAAAAAAGAATGTGAACCATGTTATAAAGTAATACACTAATAGGGACGTTACCGAAGTCACGGTGAAAAAGATTCTAGTACTGGCACTTGCTGTAGGGAAACAAAAAAAAAGAAACATGAACGAGAGATTGCGTTGGCGCAGGACTCGCCGCACTACACAGAGGTGCAGCGCGTGCTGCGCGAGGAGGTCGTGAACCCGCTGCGGCGGCACGGCTACGTGCGCGCCGATCGCGTCATGAAGTTGCGCACACTGCTGGAGCGGCTCTCCGATGTGCCTGGCTTGACCTCGGAGGAAAAGGTGCCTTCACTTCTTTTTTTTATTAATTCTTTTTAATAGCGCTTCAACGTAATCGTTTTGTCAACGTGTCGTTGTTATTATCCAACAGTGCAACGTACACAGAGTATTAATAACTTTGTTGCGCACTTTCAAAGGTATTGGGTTCGGCGCCGAGGCTCTTGGGTTCGATCCCCATTTGGGACAACTATTTGTGTAACTCACAGACAATTCTTTCGGATCTGTGTTATATACATTGTAAAAAGAAAATAAAATGTGATTGTATGTTTGTTCCTTTGTAACTCTCTAGGGACCAAACTTATTCTTAATTAAATTTTTCGAATTCTCTTAATGTTGTAGATATATATAATGATCTAATATACACTTATTATAGTCTGAATAAATCTTGAACGCGGTTTGAGTCTGAAAATATGTTAAACTGTTTGACTTTTGTTTGTTATAATAAAACCGGTTTGTTATAATAAAAACCATTTATACGAGAGAAATTATTAAATTAATATACTAAAACTATTGACGTATTATTTCAGGATCCAGAGGAATTTTTAAACGGTCTCGTGGCACAATTGTTACGGGCCGAACCATTCCTCAAACTATCTTCAGGGCAAGAAGCTTACTGTTATCAGCTGTTTGTTGAAAAAGATGAGCAGGTCACCTTACCCAGCGTTCAGCAACTTTTGGAACAGTCGTTTGCCACATCTGGCGTCAAGTTAAGCGAGGTACGATATTTACGGGCGATTAGATGAAGTATTAACACTGTCCATACATCCTACTTAAAATATTCGTGGGATAGGATACGAAAGGAAATAGGCGGTAGAGGGTTTATAATATATACCTATAAAGTGAATAAAGGAAGAAAATGTAATGTTACAAAAAAGTTGTAGTTTTAATTTTATTTTATTCTTCATGACCGTGATCTACACTAATGTTATACTTGTTACAGGTACCCGCCACATTTATTATACAAATGCCAAGATTTGGAAAACAATATAAGCTATACGAACGCGTGCAACCTTCACCACTGCTAGACGTGACTGATCTGATTGAAGGATGTAAGTATTGTAACCATAATAAAATTATGGTTTAATGTGAATAAACTCCACCTACTAAAAGAGCGGATAAACACGCTTAAACTTACTGTCATTTTAAAGCGCGTGCAAGCAAAATTTTTTAAATATTATTTTTTTATGTCAGAAGGTGACAAATGACCACCTGATATTAAGTGATACCCGCCGCCTATGTACATTTGCAACACCAGTGCAGGTTACAGGTTGCAGGTGCGTTGACATCTTTTAATATGTGGGCTCCTAGTATCTCAACCAGCAGACGAAACGCATAAGTATAACACTTCCACTTCACGCCGGTCTTTTGTGAGGTCCGGGTACTTCCCCTGACGGACCTGCCCATTCGTGCAGCCTGAATGCAATTTGAGCCTAATAATACAAAATTACAAATACAGGTGCTCGATGTACGGTCTATAGGGGTGTGTGGCGACTCACATATACTGCATTTGTATACAAAGACCCGAACCACTATCTATGTATGTGTGCATCTGTGTATATGTATGTGTGCATCTAAGTATGTGTACATCTGTGTATGTATGTATTTGTGTATGTGCATGGTGCATCTGTGTATGTGTATGCGTGCATCTGTGTATGTGTATGCGTGCATCTGTGTATGTGTATGTGTGCATCTGTGTATGAGTGCTTGTTTACTTAACCGTGTATATGACGGCTTGGTATTGCCGGCAGTGCCGCGCCAGTGCACGGTGTGCGGGGGCCTGGCGCGGTGGGAGTGCGGCGCGTGCGCGGGCGGCGGGGGCGGAGGCGCACTCGAGGCGGGCGCGCTGTGCAACGGCTGCCTGCGACTCGCGCACGCCTCCAGGCCCCACCACAAGGTGACCATAAAATACATGTCCCACTAATGGGCACAACTAAAATACAGTCCACCACGCGACCTCATTGCGGGTTGGTAGACTCCACATACTTTGGGGAAACATTTTTTCAAACTCACCAGTGAATAAATTTATAATAACTTCCGTCTGGCACCAAAGGCCTATCTACTCTTATACAGTAAAAAGCTTAACAATACATTAATGTCTGTTAAGATATAATCTTGATGTCTATCAAAGCTTTGCATAGCCGAAACGTGACAAGTTTATATCTCAACCAAGAGCAAGTCAGCCTACACTCCAAATAGCTATGCTAAGTTCTAGAGATAGGAAGCACACAGATCACGTCCTAAGAAAATGTATATAAAATACCTATAAATATATGTATGTTAAACAAAATATATATGAAATACGTCTGCTTTATAGTAATGAAATATGTACATATAAACATCTCACTATTGTTTGCTAACGTGTTTATTGTTATCGTGGTTTAGGAATGTTTTTGTTCGTGTTGTAAAGCATTTTGTGTTTCAGTCAGAAACTTAAATATTTTATTAACCGTTATGAAATTCTCCGAAATTTTATTGAAATATTAGCGTAAATACGAGAATTTACTAAAAATAAAATCTTTATGTATTTCACATTCAAGCCGCTTAACATTTTTTTTATTGCAGGCTACTCCATTAACTATTTGCGAAGAATTCGCAAACGTGTTAGAAACTTGTCCTGTACCCAGAGTGTATATGGAACTATTTGCAGTTCTATGCATTGAGACTAGTCATTATGTGGCCTTTGTTAAGACTGGAGTTGGTCAAGATGCTCCATGGTGTTTCTTTGATTCCATGGCAGACAGAAAAGGTATGTTATTTGATTCACTTGCATAAAATCATCAAACTAAACAAATGAGGTGACAGCACAATGTTTAAAACTCTTACATATCATAATCATGACGTGCAAAACTTTAATTAAAAATGTAGATAATAAACTCTTCTATACTTAACTGGCAAAGAAATTCAAAGTGGATCTTTCACACAGATACAAGAAAAAAAGCTTACATATATAAAAATGTTAACGTATTTACAACTAATAATACATTTAAAACTATTTCTTATTAAGAGTCTTAGGTTATTAAAATACAACTAGAACATGTGGAATATGTATATGATAAGGATGCTAGATGGTTGTGATATGGCAATTAAGCACTGTTATTGAACTTCGTAATGTAAAATAACAATATTTTATACATATCACCCTTACGGTGTACTTTAATTGGCGTCAATTCCATTTATGAAAATTATTGCGTTAAATAATATGTTTTGTTGCCTCACAATACTATTACTAAGACTTCGTTGGTCTTTCCGTCTGTCACCAGGCTGTATCTCATGAACCGTGACAGTTAGACAGTTGAACTTTACACACATGATGTATTTCTGTTGCCGCTATGACAACAAATACTAAAAACCAGAATAAAAAAAATTAAGAGGGGCACACATACAACAGACATGATTTTTTGCGCGTTTTTATAGCTATCGGTACGGAATAATTCGTGCGCGGGTACGACCCGCACCACCTCTTCACACAAATACTAGTATCGTGTGGCGTCTGGGGATAAGTTGTTTGTGTAAGCGCGATGACATCTAATCGGCAACGTCCGCAGGCGAGCGCAACGGCTACAACATCCCGGAGATCGTGTGCCTGCCGGAGCTGGGCGCGTGGCTGGGCGAGGAGGGGGGCCGCGAGCGGCAGCCGCCCGCGCACGCCAAGCGGCTGCTCGCCGACGCCTACATGTGCTTCTACCGCAGCCCCGACGTCGCCATGTACCGCTAGCTTTTGGCCCAGCCTAGGTCGGTCTAGCCAGATTCCTGATTTTAGTATAGTGAGTGGGTGGGGGGGCAGGTCCAAGAAAATAAAATGGAAGAAACGCGTATAAATTAACAGTTACACTGAAATCTGCGGCTACCTTAAGACGCAAGACTAAAAAATAAAATTACATCAAAATAATTTCATTTTTAATAAAAATGAAATTATTTTGATGTAATTTTATTTTATACCGTTCATGGTTCATGTCAAAGAAATTGACAATTTAATAAAAATAAATCTAGCTTCAGAAAAATCTAGCTGAGCCTCGTAACGCGTTTCGTTGCACGAACGGTAACGGCTTGTACTTTATTTTGCGTTTCGTCTTGAGCGTGGCAAGCGGATGCAATATCAAAAGAAACTTAGAAGTATGTTGTCGTTTCAATATATTCTAACTACTGAATGTATATTGTTTAAAAATATTTAAGGGAGAAAGGAAATTATTTTGTATATTAAAAAATAGTTTTTATTCAGATTCCATTTTCTTCTGGTCTGACAATTTATAATCAGTTTGTTCTAGATATTTTTTTGGGAAATATACAGAAGTTTCATAAGATAACTTTGATTGTTAGCTTAATTTCAAAAACCATATTAATTATACTTTTAAGTTCAAATAAAATAATTTTAAAACCTTAAGGCTACTTAAGGCACATTAAGGCTACTTCATTGACCAGACAGATATGAAAAATCCTCTCGAGACCTTAGACATGATTATCTAAATGAAGTTTCTATTCCATTAACATTAGGCTTATCCATTTATCTTGTTATGGTATATAATATGTAAACATATTCTGTAAATGTAAATATTAATAAATTATATGGAAATGCATTTGAACTTTGTTGTTTATCAATCACATTTCTTTAAAATCACTACTCTTATTTCCTTGATAATCTTATATAGTAAGTGCTAGTTAATTTATTTAGTATTACTTTATTAGTTATTTTATTTAGTATTGCTTTTGTCACCCGACTGCGTCAAAAGAACTTTTTTTTGTCTTTCGAACGTGTTGTATATTTTTAGTACGCTCTGAAATCTAAACGGCTCAATGGAATTTATTAAGGAATTTTGATTAGACTCGTTAAGTGGAAAAGACAATATAGAAGATGAAATTATATTAATAAAAATATGTAGTAAAGATTAAAATATATATGTCGTAAAAACCAGTTATAAATAGCACTTTGTACAGTAAATTACTGTACTATACTGATACAGTGCATTATATACCTTTGAAAAAGGTTTTTAACGTGATTCATCTAAATGTTCTCAGTCTATGAATGAATGAATGAATATTCGTTATTGCACACACCATTGTAAAAAAGAATACATTAAAAATAACAATTATGTAACGGTTGACAATGTGCGGCCTTATTACTTAAAGCAATTACTTCCAGGCAACCTTTGGATGTACATAATATGAAAAGAGTATTTTACGTATGTGGGTAAAATTCTACAAATTTTATAAGATAAATACATACTTTGTTATAAAAAAAATAAGTACATAAATACCTAAATAAATATAGAGCGTGTCTTTAAAATCGCGACAATAAATGAACACGCATATAGAGGATAAATTTTTAAAATTGTATTAAACATTTACATTCTTTAAACATCAATATTTACTGAGTTATAAAATTTTCTAAAACAACGAATTTAAGAACACTCATACGTATAAAACTGTAACGTAAAGTTCATTTGTAAAGGTCACAAATCATATGAATGGGTTGAAATGGGTTCATTTGAAAGAGACAAAACATAGTGTTAGAAGGAGAGGCTTGTAATGCGACGCTGTGGCAACGAATGAAAAAGTCTCTGAATGTATGAATCAGTCAGTTCTAGTTGTATAGGATGTTACAAATTTTGTTTCTTTTTTACTTAATTAGTTTGATTGAAAATTTTTTTTTTAAATTATGGATTTTTTTAACGTTAATTTTTTTATGATTGGCAAGTAGCGTTAGACGTGTGTTCATTTATTGTCGCGATGGTAACGACACGCTGTATATATCATATAGACATATATCCATAAACACAGTTAATATACCACATCAAATACATAAATACATCACGACACTAAATATATATCAGAGACACACCTAAATACAACACATCCTAATCAAAATCTGATTTAAAGTGACAAATAGTGACTCATGACAAGGTTTTTAAAAGTGGAAAGTGTCTGAGCATGTCTCACCTCCAGAGGTAGGGCATTCCATAATTTCGCACCTTGAAACATGAAGGACATAACGAGGAACATGAAGGACTTAACCATAAATTTTGTTTTGTGAACAGGTATTTATAATTTCAAATTTTCTGATGATATCAGAAGATGCAGATGGGTTTCGTTTAAAAACTCGAAACGTTTCTTTAAATAAAAGGAATACGAAGGATTAAACAGAATGTTGTAAAGAAGGGTGAGTATATGAGCATTCCGGAGAAGTCGAATGGGTACTTGAGCTTAGAACGGAAATGATCATATTTACGTAAGCCAAATATGAATCTTATACAGAAATTTTAGATACGTTCAAGCTTATCAAGATGCTCCTCGGTTAAATCCAGATAGCTGACGTCAGCATAGAATGGTGAGAAGTAGTAGTCTATATTACATACAACATCTTAAATTCAACTGTTAATAGGATCTCCAAAATGCGACATCCATATCGATTTCTCAAAAATAGTTTATAGGCCATTTAGAAATTTTAAAATCTATTTCATTTTATTTATATTTCTTTTATCTCTACTCAAAATCGCCTAAAAAAATTAAGTCACAAATAACTACAATGTATTTTTATGATAATCGTAATAAAAGTCAGTAAGAGAACAGTACTCTAATTTATTTAATTATTAGTGTATATAAAAAGAAATGTAATACCAGGAAAAGTTTTGTACACAAGCCTTTTTTGCTTATTTCTTAAGAAGCCTGAGAAAATACCAACTTTTTAAAAGCATTGTATTCAATACAAGTATTCAATAAACTCGTATTCTTTTTTTCAAAAGTATCGACTGAGATACCAAGCCACGCTGTTCAATACAAAAATTTTTGAAGAAACTTTACTATGCTGAAAGCTTTACTTTAACTGAAAAGCTAGTTTAAGAACAAAAAAAAATTGATAATTATATGGAGGATGCAAGGAGGAAGAATTAATTAATTTTTATTTGATAGTAAAAACATGTGATAATTTAGCTAATACTGGTGCCTACTTAGACTCCATTTTTAAGGTAAATATAAGGTAAAATCGTATTTATGGGAAAATTTTATATGAGACTGTTCAATGTTTATGTATTAAAAAAAGATGAATATTACCTTTAATTTCGTACTATTTTAAGCCTTACAGTTGTTATCCCTGATTCACTAATTGGTACCAGAAAAAAATTGAAGTTTGTGGCAAAATGTAACAGTGTCCTTAAGTCGATTTTCTAATATCTCTAAGCATAAATTTGAAATTCTTACTCCACAGCCATGAAAAACATTAATGAGCTTATTACCATGGCAGGTTTAAAATGTTATGCTGCCTTATAGTTGCTCTGTAACAAATTATTAGTCTTAATTGTTCCTAGCACTTAATTTTATTTGATATATATTTCTGTGTCATTTCCATTTGTTAAAAAAAAAACATTCATAATTATTATGGAATCGATTTCAAACATTAGAATTTCAAAAACCATACCACTACAATTGTTTATTCATCATAACTCTTCATGTGAGCTTTTCTTTTGCATTTGGCAATCACATTGAAACTTTGGTTGTGGTATGTGAGTCATTCCATCAAGCACTATCACTTTACTTGATATCTTTTTACTCCATTCCTATAAAGGTTAAATAATATTACTTCTTTTAATATAGAATTTAATGCTTATACATATAAAAGTTAGTATTATTGAGAGCACCGTAGTAAGAGTATTGTAGTAAGTTACACAAAATTTAAAACTAATAATCTCAAAATATGTTAAGATCTTGCCGCAATTCAAAGATAGGACTGAGGGCGCCAGTCTCAAGACCTTGAGGTTATATCAATTTAAGCATAATTATGTTATTGATTATTATGCGAACGTCAAAGACTAATCAGAGAATTGATGAGAAACTTACAGATAATAATATGGCATGGTAACATATTATGTTCTGTGGCAGTAGATTCTCCGATGCAAATTTTCTAGCATTATTGGCTATATCGTGAGCTTCCTTATCATGGTTTCTGGCCCACTTTATTCTTTCAACTAAATTGGACAAATCGCTAGCCACTGGCACGTAATGTTCCCATTCACGAAGCTGGTGATAGAAGTGTTCGTAAAACGGCGACTCTTGTTTCAAAACCATTCCTCCACCAGCCAGTAGATAAGGATATCGGTAAGCTGCAACCGTCCCGTCGACGTTTATTTGATATTTGTACTGAAATTTAAATTTAACAATCAAATACACAGGCCATTATTCACAAAAAACGAAAAAAGAATACAATGAAAACTTACATCAAAAAATTTGAAAAACGATATGTGCGGCTGCTTTGGGCCGTACTGAGCTTCTTTATCGCGATAAAAGAAAAAGTTTGTAAGCGACACATTAAAAAGATCTGGATTAACTCGTGCAATATCAACTAGTTTCAGTCTTTCCTCGCGCGAGTCACGTCCTCGCCAAAATGCAATCGGCTTACGATCTTCCCACTTCTGTTCAACATTACCTTGCACTGATAATGTATCGAGAGTTACCCTGTCAGTTAGCAAATAAAATAATGTTGAAATTAAATTAGTTATACGGCGTGCAAAGCTTAAATACGCCCCCGAAGATTGTGTAAGTCAGCTCATTACAAAGTTTACAGCTATATTGACTGGCAAACATCTTGAAAAATACATTTAATTGCGCAGTACTCAAATTATAAATCTCTATGGTGCATTGGTGACAAGGAATATTGAGGGCAAAAAAAAAACTTTTAGAACATGTGGTCACTCCAGTGCATTTAAGTTTTAAACATTCTTTAAATTGATCTTACAGCAATTAAGAGTTATTTTTAGTACAAGTTCATGAAAAGCTAACTCTCAACTTCAACATTAGTAAAAAAGTAATTATTAGTATAAAGAAACACTCTTGAAATTGTTTTCTTAAATTCTTAGTTTATAATTGGTAATAAACATTGATATAGAAAATAAATTTGGTACCTCCCCATATTTTCTAGCGCTGATTCCGTTATGTCATAAGTTGGCATAACTATATCAACTGTGTCATTGCTACCGCACCATGAAAACACAGGAAGTGGATCAGTGTTTCTACGTACTAGGGGCCAATCGCCTAAGTTAACTACTAATTCTATATCAGGCAATACCACTTTCCTTGCTAAAGATAGTAGTATATTGTCAGCAAACATATTAAACCCAATATGTTTTCCATAACAATCTCTATAAATATTATTATTTTTAATGATATAGTGACAGAAACTAACACTTTCTGGCTTGTGATACTTATTTACAATTTTTTTTACTTGGTTGACCATATCTAATTTTGAAAAAAATTTCAAGTCATTATCAATCTGCTCATATGAAGAAGGACATTCATAATTTTTTAACCATAGATTAAAATCATTTTCAGGGCAAACACATTGATCTGGTTGAATAGGACCTGTAACAAGTTTTTGAGAAGAATTATGTGTGAATAAAAATATTCAAGCAGCTGAATTTAAAAAACATACCTTGAAATTTTATTGGAGAATTATGAATATGCTTGCTTTTATAATAAATGCTAATAGACAGGTTAATACAAGTTTCATAAAGCTTATAACGTACAATGAAAGTGCCATCTTTCCTGTCAAGGGTATTAACCCATATACGACACAAATTTCCTTTGGCAGAGTTTCCTGTAATTTCTACGGCCACACTTTTACCAAATTCCGAAGTATATCTATAAGCAACATTTAAAATAGTTAAAATTACTGATATTAATCCTGCACATGTATTATATTATTAAAATTGAGCTTTATTACTCCCATTACCTGTTCATATTGAGTTTTAAATTTAAATTACTCCTAATAATTCTGATAAAAAATTCTAATCAATAAATCCTTAAAAAATTATTTGGTCCAATATTTAATGGATTGGAATTAAGTTAAATTACTAGTCGAAATAAATAATAAAACATTGTTTCACTTACTTTTCTGCGTTATATTCAGTGAAGTTCAGGAAGAAATACCTAGCCGGCATCACAATACTATGCGGTTGCAGCCCGGGACCAGTTAACTTTATTTCTTGTGCATTTAATATAAATACATAATATGTAAATATAACAAAAATTTTAAAAGTATTTGTGTGCATACTTAAAACACATAACATCATTTAATGAAATATGAATGGAGTTCTGTTTCAGTCTCACGGCAATGCTTTTTTTGTCATAAAATAAAATAAATAACTTGAGGAAACTGATAAATCTGAGAAAACTAAAATAATTTAGCGATGTGCGTTGAATCAACGAACTAGTTGAATCAACCGTTGATCACGAATTAACTTTAACTGTCATTGAAATCAACTATTTGAATTCGTTAACGTCGTTTCGGAAATGTTGTCGTTGAATCAATTCGTTTAAAAACGCAGCCAACGATACGCTGAAGTCACTTAGCTTTGAGTCACTTACGATGAAAAAAACGTCACAGAGTTGAGTTGAAATGTTTATTTAATTTTATGAAGGACATGTATAAGTTCGCCTTCTTTATTTTTGTTTGACAGTTTGTGAATAGTTGCGCGCAAGGTTAAAGAATATTTTGCGGCTTTGCGTAAATATTATCAGAACTTTACTTCATGTCTAGTGTTTTTTTTTGTGAATTTGTTAATTTTTAATTAATCATATTTGGAATTTTATTTTATGTTATTAGTTTTGTTTAAATTTACTTTGTGGTTAGTGTTTTATTTTTTTTTTATTTTAATTTATGATTATTTAAGTGTATAGCGGACGGTGGGTACAAAATTCAAAATAATTGAACGTATTAACAGTGAGTTATGGCTTCATACCTAAAAAGACAGATCTAGCGGAAAAGCTGTTTGTAATGTATGCAAGGAGAAAATATCGAAATTGACCACTTTAACTTTAAAAAGTACTTGAAGCGGAAATATATTTCAATATTTTCATCAGTGTTTTAGTACCAATCTTTAACCACCAGCGTATGATGGTTGATTTTGATAAGAAAAAAATTAGTTTCGAACAAAAGAAAAAGATGTATTCAGATTTGTTAGATTTATATAGTATAGATAGCTTTCATCCGTTTTCCCTAGTAGAAGAAAGGACTTACAATTTAACATACTTGTGTATGTGTCACGTTAACTAGTTGACGAATTTAACTAGTTTGTGGCGGATGAAAACAACCGCCGCCTCTATTTTAAATTTAGCGCGCAAAAGCGCGCGACTCGCGGTTTGCAAACGAGTCGCCTCTGATTGGTCGGTGACCGGGAAGTTACCTCTGCCTCGAGACTCGCCGCTGAGAAGACAACGGTCTATTTGCTTTGTTAACAATAACATTATTTTAAGGGTGAAAATATTGTGAACATATCTAAAGTTCTTCTGATGTAAATACAATTAATAGTGAGCACATTTGTGAGTTTTATTTAATGGCATTCCGCATTATATCATGCCATAAGTTGATCAACTAGTTGACGAACATAAATCAACGTTTACGTTAAGTTGAAGAAAATACCTTCAACGACCCATCGCTAGTCGGTAACGTTCCGATAAACAGTTTAAAATTACTTCCAGCATTTTGTTTAGTTGTTTTCTTTCAAATTAATAATTTTTGTTTAATAAAATTCAATTTTCTCCAAAAAATTTATTAATTTATTTTAACTTAAAAAAAAAATTGTTTTTAATTTCATTATACCATAGTTAAAATGGTTTTGCTTTTAAAACAACGGCATCTGTTTTTGACGGATAGAAGAACTAAACGGTATGAGCAAGCTCCTTAAAAATATCAAATGTATGGACCATAGATAAGACATATATACTGAAACCAATATGGACTGAAAAGACCGTGTCTATGACTACAGTACATCTATTATGTTTGGAGTATCTAGGTAAAAAATCTCAAATCTGATATTATAAATATATGAACAGTCGACTCTAAAATGACTGCTAACATGAAGATCCTATGCACAGCTCTCAGTAAATTAAGGTAAAAAGTCTTGTTAAATGGAATTATTTATTCGGTATGAATGTATAAATATATAATGTTCATAACCGTACTATTTCAGAGTGGACCATGTAACAAAAAGACAACATACATTTTACAAACCACCTAGGTACCGGCCACCCTATTGGTTTACTCCAAAAGAGAGAGTGGTATGCATTATTAATATTTTTAATAAAGTAAAACATAAATTAGAATGCCGCCGTCAGGCCGCGAATGCCGAAGACGTGGGTTCGATTCCCACAACGGCGACAATCTTTTCGTACTTTTTCTACATGTTTTAATAAATTAGAAATTAAAATTCGTCTTTTACATACAGATGAGTGAAGATTTATTAACCCAAGAAAACAAAGATTTTATAGAAGAAATCATGCAAGAGAAACTTAATGCACAAGTAACATTGGAATCTCCCTTAGCAAAAGTAGAGCAGCAAACAGTTCAATGGAATCCTTTTACTCGTAGAGTCGGTTTGATTGCTCGCAAAATTGGTAATTATCCTCTATGGTCTAAGGAAGGAAAGAAATTTCAGACAACTCTCTTGCAGGTCGTACATAACAATATTTTGTACCTAGACAAATATTTTACTCTCCCTAAAATGTATCTATATTTTCAAACTATTTTTGCAGGTAGTTGACAATCATGTTATTAAATATATACCTCCACACGAATTCAATCCAATGAAGACTAAGAAAATGCTTAGGAAAGAAAACCCAAGGCTGGGTTGTCTTCTAGTTGGGTCAGAAACAGTTGACCCTAGTACTGTTACAAAAGACTATTGTGGAATATTTAACAGTGTTGGAATGCTGCCTAAAAGATATTTGTTTCAGATTTATGGTGTCACCCCATGCAGCATTGCCCACAGGAACACCACTGTTTGCCACACATTTTAGAGTGGGTGATCATATTGATGTTAGAGCAAAAACGTTAGTGAGCCATTATTATACATCAAGGTTTCTCAAACTTTTTGCAATCATTTTATTTTTTATTATGGTATCTCATTAATAAACTAATTTATTATTATTTAGACACAAGACTAATTTTAAGTTTAAGACTATCAAATTAGCTATGCTAATACATATTTCATACATAATAGTATAAGTATAGTGTGAATTGGTTCTGTAACATAGTTTGGGAAATCTTTCTCAATACAATATTAAATTTCTTTATATGTATAATAAACCTAAGCACAGGTTTGAAAATATTCAATTTTAACTTGCACATAACTTCCTCATTTAATTGCAGGATAGATAGAGGATTCCAAGGTGTAATGAAAAGGTGGGGATTTAGTGGAATGCCAGCATCGCATGGTGTTACAAAAACACATAGGAGGCCAGGTAACATTGGTGCTGGTGGTGAAAAAGCACGAGTTTGGCCAGGTACCAAAATGCCCGGTCACATGGGCAATAGGTTTGTAAATTGATTATATTTCTAAAAATTATCAAATAACTATCTTAGGGTTTTTTATTAAAAGTTCAAATCATGTACTTCAATTTTCTGCACAATGTAAAAATACTAAGACCATCTAAACTTGTTCAATGTCTTACCTAGTTGAAGTTTTAAGTAAAATATTGAACAATTAAATCCAAAGATTTTCTAAACAGGCAAGTTAATTTTGGACAAAAAATTAATTTTAAGTTATAGTTAAATTATTACACGAAATCCTGTTCAAATCCCAGTCTTAAAAAATCTTTACTATCCTCTTTAATATTTGTAAAAAAAATTCACAACTGCTTTTTTTTATTTTCATTATATATATGCATGTTTCATTTAAGTCTTTAAAAATTTTATTTTAGATGGAGAACCTTGAGAGGTGTTAAAATTCTACGTATAAACACAAAGCATAATATTCTATGGACTTTAGGAGTTGCCATTCCTGGAGAAACAGGAACTGTATGTTATTTATATGACACAGTATTACCACTCAAAAAACTTAAAACTGCACCGCCATTTCCTACACACCTAGGGAGTGATGATCTGCCAATGGAATATTACGATGAATCTGTTCATCCATTTGACAGTGATACAATTTTATTTGATGAAGTATAGTCAAAAATGTATATATATGCAATAGATAAAAATGAATGAGCATTATAATTTTCTTTTATTTATAATCATACTTATCTATCGATGCATTGGTATAACATACTTACTATTCAGCCAATTGACAACATTGTCTAGGATAATGTTTTCCACTGCTTTCATTATATGTTATGTAAATTACCTTCAAATTTATTAGACAATTATGTTCAACATTTCTATGCTGATTATTTTCAAATAGTACTGTGTTTAGTAACACATAGGTACCCTCAAAACAACTACTGAGCTAAAAACAAAACTTAATACTAGATAAGAACAATAGGGATTAAAGATGTAAGAACTTGGTTGTTTAGTATTTTCTTTTTATTTCTTTAGTCAAATTCAATACAACTATGGCATTTCAATTTTCAGAAATAAACACTTGGCAACTAAAATCCTATCAATCATTTTTACAGGGACTAAATATCTTCTTTCATTCAATACCACTATATTTATTTAATAACTTTAAGCAATGACTTTTGTAAGAAAATTACATTTAGAAAATTGAAAATTTTAAATATTCAAACGCAATCTTGGATTAAGACTTCTGCAACAAAATTTTTTACAAGTAGGAATACTTGAATCAATCCGATAAAATTTACATAAAATTGTTAACCTAATATTGTTACTAATAAGATGAATTTAGGCAACAAGCTAGCTTTTTACTTTTACATAAAATTGAATCTCATTGAAAACTATTCATTTTTACTATATAATAAGCCTTTGCCTCAGAATCCCATATTAATTTCATTTATATATTAGGTAAAGTATAATATATATATTTAGTCTTGATCATATTTTACAATAAATAATCACATAAGACAAAAGTGTTAGTAAATGTTGACGATGGTTATTTCTTTTGGTGAAATCATGATCATAAACTTCCATTTTTCGCAACAAAACTGTAGTCAATAATACTTCTTATTCTTATCTTACCACAGTAAGCAGATAATGAGCAAATAATTATTTTAACTGGGTATATAGTCATACTTTGTCATAACTATTGCTGGTTAGGGGGTTGAAAGCCATAACCTGGATAAGGTTGAGGTGTACCCGGTGGGGGGGCTCCTGGTGCTGGAGCTCTAGCATAAGGATAGGGAGAAGGAGGATACTGAGCTGGGGGATAACCTTGTTGATAAGCATGGGGTGGATAAGCACCACCTGTTGGTGGATAATTCTGCGGATTTTGAGGGTATGTTGATTGAGGTGGGGGGGCTGTTGACACTGTTGGTGCAGGACTTCCAGGCTGAGATGAAGGATTTGAATATGGTGGCTGTGTAGCGGGTGGATAGGGTGATGGCCCTCCTGAGGGTGGATATTGTTGTCCAGGTGGTCCACCTTGGGAAGGTACTCCTGATGCAACTGTTGATGGTGGAACATTATTTCCATGAGAACTTGAGTTATAAGTAGGGGATTGTGCAGAAGGGGAACCATATCCTGTGCTGCTTGGATTTTGGGATGTATAGCTAGTAGGTGGTGGCTGGGGAGAGCGATTTGGTTGTGATATTGGTGTTGAGCTATACGCAGAAGTAGGTGTAGTATTAGGGAATGGTTGGGATTGATATGGCTGTGGTTGTGTAGATGTCGAATTATAAGTGCTAACACCGACATTTGGATAATTTGACGCAGATTGTGGTGGTGGATATGCAGAATTACCAGTGTATACTGGCTGACTGGCTCCACGCACAGGATAGGGTGATCCTGCAACAGATGGACTTCCAGGTGGTGGTGCATAAGCCTGTTGAGCTGTTGATGGAGGATAACCAGGGCCTGGATGAGTCGATGGAGGATAATTGCTTGGTGTTGTAGTTATAGGTGGGCCATAGGTTGAATTAGGAGCATATCCTTGAGGTTGTTGCGATGGGTTTGGAGGTCCATAACCTTGACTAGGTGGCCCATAACCACTTTGCGGAGGATATCCACCTGGTGGTCCCTGATATTGCCCTTGATATTGATTCTGAGGATATGGTCTTTGTCCATATGATTGTGTAGGTCTTGTTGGTGTTGTTGAAACACCCGATACAGGACGATAAACTTGTTGAGGAGATCCAGGAACATCTGCTCCACTGGAAGGAGTATTCAGCTGACTTTGAGGTACATTTCCAGAAGCAAGTTGATGTGGTGGCTGTAAAATTGAATAAATTTTAAAAAACAGAAGTAATTTTTAAAATAAGTAGATACATAATATATAAATTTAGAAATCTGGTTACATTTTTTAGACTTATATTGTACAAGGCTTTCATATAAATATTCTTCAACAAAAAATATTATTTTAAGCTTATTACTTTAGTAAATAATCAGTAATGCCATAAATTCTAGCTTCTACAATTTCATGGGATATTTATGGGCTTTGATACAAACACATATGTTTGTTTTTATGAAACAATACTACAATTTTTTCACAACTCCAACATATTTCATAAAACTTTATTTATTGTAGGGTAATATTAGCTAATAAACACTTCAGAATCTGAGGCTTTTAATGAAATGTTCAGTTTCATATTAACAATTTTGAATATAAGGCGTGTTATAAGCCCAAAAATGTTAAATTACTTAAGCATAACAAAGCAAGCTGTGATTGGTAAGTGTCCAGGCATTCGAATTTAATATATTTAAACTCCAGTGAAGGCGCCAACAAATTTGTAAATTTTAAGTGCTTACATATAACATGCTTATTGGTCAAGTTTTAGAAACGCAGTCTAATAACACGTATTTTTACAGGCTTTAAGAAGTATGGCTATAAGATATAGATTTTATATTATAGCATAAATAAGAGGACCTATTTTTAAAGGTAAAATATTTATATAAAACAATTATTTTAGTAGGTTTCTTGTAACAAAATGAAATAAAAGCTATAACCCTTCAAAAGCAATTTAAAATATGTATTTAATTATTTACCGGTAATATTGCTTGAATATTTTGATTAGCGTCGGCTACGGATGCTAGATAAACTAGATTTCTATGTAAAATTTGCTGATATTGATGGCATTCCATTAATTGCCCTTTAGCTTGATACTCTTGGATAGTTTGGATTAAATGAGCATTTTCATCTAACATTTTCTGTATTTGTGCAGGTGTCAAAGGCGGTCTGTTCCCCCTGGGTGCAAATACGACTGACATTTTTGCTAGATTTTCCGAAACTATAAGAACGCAAGTACTGTAAAAAGAACAAGTTCAGATCATCAAGTTTGATCACAAAATTATAAATGTACTTGATAACAAAAAGAATCAATGAGAGATGAGAGAAAGGCAAAAGAGTAAACCGGAGGCATAAACAATCGTTAGTGCAGGAAAAGATAATATATATCATGTACTAGTCGAATCGAACCGACTCAGCTCGACTTAGAAAGTCAGTTCGATTCAGGGTTGAATTTAGGTGTAATGAAACAGATGATACACAGAATTGCCTTTCAAACGTCACTCAGATCACCCTTATTGACAGCTGAATAGAAAAGGATTGTATTTGTAAATATTTTTTTAATGTGAAAAGTAGCCAAACGACAGGCGGTTCACCTGATTTTAAGTCAATACCGCCGCCTATGGACATCAGCTATATACGAGGGTTGCAGATGCGTTGACAATCTTTTGAAAATTGGGCACCGGCTACCTCACTCAACGAAACGCGAAAGTAATTATACTTCCACTTGTCACCGGTCTTCTGTGAGGTCGTATGGTACCTGCGCGGACGAGCCTGCCCTTTCGTGCAACAGCCGAAAGTGTCATACTTCTGCGTTTCGTCTACTGAGTGAGGTAGCCGGGGCCCGCTATATTAAAAGGTGGCAATGCATTTGCAAGCCGGTGTTGCAAATGTCCATGGACGGCGGTTATTACTTAACATCAGGTGAACCATCAGCTCGTTTGCCACTTTCTCACATAAAAAAAGATTTTGATATTGAATATTTTATAACAATATATCGCCTAAAATCGATGTCTAATAAGAAAAATTGATATATCGATATTTTTTCAGCATCTCTATCGATTTAATCGACCTATGCAAGTCGATGCACAATTGCACATCGTTATTGTATATTATTGAATTAATATGCGTGTTGTAAATACAGACTTTAGACTTTATACCTAGCTTAATACTCATATAAATGCGATCTATCAATCTTTCAACCAATTAATCAATTATGGCACTTAAAGGAGTTAAAGTTATTGAAATGTTGGGATTAGCCCCAGGACCATTTTGTGGGTCCATATTAGCAGATTTTGGAGCTGTTGTAACAGTAATTCAAAAGGTTAGTTTAAAGTTTGTTTATATTATAGTTTATATACACTTATAGATTCCACAGCTGGGCAATGACCTCCTAATACAGAGGAGGCAAATAAAACATTTTTAATTAATATATTCATGTAAGATAAATTTTTAAATACTAATTAAAGATATTCTTTAATTTATAGGTTGATGCTATATCTAATGCAATAGATATAATGTCAAATGGCAAAAGAGTAATAAATTTAAATTTAAAGTCTGAGAAAGGCATCGAGATTATTAAGAAGATGTGCAAATCATCAGACATTTTATTAGACACCTTTAGACCGGGAGTTATGGAAAGAATGGGATTAGGACCAGAAGTGTTATTAATGGACAACCCACATCTTATATATGCCAGGTTGTCTGGTTATGGGCAGACTGGCTATTTTAAAGATAAAGCTGGTCATGATATAAATTATGTTGCCATGTCAGGTATTCTTTCACTATTTAGCAAAAATAAACAACCACCATCAGTGCCAGTAAATATTATTGCTGATTTTGCTGGAGGCAGTTTATTATGTGTTGTTGGTATCCTCTTGGCTCTATTAGAAAGAAGTAAGTCTGGAAATGGTCAAGTTATAGACTGTAGTATGACAGAAGGTGCAGCATATTTGGCAACATGGATTTTTAAATCTAAAAAACTGCCCATCTGGCTTGGGGAACCTGGAAAAAATATTTTGGACGGTGGAGCTCCTTTTTATGCAACATACAAAACAAGAGATGGTAAATTTATGGCTGTAGGAGCTTTAGAACCACAATTTTACAAAAATTTTCTGAAAGGATTAAAATTACCTGAGACTGATTTTAAGCAAGGGATTGATATTAAATATAAAAAGAAATTTGAAGAAGTTTTTTTGACAAAAACTCAAGAAGAATGGTGCAAGATATTTGACAAACTTGATGCTTGTGTAACACCTGTCCTTGATATAGAAAATGTGGATAAACATCACTGTAATATATCACGTAAATCATTTTATAGAGATGACGAAAATATTGTAGTTCCAGATATATCACCAAAATTATCTGTAACACCAGGAGTATCTTCTGGAAAAATGCCTCAACCAGAACCTGGAGAACACACAATTCATATATTACTAGAGCTAGGATATAGCCATCTTGAAATTGAACAATTTATAAAAAAGGGATTTATTTATACCAATAAAAAGTCAAGACTGTAAAACATTTAGCAAATAATAAATAAATTAATTCCTTATTTGTTTAATAGAAGTTATGATTTCTAATATATCTTGTGTATTGATTGCATTACATTCCATGTAATATAAAGGATGCTGTTGTATTACTGACAATAATTTAAGTATAATATTTAAATCAAATATAGTATGGTTTTTTCCAAAAACAAATTTATTGAAGCAACAAAAGCTATTACCATAATATTGCTGGATTCTTTTCTTTGCTATATGTATAACAAATTTCATAAACATTGTATAATCCATACCAAAAACAGATTTAAGAATGACTTGACATTGAGAAACATATTCAGGAGTATTACTAAATTCTTTGATCTCATTTTCAACCAAGAACAGGGTTTTTGTCAGAGCTTCCCATATTAATTCTAAATTGCTGCCATTAATGAAATTGTGATTTATTGATATTGTATCTTGAATATTTACTACTTGATGATGCCACCCAGATGGAACGAATATTGCATCTCCTTTTTTCTGAATAATTTCAAAGTATTTTATGTTTGTAAATTCATCTTTGTTATATAATAATGGTAAGTTGCCAAATTGATCTTTGAGTTTGTTCTCTTCACCTGGAGGAAACAAGATCCATTTTTTTTCACCAACTATATTAACTGACCAGCTGTATGATGAATAAACATCCATGTGTAATGGAGTCCTGTAAAAATATTGAGGGTACATTAATGTTGTAGTAAATAAACAGAGAAGATACACTTAACTTACAATAATGTACGCTATTTGTTTCTTTAGACCATAAATTTCTAGCTAAACTTGATCAAAAATTTCCATCCAATTATTGCAAAAAATACAAATGAATAATGTTTGTACATACCAAGATTCTTTTGGACCAATGTACACAAACATGAAATCATCTTCTTCATTATCATTTGCATACTCATTAAGCCAATCTGATGCAAACATCCAAGGTATCTCATAAAAATTATGATTGGGCTTTGTTCTTCTTAAATGCCAATCTTTGAGGTAAAGTATGTTCTCTTTATTACAATTTTTCAAATACGACATGTAATCTTTTACTTTCATAGATCTTTTTAAATGAGCATTGTAACAGACTTTATTGCAGTCCGCAATGGGAGCTTCTAACTCACCGTATTCCGATATGAAATAATCATAGTTGATCACACCATTTTTAACCCATGTTTTTGAACAATTCCATTTTTCATTTACGTTTTTAATTATGCAAGGCAAATTTTTTAACATATAATTTTCAAAAAAATGTTGATATGATAGATTACAACTATCTATATGTGAAATCTCAGAGTGAGTATAATCATATGTTGGTATTTCTGGAACTAAGTTAACTTCGATTTTATCCATATTGTAAAAATACAAAAGAAGAATTCACTCCTTTTCTAATTTATTTTAATCAATATGAAAATCTTCAATAAATAATCTTGAACCACTTGACATGTTTCTTTTACATTCCGTCAAAGAGAATGTAATCACTACGTTTAAGAGACGGGACTTCCATACTAGCCAAAAATATCAGTTTACGCGGCACTCCAATACCAACCATACCACAAAGATGTCAAACAACATGAGTACCAATGTAACGAGCCAATTAGTGCTTAACGAAGCTAGCTTAGCTTCTTATCGATATCGATAAAAGATACTAGGTAGAAACTATTTAATATTAGTTAATATTTTTTTATTAATTTTAGTAGGTAAGTATCGAGTCCGTATTTATGTCCATTGTTGATGATTGATTGAGATTGGACTTGAATACGGACCCGAAATAAGATAAAAAACGGTTTCTGTTAATTAAAATAAAATTTTATTACTGAAATGAAACTTGTTTCTTGATTCTTCAGCCAACAGCTGTTGTCCTACTGTACACGAGTCTGGAAATAATTGAAACATAAAAATAGAATCAAAATCCAAAAATTATTTTAGTTTTCTTCCATACTCAGCGCACGAAATTAATTATATGACGTATCAATAGAACAGAGATTGTGTTTCAAAATCCTGAAAAATCCAACTATTCCAATCCTTGCTCATTTATGTAGGCACACCATTCAAATATATTAAACTTTGTGTCCCTACTCTTTCACGCAACATTTTATTTCTTATTTTTTTCAATGATAAACATTAACGTAGTTATCGATATATGGATATTAAAGTTCCAGTACATCACTAGCACACAATTTAAATGAGATAAATTTGTTAATTTTATTTTTTCTTAGGCTGCTCTACTTATATATGCCTGCAAAGTATCGTATTTAAGTGTTTACATGGCCTTCATCTAAGGGATCTCGCCATAAACATCCTTTTTTCAAGATTCGAATGACTTGCTCGATTTTCACCAATTTCACATGTAATAAATCGTATTTTAGCCATTTTGAATTAAAAGTACAACTCTGATCACCTGTCACTACTTTTCGTGAGAAAGTTTACTCTAAACAATTTAAATTTACAATAAAATAAGCATTTACATTCAAAATACGCGATGCGAAATTAAGTTTTGACAAACAACATGGCACTTCTTGTATTGCAAGAAAGAGAAACCACATTGAGGGAGAGTGATAGCAATGCTCGCCATTATTTGCCACGTAAAGTCCATAGAAAAATTTTTTGTTCCTAGTTTCGCCAAACCGCATTCCGTTTTCAATATGTAATGCAAAGAGTACTTTTGTATATCTGATGTAATGTAAATTGTAAAATGTTACTGTTATCCACAGAACACTAATCAAAGAATTAAAAGAGTACTTTTATTTATATCTGACACTAACTAATACTCTCACGCTGTTATCGACGATGTGCGACTCGAGTTATTTGATTTGAGTAACTCGAATCAAACCTTAAACGAGTCAACTCGAGTTCAGTTTTAAGCAACTCGAATCAACTCGGTCGTCCGAACGCAAACCGGACGATAAACGCGGGGGCCTCATGAGTTGTTGCGAGTTACACAGGCGGCTCGCGCGCGCGGTTCGTTAGGCGTTGCAACTCGCATCAACTCGAGTTGAATGAAATGCAAAGTTACGTTACACGCGCGCGCGCCGTTCGTAAGGTGTTGCATCTTACTCGCATCAACTCGAATAGAACTCGGGTTGAGTCGGGCTCGTTCGGCCAAGATCGGAAACGGAATTGCGCCAATGAAAAACCGCTTTAAAAGTCTATTTTGTTTTTTGATTGACATTTTGTTATTTGATGTTATTAGTTGCCCGTTGGCAATCCGCGTGCGAACTGAAATTTTTGATTTATTAGTGATCTGTTTTGTTTTGTTTGTGTGGCCCGAGCCGAGGCTCCCCCGGGAGCCCTCGAGCTTAGTCACCATAACGCGTATCAATAGTGCGCCGAGGTTCAGGCTAGGCGCCTCGTGCGCAAGGCCACCTCAAGTCCGTCGGATCTGTAAAGGCCCCTAAGGCCAACAGTGGCTCATCCAGCCCAAAAAAAAAAAAAATTTCGAAACAGATTGATCGTAAATTTTGTCCTTGAAATCCCAACCGTCGGACACTGTTCGAGGTCGACGTGTATAGAAAAAGGAGAGGATTAGTTCAGACCACAAACAAAGTTGCGAATCGACTCGAGTAGCCATTAGGCATGAGATATACCTGCAACATTCTATACCCGGTGCTAAAACCCAGTATCTATATACCTATAGGTATTAGTTATGTTCAGGCCTTCTTTTGGAGACGCGGTCGAATCAAAAAAATTGAACCTTTGGTTGGAATTGGAACATTTAAATGTTTTTTTTTAGCAATCATTTTTTTTTAAATTGAGATTTAATCAGTCTAAAATAAGCTCCATCTTAACTAACGTAAAGAACCCTATTATCAAAAAAAAAGTAATTCAAAATAAATTTTACTGTTTACTGTAACCTTATTACACAATTATTTATTTAACTTATGGTCATAGAAACAAAGAATAAATTTATCTCAAGGAATTATTTGGTATAAAATGCTTAAATCATTCAAATTTCAAATCGGGCTTGATCGGGAAGAGCCGCCGTAAGCGTTCGGGGTACTCCGTACCTATTCGGCCGGCGGGTTGTCGCGAGCGTATATACCGCCACCGTCGGACGAGGCGGCCATAGCCATACCTATCGGTGCGGGTATGGAACGGGTCTCTGCCGTACATATGTCATACCTGGTGTGCGGGCGGGTTGTCGCGAGCGTATATACCGCCACCGTCGGACGAGGTGGCCATACCTATCGGGTATGGAACGGGTCTCTGCCGTACATACCCGGTGTACGTACTGTTATGTTCATACTGGGTATTTATACCTGTGCTAGTATATACGCCTCATCCCTAGTAGCCATAAAACACCACGATTCAACATCATTATTACTTCCTATCTAATTAGCCTCGAGTCGAGCTGACTCGTGCTCTCCGAGTTGGCCGAGTCGTCGTCGATTAATGTGCGTAGTAAATGACATACGCGAGTCGAAAGTGACTCCTAAGTATTTGACCTTTTTCTCGAAAAGGGATATTTGCCTCAACTTTCTGCATTGGCGAGGGCCATTATAAAGATTTGACGGGTAAGTACTTCTTGTGAAATGAATCGCAACACTCTTTTCGAAATTTACTTCTATTCTCCATTTGCAGAACCAATCGCCGAGGCGGTCAGGGGCGTTTTGGAGTCGAGTGGTTAGTTGACTAAGGTTGCGATCTGAATAAAAGAGCGCCGTGTCATCCGCGAAAAGCGCGAGATTGATTAGACGTGGGGGTCTTTAGGTATATCGCTCGTGTAGAGGGTAAAGAGCAAAGGTAAGAGGCAGGAGCCTTGTGGAACGGCGGCCGTGAGGCGGTGGCTTGTGGAGAGGGTGCCTTCAACTCGATATGGAAAAGAGCGGTTCGACAGGAAGGCCTGGATGGTGTGTACGAGCCTATCTGGCACTTTGAGTGTGTACAACTTGTAAAGCAAGCCGTTGTGCCAGACCTTGTCGAATGCTTTTGCGACATCGAAAAAAAGAGCCCCTGTACTAATATGTTTAGGGTGATTCAGGCCTTTTAGGATCGGGACAGGAATGTTTAGCTCGAAAGCCGAATTGTTCCGCCGGCAGAAGGCCGTTGGAAAACACGTGCTCTTTGAGCTTGTTTAATAGAAGCCGCTCGTAGAGCTTCCCCAGGCAACTGATTAGGCTGATGGGATGATAACTAGAGGGCTGGTTGGCTGTTTTATTCGGCTTGCGAATGCCGATAACCGTGACTTCTTTCCAGTCGTCCGGAAAGGAGCAACTGGAGAGTAAAGTATTGAAAACTGATGAGCAATGTGATTCACGGTGATATTGATCAACATTACCCCACTAGATTGAGTGACGACCTAAGCAAATGTGCGGGAAGTCGACTGATGCAGGTGGCTCAGGATCGTACTTCGTAGCAGTCTATGGGGACGGACTATGTTCAGCGGTGGACTCAAACAGCTGAAATGATGATGTTAATGAAATAGATTCACGCGACGATACTCAAAGAAGAATTTAAGGTTGAGGTAGTTCTAATTCCGAGGATTCCGATGATTCCAACGGAAGTGCCCTTTGAATTCTAACGAATTCAATTCCAGATTCGTCTTGCCTTCGCCTTGACGAATTAACAAATTACAAGGCCATTTCTTTACTTTTGTGGTCTCTATCTAGAAAATGCATATTCGTCTCATATTCGTCTCATGGTCAATTGTACGTGGGATGTTCATGTGTCGGCAAACCATCCGCTTTATTTGTTTCTGCTCCTGATAACATTACAAAAAATGTCGTATATCCTCATGTCGAACGCATCTGCAAGCCCTCGGGTGTAGCAGCAGTATTCACTTAACATCAGGTGAACCGTCAGCTCGTTTGGCAAATTTTTCACATAAAAAAAAAAACAACTAATAGAAGGTGATTTAGGAATCGACATTGTAATTAATAACATTGAATGTCGTATTGTAGTATTGTTTTTCATTTTTAATTATTTATGTAATACTTAACAATAAATCTTTACTTACAGAAAAACTCAATTGTGTTTAAAAATATTATGTTTTTATATATACAGCGTGTCGTTACCATCGCGACAATAAATGAACACACGTCTAACTGTACTCGCCAATAACCATAAAAAATATTAACGTTAAACAAAATCCGTAATAAATTTTTTTTCAAACAAACTAATTAAGTAAAAAAGAAAAAAAATTTGTAACATCCTATACAACTCGCGCCACAGCGTAGTAGTACAAGCCCCTCCTTCTAACAGTATGTTTTGTCTCTTTTAAATTCATTCAACCCATTCATATGCTTTGTGACCTTTACAAATGAACTTTACGGTACGCTTTTATAGGTGAGAGTGTTCTAAAATTCTTTGTTTTGCAAAATTTAAGTATTTTTCATTATATGAACATTTTTACAATATTTTAATGTTAAATCATCAAATCAAATCTTGCAAATTAAATTTGATCTACTTCCCGGTTACCGGTTGAGCTGAAATTTTGTATACATGTGTAAATCGCGAGACAACGCAATATTTTTATGACATGGTGCTGATCTGATGATGTAGCTGGAAGAAGGTCAAAGGAACTTCGAAATGAAACGACAGAGCCTCATCGCATTTGAGTACATTTGAATCGTATTGACGAGTAGTTTGTCTTTCATTGGTAACCAGGATCTGATGATGCAGCTCCATCTTCAGCCGTCCATGGACATATGCATAGGGTTGCAGATGCGTTTTCTCCTTATAATAAAGTTGGGCTCCGGCTACCTCACTCACCAGACAAATCGCAGAAGTACTTTGCGCCGATCTTCTGTGAGGTCTATGAGGCTATTCTGTGAGGTTCCTACGACTACTTTGTAATGAAAGAAACTCAACCCCATTGATATACGGCTGGTTCGATTCGTCTTGGCGAGTACTTAATTTTTAGATGGTTACCAGGGTCAGATCTGATGATGGAACTGGAAGATAGTCATATGAAATCAGTAAAGAAACGACGCAACCCTATTGTATCTCGGCTCGTTTGATTCGTCATGACTAGTTCTTTGGTGCTAGATGGTAACCAGGGTCTGATGACATTGATTAGATGGATTATGAATGAATGAATGACTGAATAAAAATTTTTTTTGTTATTTATGAACATTTTTTTAATGGGGACAATGTAATTTTATTTTGTGTACGGCTATTTTAGGACTTTTCATTTGGGTTGATTATACATATATTATTATTAACCCGTGTCCCGATAGTCCCGTCTTACGCTACTTGTCATTGAAGTGGAGTCAGCGTGCGGAGTAGAAGAATAGTGAATATTATAACCAATATAACTACATAAAATTTATTTTACGCGCGATCATTCATAACTAACACGCACACAAGCTCGTTTCAAAAGTATACGACGCATTTATGACTTACTACTGCATTGGCAACAAGTTTGTTGTTGTTTTTAGGGAATAGAATGCCAATTTTTTTAAAAACTAGTTTGTTTTTATTTCAATAAACGATTATACTACCGAGTCTGAACCTCCTGTGTGAATTTGGGCACCTTTATAAAAGCCACCCTGTATAATATATGATAATAAAAAGTAACGAAATGTTACGAACAAAAAAGAATTTTGCAAATCCGTCTATATATGACGAAGGTATGCCCGAACATACTGACATAAAAAATATGAACATCCGAATTGATAACTTCCTTTTTGAAGTCGGTTAAAAATAAGTACCTACTTTTTACTTGTATCTATGATTATAAGAAATAAATTATAACCCTCCCCCCCCCTGGCACCAAAGCTGGATCCGCCCTTGCGCGACGTTTCTAATGATTTGTAACATTGCGTTTTATAAAAGGCCCGGATAAGCGGCTTATGTGTTCTTAATTTGAAATAGAAAACACCTACCTGTTATATTGGGATAAACAAACTCTAACGATTGAGGATAGCTTTAACTGTGAATTGAATATTGCGAACGGCCGCTCATTGACTTCTTTGCTATGGCTTCTGGTATATGGCTTCGGTACACATATTGCTTCACAAAAAATTTTCACGTTCAAACACTAAACGAAAAACTTAAAACCGTTTCAAGTGATTCAAAAAAGATTTCTTCGTCGATATTTAAATAACTCTCTGTCCATCTTCTTTAAAGATAGCACGAATCTCACAATCGGTTTGGTCTGGAGTCGACCGATTGGCGCCACAACAGATCAAACTGTGACACAACACCCTGTAAGAATATATTTATAATCAAACTCTATGTATGAAATCGATCTTCGGTTTCTAAAAAAGAAGTCACCGAAACGCCGCCAGTTAAATATGTAGTATTGATATCTCTTTCCCTTATCCTACTAAGGTGAAATCGGCACGACATATTCTTTCCTTCTACTTTCCCCTATCAGTTATCACCTCAGTAGTAACTCCTTTCACAGACATATCACTTTTTCCAAATCCATTCACACTCATCACTCATACATTGTCACATGACTGATTACTTTTCATAACGTCCCCATATCATATCAACCTACCATTTATATTCTCAGTCAATGGTGCTACTTGGTGATACTAGAAGTATATATAAAAGATTTATACAAAGATCTAGAGAACCTTCCGTGCAGTTAGTTTTCATTAACTAATGTAACCTCTAGGAACTACAACTGGGTTCTGGGCTATGTAACTGAGGACGACCAAAGTTCGAGTTCATTTCGAGTCCATCTGAATATACTAAATAATCTTAGTGTTACTATAAAATATTTCATTTCATTCTTTCATTCATTTTTAAAAACAAAGCAAAAAAGAAAAAAATATATTTTGCATAATCTATATTTTTCGTTGTGGTTGTATCTTATCTGTAGGTATAGGTGGATGGCGGTGCTTGGGGAATCAGCTACGTTCCGCTAAGTTATAATAAATATTTGTTCTTTGCGTAAACTGTACTTTGATGAAATTTTATTAAAAAATTTATATTTTTGCACTTTGTGACATAAAATCAGTGTTAATGAGCATTAATTCCCAAGTTTTATCATGTGTTTCTGTAAAATATATAATTTTCTTTAGCAATCTTTCTTGGCGGCAACAATATGAGGAATAACAACAAAGATTTTGTGCTTATAGGAAACTTATTAGCAGAATAGAACCATTTGGAAATTTATTTTCCAATTAATATTATTCATTGTTCTTCTCAAAAAAATTGGTCCCTAGTAAGAATTCGCGATGAATGATGTTCGTGAAAAAGTGTCTGCTGGATCCTCGACTTGGGAGGGTGGCGTTACCCACAGCGAATCATCACCGGAACTTCAGTGTTCACCTAGTGCTGGCGGAGAAACACCGCAAACTCCGGGTGCACCTGTACCGTTGGCTCCTCACCTTGCTGCAGATTTGCATCCAGATCTTCTGCAACAAGGCTGGCGAAAATATTGGTCTAAGCGTGAGAACAGACCATACTTTTGGAATAAAATCTCAGGAGAATCCATGTGGGAGCTGCCAGCAGTGAAAAGAGATTTTGATCCAATAACAGACCCATTGGGTATTTGCCACACTGGCCCTCCTCAAGCTGGTAATGTAACTCCAAGTGCTAGCAAAAGACGTCCATCTGAAGACAATGGTCCCCCACCAAAGAAGTTTGTCTTAGCTGGCCCTTGGGATATTGAAGTACCAACTAATGTTGTTATATATGAACGTCCACCAACTATATGCCCACATCCCCATCCAGAAATTGAAGGATTTAGATTTACATTAGCAAATAAATTACGGCAATGTTATCAAGAGCTTTGCCATACCAGGGAAAGTATAGATGCACCAAAAGATTCTTTCAATCGTTGGTTAATGGAGAGAAAAGTAAATGATCAAGGTGGTTCAGACCCTTTGCTACCTAGCCATTGCTTCCCTGAAATATCCAGGTCAATGTATGAAGAAATTATGAATGATATTCCTATTAAGTTAACACATCCAAAATTCACGGGTGATGCTCGTAAACAATTGTCTCGATATGCTGAGGCAGCAAAAAAAATGATAGAATCAAGAAATGCCTCACCGGAGAGTCGTAAGGTAGTAAAATGGAATGCAGAAGATACATTTCAATGGCTTCGACGAACTGTTGGAGCAACATATGATGATTTTCAAGATCGATTAGCACATTTAAGAGTATGCTTCTTTACTGTATTATGTCTGTTGAACTGTCTTTTTTTTTTGTACCATTGTTAATGGAATGATTCAAAAATATTTAAATAATCTTTTCATTTAAAGATAGACTATTTACCATTTTCTCTATTTAATGGATTGTACTTATTTATACCATTCACCAAAAAGATTTTATGAGGCTGTGTTGAAAAGTTTTGTCGAAATTTTAATAAAAATAAATATAGGTACTAGAACTTTTTATTTTTAAATTATGAATAAATTACACTAAAAACTTCCATTGACTGCTGAAAAGAGATATTTCTGCCTTCAAGACGAAACCAACTATTTCTGCAATTTATGTGACATTTAAAATATGGGAATTGAAGAAAATCCCCCCATACATAAAATTCTGTTACATTAGTAAGATATTTTAATCCAAGTGATTAACCTAACATATTTTAATCTGGATATAGCTATGGATTAAATATCTTTCTGATGTTTAATTATCATATCAGTATCACTTTGTCAAACAGGAATATTTTTCTGTAGCTCTAATTCAAAGTTGTATTTTACCACTGACTAATTGTATTTCTTACAGAGACAATGTCAACCACATTTAGCTGAAACGGCGAAGGCTTCAGTTGAGGGAATTTGTTTGAAAATCTATCATTTATCAGCTGAATATGCTAGAAAAATTCGGGAAAAACACAGCTGTTTGTTGAAAGAAAATGGAATACAGGTATTTCATTATTCATATATTTATTCATGAATCAATTATAAAAATTGGTATATGTAATTGTGTTCTTACTTTTGAACAATTATCAGTATGACATTATAGTTTTAAATAATTGACCAGATAAATAACAGCCTAGACATAATTATGTGTATACAACCTCTTCAGTACAGTAAAGGATGACTTTATGAAAAACAAAAAATTGTTGATGCCGACGATCGCGTTCCAGGAGCTGGCGGCGCCGTTGCAGCAGGCGGCGCTGCGGAAGGTGTGGTGTTACCCGGTGCAGTGCGCCCTCCCCGCGCCCCGGCCGCCCCTCGTCGAGCACTTCCTCGATCGCGACCAAGCGCTGCTGCGCTACCTAGGCGACACGCAGATCATCAACGCCACCTATCTGCAGAAGTTGGTGAGACAAGTCGTCAACGAGTCGCATAATTTCAATGTTTCGAACCGGTGTATAGTACTAGACGTATGTAATTGATCTTGAAATACGGTAATGAGGATAGTGTACACACTATATGCTTGTTAAGCAATACTATCCTCTTTACCGTATCTCAAGTTCATTACTTTAAGTCAGTTCGAATCCAGCATCCATAGGGCACGCGTCTGTGCCATTTTCAGGGATTTTTTCATATTTTACTATTTATTAATAAGTTATTGCTGAAGTAACTAGTTAGTTCGAATGTTGTTGCATGAATGGGCAGCTCCATCCGTGTAAGTATCACAGAAGACCGGCGAGAAGTGAAATGTTATACTTCTTCGTTTCGTCTGGTGGGTGAGGTACTCGAGGCCCCACTTTTTTAAAAGCTGGCAACGCATCTGTAACCGTACGGGTGATGCAAATATCAATGGACGGCTGCTATCACTTAACATCAGGTGAACTGCCAGCTCGCTGGAAACTTTTTCAGATACAACAAATAAAAAGTGTTGCAGTAAATAAAATTGTTCGTTTGAAATTAATTTTTTCAATGCCACATCACACAGCGCAAATGTTCAATTAACGGTTAATAATATACCTAAAATTTTAAGAATATATGCTCTCGAAAACAGATAACAACTTGTAATCCAAAAAAAAAAGCTACCACTGCCTCACGAAAGATCGACGAATTACCTACATAATTATACACTGTACACATTTGATGAGTGTTGGCACAGCCCCGCGAGTGTTATGGATGTTTGCACTTAAAAAAACCGCACCGCTAGAGGGGTCGCTACACGCTCGCGCGCAACGCCCGCAGGAGTGCCTGTACAGGTACAGCTGCTTCGACGACAAGAAGTTCGAGCAGTTCCTGTCGCGCGTGTGGTGCCTGCTGCGGCGCTACGCGGCGTGGGTGGGCGCCGGCGCGGAGGCGCACCTCGCCCAGATGGCGCTGCCGGTGCCCGTGCTCGAGTGCCTGCACCGCTGCTTCGGCGTCACCTTCGAGTGCTTCGCCTCGCCGCTCGACTGCTACTTCCGCCAGTACTGCTCCGCCTTCGCCGACACCGACTCCTACTTCGGCTCCCGCGGGTGAGCGGAAACTTGATTTTCAAGTGAAGGAATAATAGAGGAAGATATTAAGAGAGAGCTCTATATACACTCGTGATAGCTATAAGATAAATATGTGATAGCAGAATCATATGCTGTGAGTACCTGATGTGTAATTTATCGCGAATAACACAATCTTGCCACACAATTCATAATTTTTTTTGTATTTAATTTTGCTATGGCTCTCAATTTTGGTTGTAGAAGCATAACGTCAGACCTACTATGTCTTTTGACGACACAGTGATAATATAATATTAAAATAATTCCTAAGCGCTGTCCGTATTATCCCGTTACTTTCAGCTAAAATATTAAGAATCCGAAACTACCTAAAACTACAGTCGTCATTAAACTCGGTTTGCGTATCGGCTTGTGAAGTAATTTCGAACTCTCTCTAGTTTTCAACTCTAGTTTTATTTTGCCCGAATTTCCGAAATTGTCGCCGTACTCCCGATCACAGTGATCGACGAGAAAACGGAAACTAATATCCGTCGGGGCATCGTTCCGTCCTTTTAATCTCCGTGGCTAAAACTATACGATTTTCCATCCAAATTTTTCAGTTTTAAGTTTATCATTGCCAACTACTCCGGTAACACCTACTAAGCTACTGCTACCGGGCACAATCGTTCGAGGTCCAATGCAATAAACTGATTGTGCAGTCCATTCCTGGAGCTGAGGCCAGTGTCGGGATCGATGGTGGCGCACCCTCCCTACTGCGAGGAACTGCTCGAGGCGGCGTTGCGCCACATGGAGCGGCTGCTACAGGAGTCCGCGGAGCCACTCAGTTTCGTGGTCATGCTGCCCGAGTGGCCCGATAGGAATACGCACGCCCTACACAAGTTGCAGGCCAGCCACTTCAAGAGGAAACAGGTATGTGAATCGGCAGTACAGTATTATATTATATTGATAGAGCTATCGACCTACTATATGCTCTTTATATGTGCCGTTGTCGTTAACAAAATAGGGTACAACTAAGCACCGCTACAAGCTGCCGCCTGATTTTCTGTCAATTGCCTGGGAAGCTTTTCCATCGACTTATCCTCACTGGCTGAAGGACTATTCATATCACAAAGAAACAGGCAGAATTGACCAGGCACTCCTGCCCAGACCCAACATATCTATCGGAACCTTTAGACCCTTCTTGTCGAATTGATCTTTTTGCTATCGATTATCTTGTAGATAAGGGACCCTCTATCTACATGACATCCCCTTATAATAGACGTTCCCCAAGGCTTATGCCTATCACCTTTACTCTTCATGCTCTACAAAAGCGACATCCTCAAGGTCACACTTATTGAACTCGTACTTTTCGCTCATGTTACAGCACTGTTAAAGAATAGTAATAGAATAGTAAATGGCTAAACATGCAGGCCTCATCATCCGTTTCGCAAGCGCCGTAGATCGCTTTGGTGACTAGTTTTGTCAATTGGGAATCGAACTTAACCCCGAAAAGATTATAGCAAACCATTTTACTCGAGACAAAGAGTACTCGTAAGCCAGAAAAAACTGGCAAAGACAAGTTAGGGTTAATCTCCATTTTCGGCCAACCAATGTCTTGGGACAAGGTGAAATATCTTGGGGTGACATTCAATTCCTAAAATTCGTTCCGCACCCATATTGACACCATTATACATAGAGCCGGGTTCATTTTTGGCCATTCTTCTACTTCTGTCGTGCACGACCGATAATCTCTTTATATAGTTTTCTTACTGAAAGTGGCTTGAATTAATTTGAACCTTACCTTGCAAGCGGTATCTGATTAGGGCTATGTCAATCTTGTAAGATTCAACGCCCCCAAAACGCAGGCTCGTCTTTTTTCCGCTAAAAAGATCCCTTTTACCTTGGCTCCTACTTTCCAGAACGTGTCCTTGGAGTATACCGACCGCCTTCAGTTGTAGGAAGTCGAATGGGAGTGAGTCTCAAGCCAGGGAAGCTGCAAGGAAGTTAGGTGTCCTTGCAAAGGTTTGACGGCACTTCACGCCGGGACAGCTTCTTACTCTATACAAAGCTCAAATCCGATCGTGTGTGAAGTACTGTTGCCATATCTGGACCGGGGCTGCAATATGCCATCTGGCTGCCTTGGACTCAATTGAGAGGAACACAGAAATTGGTGACCATAACTTGGTTAAAATCAATCTCACTAGCCTTGAACATCTCTCACCTCTCGGTTCTCGACAGTATGCATTTTGGAGAGTGGGCCTTGGAGTTGCATGATCTGATTCCCCCCGCCCATTTCCATCATCGGACAACTAGGCGTTCGGCGGGACTCCACCCTTATGCTGTCGACGTTCCAAGTACAAGAACAAAGAGATTCGCTTCGTCATTTATCATCCGTACAGTTAAGGAATGGAACAACTTGCCGGCGTCCGTCTTTCCGTCCGATTACAACGTCTTCAAGACAAGAGTGAATATTTTTTTACTGAGCTTAGCGCGCTTACCATCAACGCCTGGATCGCCATTTACCATCAGGTGACATAGCGGTCATGTGATGGCCAGTTCTGTATTTGGAAAAAAAAATACAAGACTAGTTGAATAAAAATAATCGACACCAAGAGTTGACTTTAACCAATATAAATTTCGATATGTATGTGATCACTTTCGTTAAACTATACAGTACATTATGTTAAGCAAATGATTCAACTCTTAAGTAATTATTTTGCTTTAAAACTTAATCTAATATTCATACGTAAATTATCAAATCTAACTGTCGCAACCTAAAGAAAAGTTATTAATTACAGGTTGTTATACCGGCGTTTGAACATGAGTACCGGCATGGATTTCAACATGTCTTACCGAAGTAAGTGCTTTATGTGATCCAATATTTCTTACTTCGTGAAATAAATTAATTTGAAGCGATTTAAGCAAATATTCAGTTCTATGTTCGGAATGACTTTAAATGCAATGTTTGTAACATCTGATACATTAAAATAAAAATGCATCGTAAGTTACTCAAGACACTTGAACATAAAATATATATTAAGAACAATTTGCCCATTATTTGTTTGATTGCTCTGTGATGCAGTTGCCAAGGTATTGGCTTCAGCGCTGTACGTCGTGGGTTCAATACCTGCACGATACAACTATTTGTGTGGCCCATGGATAATTGTTTCGGATCTTGGTGGTTGTCCACGTGAAATGATATCCTCCAGTAAAGGGCAATGTTTGCTAGAGGAAGATTACAATAAATCTTGCTGTGGCCGTTGGGACTTACTATCTAATCCCTTACATACAAATTGCAATACTTGTCTAAAAATAATTAAAACTAACATTCAAAACTCAATACAGAAACGATGGTTACAATCGGCCTCATCCGAAAACCGTGGGTTCTGGCTAGCCCACCGGTTCTGCATCAGATGAAGCTTTAATAGTCTCGGGACTGAAAGCAAAAACATCAGTTAATACAAGATACAAGAATCGGCCTCATTACTAAAAGTGATTTCATCCAGGCACCCTTCGGACGGACTGAAAAGAGATTAAACCAGGAGTGAAGAGTAAACCCGTCGCTGTGTTCTAATAAATAAAATAAATCTATCAGGAACGAGGTGTACTTCCGCTGGGGCGGCGGCACGGTGGTCGTGTGGCTGCAGAACGCGGCCGGCTTCGCGCGCTGGGGCCCGACCGAGGAGCGAGTGGAGGCGCTGCTGGACGCGTGGCGGCCGCGCTCCAAGCTGCGCTCGCCCGCGCCCGCCGACGCGGACCCGCCGCCCGCCAACAGCGCGCCCCCCGCGCCCGCCGCGAACGCCCCCCACGCCCCCCCCGCCACGCCCGCCGACAAGCGCTGAGCCGCCGACGCCCCTACGAGTCGACGACTCCGCGGCGCAGTCGTGGATTCGATGCTCAAACGAGACAACTGTTTGTGCGACCCAATCTGGGTGTTTGTCCACGTCAAATTGGTGTATGTGAAACGTCCTTACGCAGGATCATGTTTTCATTCAGTATGGGAGCATCGTTTTTTCGAAGGGAAGTCTACGTATCCGCGAAGCCCACCCGACCCATACGCGCGCACTCTATAACATGCAGAAAAGCGTTGCACACCCTGTCGTCCGATACAAACACACCACAAAAAACCTATGAGTTATATAATAAACTTTTTTTTAGTCAAAGTATGTTTACTTTACTAAAAAAAAAAGTTTGCTATAAAACTTAACATCTCAAAGCCTTTTCAAGTACAGTTTGGATATCGTTTTAGTAACCTGTTGTGTTGGTTCATCAATAAATTAGAGAAATTGATAAGTTTCTTTAGCACATAGTCTGAAATCTCTGTGCAGGCCACACGCTCGGGTCCCGAGCGACATGCGCATCACGAACACCCGTAAAGTAATATATGCCGCCAGCTTCACAAATCTGGTGCTTTACATCATCGTCCATTAAAGTTTGACCATAAACTGTCACAGTCTCCACATCATCGGAGCTGGCGCTGTGTACCGTTTGAAATTCAAGTTCGATTCACCAAACTCGTTAGATAACCCCCCACACCCCTTCAAGTGACAGTGGCCTCTCCACTGTCCAACCCAAACCCATGTAAACTAAAATTTGCGACATCAGTATTGCTCACCAAAAATCCAAATATAGACTGAACAACCAAAGGACCACACTCATCTGATGTCCCACTCACCAGCCAGTACTTGAATCACAATATTCCAACAGCACACAACTCTTGATTCAAAGCATTGGACAGTATCAAACCTTAGAGGTTCTTTTTTATTTTATGTGGGTTTACCTTTATTTTGTATTTTATGTGGGGTAAGGGTTATGATAAGAGGCGTAATGATTCCTTGGGTTAAAAATTTTCCCTGGTATGTTAATTATAAACGGCCATTATCACGACAATATATTCTTTATTAGTGTGTTTTTTTTTGTTTATAGTTTAAAATTGTACTTGTGTTCATTGGAGAGTAGTGAGGTTGATATTGAAAGTTATTGAATGTGCAAAGATGTGACTGGTACTATCATGAATGCATTTAGTTCATTCTGGGATATAAAGACTGTGGTAAATGTTCTTGTAAATAGTAAAAGTTATTTGTAATAAACCGTAAACGTAATAAGTAAATGTTAGAAGCAAAATCCAAGAACATTTTGGTGCTTTAAACTCCTGAAAATGTATAAATGACCAATGTATGTTGGGTTCTTTTTTATATTATACAGAGAATTTAGCATCCCAAATCATAAGAAACGCACACCATATTTATAAAAGATAGTTTGCGATGGTAGGCTGAAAATGTATATAATGCATTATTATATTACAATTTAGTTGTTTCAGTTTAATCAGACGAAAATCAATATCTGTTGATTTAATGCGGCCTTTTATTGAAAAAAAGTTTACTACTTTGTGAAGAATGGTTATGCTGCTGTGAAATCATATTAGGAAAGTAATATAATTATTTATTGTCTTGACACAGTACAGACAGCATAATATATTTATTAAAATCAATTTAATGTGAATATACACATAAAACAATCAAAACATTTTTGAAAATATGATTGAGTAGCTAAATACAAAAAAAAATAATTATGGGGCTACTTGCTGTTGTTTAGTAATGAACTGTTGTTTTAAACCCAACTATATCAATTACATATAAAGACATTCTGCGATTATTTAAGTAATTAATTATTGTATACCAATAAATAGGACTGCTGTTATCTGTATCATAAAAGATTTATATAAAATCAATTTTTAAATAAGTTATATGAAATTATTCATTTTGTGTTAGCTTATAGCTTAATTTTTCTTACTACTTGCAATTTCAGTGATAGGTTTATGCACTAAGTTCTTCACAAGATATTTTTTTAATTGTTTTATTTCCAGTACTTTTATTATGTTTATACAAATTGAAATTAAAAAATAAACTTGAAATGTACATACTGAATTGCTGCTTAAATGTTACTAATAGTAGCGCTACTTTTAAGAGAATTTAAGAAAATAAGATTATTTATAGGTGATTATGATGAATTGTTTAGTTTTTAAGCAGAAATCAGAAGACCGTGCAACACAGGTGATAGCTCCTTTTAATCCTGCCATCTATTTTGTAGGAATATCATCAATCTATAATAATCTATAGTAAAAAAAAGTAACTTTTTCTTTCATTATATGTATTTACAGCTGTAAATAACTATAACTATACTGTCGTATTAATTATCTTATCTTTAAGCTGTAGAAGAGTTAATGATCTCGATTGTTTTGATTTGAGATTTGAAAAACTTTTTACTTTTTGAGATAATTACCTAAAACATTAATATACAAAGTTAAATGTTACTAGACTGAATTTATTAAGATCATTATCAAAATCCAACCAAATTAGTTTCCTGGTACAATGGCACACCATTAACATTTTCAAATGAATAAAATTGCAGTAAATGTAAAATTCGACCATTCCGTACCATATTTGATTTAGAGGATAAATAGCGGATGGAGAATTTTTGCAATAATTATGTATAAATATCCTTTTGCTCTGATCGTCCGTCCTAATCTGATCTAATCGTCCAGCAGCATATCACGTTTATATTACCCTTCTACGAACGCCTTGCTATCCCTGTGTAGCAATTAAAATAACATATAATATTCTTACGGTTGTCTTCCGCAAGCGCTGGTCGCTTACCTATTATAGTTATATCAAGATTCTTAATGCGTTCCACAAACTCAACACGTCAAAATTTTAATGGGAACGCGCTAGAACCATGCTATCAAATTAAGAGTGCGAATTTGTACATAGATAAATGCGCGTAATGTACATACTTTTCGAAATGATTTTGTTTATTTACTTATTGTAAGTTCTTTTAAGAGTCCCTTTTTCACTGTTGTATATTACGATAAAGATATTATATTTTGATTGTTCATCATTATATTTTTTAAAAAAGCGGGAATATTTTATTTCAAACAAAGCCTTGTGTTGTAAGACTTTTTTCCTCAAATTCTATATGTGCGGGATTCTATATGTGCCTATGCGGGAAAAGTTTTGTAGAAAACCAAGACTTAAGGTGAACATTGCAGAGTTCCCGAGTATAACTTGTCTCAAATAACTGCGGACCTGTCTGTGATATTTCAGTGTCTAGACGCTCGAATTATTTTTTTTACAATTTTAACATTCCAGCAAACTGTCGGCACCAATAAAATTGTTAATTGCAATTTTATTGTTTTGTACTGACTTATCACGTTAACTTAAGGAAGTAACGAAAAGTCTCTGCTGTGCTTAATACGGATTCGTTTGTCAAACCTTGTAACGTGATCGACTACGTATAATCATAAATTTGTATGTTGAGCAAAAAATTTAGACAGCAAAAAATTTAGACCGTATGATTGTGGTCAACATTAGCTCAATGCCATGTCCACTCCACGCAGGTAGCCGCAATAAAGATGTTCCGATGGATGTGCCGGGTAACCAGACTGGATAAGATGCGCAATCAACATATTCGCGGTAGTCTAGGATTTCGTGACATCGCCGACAAGCTTCAAGAAAGCAGGCTGCGCTGGTTTTGGGCATATTCAAAGAAAACCTCCAGAATACATAGGAAATTTCACTAAATTATCTAGATCCCGGAATGTTCAGATTGATCACTACTAATCTGAACATTTCGGGATCTAGACCCAGAGGGTGACAAAACCGGGTGGACAGAAAAGATCAACGTTCCTGCAAGGTTACCGTAGATGACGCTTCGGATAGAGCGAAGTGAAAGTATAAGACCGAGAAGGCAGACCCCACCATCAGATGGGAATGATAATTGCACAGGAGAGAGAGAGAGAGCTTGTCGCCGCTGTGGGAATCGAACCCACGTCTTCGGCATTCGCAAAGTTGTCGTTCTTCGGGCAACGAGTAGGTATGGAAACCTATATTATTCTCGCGCAAGTACTTCATTACGCGGCGAAAGTCGTCCGTTGTATCGAGGTATACGCGTATACCCATATTTGTATTTTTCGACCGGGGGTCGCGGATTTTGTGGCGTTCGAACCACGAGCACGATTGATGCCACTTTGCCTCTCTTGTATTATTATCGGAGGCGGTGGCTTAATTTTTCGTTCAGCAGCGAATTCGGGTACCGGTTGGGCAGACGCAGCCGCCTATTTGGTGGGCGTCGCGGTGGGACGGTTGGTCGCTGTCGGCAGCGGGGCGTTTTTTGCCCTTTCGCGATTTAACGACGGTGACGCCGTCGGCGTTCGCATTGTCTACGGCGGTCGTTTCGACCTCCATGTCCGATCCGCCGTCTGATTGTGAGTCGGGAACGACGGCGCGGAAGGGGGCCGAGATGGGATGCGCGGAAGGCGCGGTACGATTGGGTACGATTGCGGCGGTGGATATCGACGCGACGGTCATTTCTTGTGTCGCTGCAGGTGACGCATTAGCGGGTGCTGAGGGCACCGGAGATGGCGGCGAGGCGACTACCGGTGAAGCCGGGCTCTCGCTGGCGAACTCAACGACTAAACATTGTTCTTTCGCGAACGCAAGAAAGTCTGCCCACACTTCGGGACATCGTTTGCGAAGTAATTCCTCTAGGAGGGAACTCATTTCGCGCGCTTGAGCCTTTGGCGCTTACGCCCCGCCGGTATGTAAGTTACTAAATAGGCCTCCCCACCTTGCGGCAGGCAAGTGTGTGCCTAAAACTAACAACTAATTATTCGCCTACGCTTTAGGAGCGCTAGGGTCGCCTATCGCAACAAGCACACATTTATTAAATAAAACAATCCGCCTCGGAGGCGAGAAGTGTGTATACAATTCTACTTACAGAACAGTAACCTGCTTAAGAGCACAACACTATACTCACACTAAACTAATGCACTGCTTGCACTAAGATTTAAATTGCAACCGAAGTTGCGAGTAGCGTCTAATTCGGGTGGCATGAGCCCTCCGTCTTAGAGAGAGGTCCGTTCCGTACGAGAGCACGAAGCGGAATCACATTTCTCCGTCCGTCGTCACTACACTGCGTTTGTCATAGTATTTTAAGTGGGCCTTTAGAGGACGTGTCAGCTGTTCTTGATATATATTATGTCCAGTCTTCCACGCCTTGAATGAGGACGAATTTAGATTGAGGTCGCATATTATGACGACGTCCCTGACGCGCGGTAGTGTCCCGCCGGTGCATGCAAGTACTCCTTCGGATGAATGGCTCGTACTGGCTATCTGCCAGTACGAGGCTGCCACTCAAGAACCTGACTTCCCTAACGGTTATCGGTCCTATGAGCTTTATGGCCGGACCATCGCCACTTCAGAGCTATGTCGGTAACGGTTACCTTTGTTCTACTACGGATGTGTTCATTACGAACTCTATCATACAGAGAAATACCGAGTATAGCTGCCTGAGCAGCTTTGAGCGTCTATATACGGCCAGCAGTGAAGGAACGCATCTCTGTTCCGTAAGTCATCATACACATTGATTCAATATTTTTATCTTCAAACATTAAGGGATATTAGACGAAAAGATAGGCCGAAGTTTCCCGAACGCTGAGCATCCGAGTAGGACTCGCCGATTTACCTCTGTGTGAGGTCCTGATGTATGAGGATGCATCACGAGCAATTCATTCCTCTAAAACTCAATACATGCTGTTAATTGGGCACTTGGACGCAAACTAGGCACAAAGAAAGGCGATGAGATGAGGATAAGTATTTTTGGAATAGGGTAACGGAACCCAAGGGAGCAGCAGCTGGCTGACTTTATGGAGAAGGAGGGACTCTTCATGATGAACTCTTTCTACAAAAAGCAGCCCCACAAAAAGTGGACCTGGATTAGCCCCGGTGGTTCTATTAAAAACGAGATTAACTTCAATATGACGAAAAAACGGCAAATATTCAATGATATGTCTGTGATGTCTTCGTCAGAGATCTATCTCACAAAGCCAATTTACTAAGTTGAAGACTGACAGAGGGGTTATTATCTCCAGTAGGCAGAAGAAATGAAATAGCACTGAAATCACTAATTAACATAAAGGAATTAAAATTTTAAAGTTTTTTATAGTACTAATCTCTGCACTTAAGATTGAACATTAAAACATGTAGAAAAAGTACGAAAAGATTGTCGCCGCTGTGGGAATGGGAAAAAGTGGGTAGAGCGTCAGGCCGGAATGCCGAAGACGTGGGTTCGATTCCCACAGCGGCGACAATCTTTTCGTTTCTACATGTTTTAATGAAATTAAAATTTCTTATCTACTGATCTTCATAAAGTGAGTAAATGCTTGAGTCCTACGTTTTTTGATACTAAATTTGAAACAACCCTGAAGATCCCGGCAAACACCAAGAAAAAAAGATTTGACTGCGCAGTAGTGGACTTTTATGTCTTTGAGGGGAGTTGGAGGCGGGGGACAGGGAATAGTGTCCGTGCAAGCGAACGCGATTGGTCTCTCGATTTTGCTTAATTCAAGACGTTTGCCTCCTTGGCACCTATTATACATTTCTTAGCAAATTTAATTTCTGCACTGTGTCTAAAAGAAGGAAGAAATAAAACATATTTCAAGACAAAAAAAATATATTCAATACATCTTAACATATTACATAAAGAACGCCAAAACTAAATAGGCGGAATAAAATATAATTTTCTTTTTATTTATTAAATGAAAAAATTATTTGAATACTTCTAATTGCTAATTTCAAATGAAACTATGTACATTACAATGCTTATTGTTTACTTGTGTCAAAAACAAATTCAGAGACCAAATAAAATTGCTTGCTTGCTAAGAACAATGTATTTTAAATTGTTTCTCTTGAAACACAGATATTTTTTTAAAAACCAAGATGTGTTTTTGCTAAAGGCAAAATAAAGGAGCAGAACTTAAATCTTGGTAAAATTAACCATGTGAACATTGATTGCTAAATCTTAAATAAATAATTGGGTATAATGACAATGTGCTAAGGTGACTTATTTAAAATACTTGTACTTGCACTAGCACCATATTATTTGAAACTGTTTTTGTAGAACATCATGAGTGCCAAGTATTCAACATAAGGCTACTTTGGCCATGACAGTGACTAAACACTCGCATGTTAATAATTGATAATAATATAATACCACTATAGTAAATAGCTAAATAGATTTATATCTTAATTTGAAACAAAATATTTCATAAAATTATTTTTATTATTAAATACCAAGTTTACCATTTTTATTTATCAACTTTGTACATAGAATAAGTTATACCACATGAGCCAAATATTGTTCCATGTATTATTAAGCTCTATGCTTAACCTAAATGTTATTCAAGACAATTTTATCGTATTTACTACATATAACGCGTTTCAATTAAGGATTTGCGAGTTAATCTTCGATCTTTCAAAGATCACAAAAGTAAAAGCCAATATTTTTTTTTGCTATAAGTAAAAGTACATATAGCAAAAAAAAATATTGGCGTAAATATTTTTTTTAATATAAGTACCAAAAATAATGCTTAATCAATGGAATATTTTTATGGAAGGCAGTTATATTTTAATGGAGTTGATGTCTGCTCAAGCAATGGATGAGCGGAAATAACTAACCCAGAGATTCAGATTAAAAATAAATATTATTTTAAAAATATGTTTTACTGCCCCTATTATATTTTTTTTGCAATTTGACAGGTATGACGTCACAATATGGCGCAGGTCCATGCACAATCTTATTAGAAACATGTAGTAATCATGTATAGTTACGCAAGAATACCATAAAATCAGTGTTAGACAGTGTCAGGTTTGTAGTCTTGACCACCCTAGGCCCCAGCCCATGTAGTAAGTTACAGCCGCCCCTTTCCAGAGCCCATCTATCTTTTTATATCTTTTTATCATCAGTGAATTTTTTATCACGATTAGCCGCCCCTAATACGTGGCCGCACGGGGCCTTAGGGCAAATCTGCCACTGCTGTTAGATGTTTACAAGAGTTCATAGCAAGTTGGTATAAATATTGGTGTTTGGTATGATAAGCCAGTACAAGAAATTAAGAATAAAATTGAGACATAAAAACTCTAGTGCATTAAAATAATTATAATATTAGGTCTTGTCAGTCCAAAATTGGACTACTTAGTCACTAAAGAAGTGTCCTTAATCAAACACAACATAAGTTATCTTTCACAAATGTATATTCCTAAGTAAATAATAGAAATATAACAGTAAATTTATTTGTATGGAATATTGCGCCACTTTAACTTTTATTCAATATAATTGTTAATATCAGTTTTCACTTACATAATTTACCAAAGTTGCTTTTGTTGAGCTTTTGTTATTTGCAAGAGTTATAGAAAAAGTTAATATTTAGGATGTGCTACACATAGAAAATAATATATTTGTAATGAAAATAACATTCTTCTAAAAACAAAATAATTTTTGTAAGTAACTCTATTGTTACCATATAAGGCTTTATAAACAAAGCCTTATATGGTACACCAAACTTTGCAAAAAATTTAAATTAATTACATGGGTATTGAATGCTTATAACAATAGTATATGTATAATTGAGTAGATTAAGTTTTTATTTCAGAAGTATTAAAAAAGATAGCATTATGAAAAAATATTTATGCATATTACGTAAGTCAAAATTTCAAAATAATCATTGTAAGAATAATTAGACAAATTTAATTTCTACATTGTTGATTGTAAATAATTAAAACAGAAATATGTTTTTGTGACAGTGTTTGAGTTACCTTAACCATATTGTATATATATATCGCACCTTTAGAATTATAGTGACCTATTTAAAAATATCAATTTTTGGGAAACGTAAATTAAGGATTTGTGGAACTTATGAACTAACGCGCTGATTGGGGGAAAGTGAAAGAGACAGAAGTATATGTTATGTAGCTTTCTAAAATCGGCCCATGTTTTAATAGGATTCGAAAAAGATGGTCGCTTTAGATCGTTTTCTGACATAAAGCCAAAATCATGATTTTCATAATTACGTCCCTTTAATTCTAAAGGTGCGATATATATATATATAAAATATGGTTATTTTATATATATTAAAAAAATCTTATACCATTTCAAAAAATTATGCAAGTTTTTCTGTAATTTAATGTTATGTGGTATTTAAATATTATATGACAAAAAACATCTTTCTAAAATTTCCTTACTATAAATGTCTCTATTTAAAAAAAGATCAAGAAAAATGTTATTACTTTAAATGACATGAACGAAACATGTACTTTAAGGGAAGAAAAAAAAAATTAATTGTATTCTTCGTCTTCATCCATTGTGAAATCCACACCTGAATCCACTGCACAAACGGGACTGAAACAGTGGTAATTATGATAATTTTAGAAAATATTTAATGATCATCAAATACCAAATGAAAAAATTATCAAAGAAAAAAATTTATTTGTATAAGTAGCCTTTAAAAAGTAGTTACAATATAAGGTAAGCCATTGTAAAATGATGTCTCTTCAAGATGACATTTAAAAATGTAATATAACCTGCTCTAGCTGCTAGCATTGCATGCAACGTGGATTGATACGGCGACGTCGTGCCGATACGTACCTCATGGCCCTGCAGGAAAAGAACACGATGCGTTTGAGCTTCTTATTGTAAAAGAAGTAGTTAAAGGTCCATAAGCAGCCAGGTTCACCAAAGGGATCACTGGCGAGGTCCGGGTTGTAGCTGTAGATACGGCAGTCGCGCAATGCTACCTCGTCATCAATGGCAGCCCACAATGCCGGGCGCAGTTGGCGCCATCGTGCTCCACCCACTGCCGATAGTGCAGCATCCACTGCTCCCTGGGCCCAGCTCACCGATGGCTCTGCACTGAACTCATAGCTCTGTTGAACAGAATTGTGTTATTGTGCCAAAACCCATCAAAACTCCATTGGCCATTAAATATTAAAATATTCTCTCACCTTTGCCATTGAAAAGTCATAATCGGGAAATGCAGCGTTAAGTGTTGCAATCAAATAGAACAAAGTCTTCCGAGATATTGTGTCGCATAGAACACCCTCTTCATCGCCCGACAGGCTGCGACTAAAAATAATCACTTTATTTATTGTTCATCTAACATGTCTCTTTTAATCCTATTATATAATTATATATATAGTTGTTGCAGGAATGGACAGAGAACAGTCCGGGGAAGTACCACAACCACACTGAAGATTGATGTGAACTGAAAGTGTGCTATTACTGCATTGTCTGGTCAGTGATGCATTTTTAGCCCTATGCATGTTGTAAATGTAGAAGGGCGGCAGTTATCACTTAACATCAGGTGCTTGCTTGCTTTTTCTTAATTGAAAAAAAATTCAAAAGGAATCTACCACATAAGGTATTGAAAGAAGAACTGCACTTATCTTGTACTAAGAATTGTTATTCATTAATTTATTTTTGTTTTACTACAAAAAACAAAGAATAGTAATTTATTAAATGATGAACATTGGTGTAAATGTGCCTTTTACTACCGCAACAATAAATTAATACACATATTATGGAGGTTTACTTTTAACATATTTTGACATAAGTTATTTTAAATAAAAATTAATATTTAACGAGTTATTAATATCTTTAAAACAGTTTTAGGACACCTTGTAAGTATAAAACTGTAGCGTGAAGTTCATTAGTAAAGGTCACAAACCATATGAATAGGTGAATGAATTTAAAAGGAGACAAAACACACTGTCAGAAGGAAACAATCACGTTGTAAGGTTTGTAGTAGGTACTATGCGACTGTAAGGTTTTCGTTTTGATTTGAAAACGTAAACATTATGAATGAATCAGCCACTTGTATAGGTGTTACAAATTTTGCTTCTTTTTTATTTAATTAGGTAGTTTGAAAATAATTTTTTAATCATGTTTTTTTGAAACATTTATATTTTTTTATGATTATTGTCAAGTAATGTTAGAATTTTGTTTATATAATGTCACGGTTGTAACTCCCTGCGGTATATTCTATGGTGGTACGTTCCCAGGTCGTAACGGCTCGGAAAGACCGCCGGCGGCAGTTGGTTCCACACTGGTTGTGCGAGGCAAGAAATGTCTTGTAAATCGCACTATTGTTGAACGCTGGACATCGAGGTGTGAGACATTTGGCGCGATGTCCTATGGTGGAATTCAGCCGCAGGGATAAATCCAAAAAATTCCTTGGAACACTCCCCGTGATCAATGCGGTAGAAGATGCAGAGTGATCCAACATCTTTATGCAGAGCCAAAGGATCAAGCTGATCGGTCTGCTAGTATACATATAAAAATATAGTGAATCCTGGATAGGTGGGATCTAAAGGGACCTAATTTTTTTATCTTTTATAGAAGTTTTCATTTACCTAATTTCCTAAATAGGCAGCTTAACATGACAGTTGTCTTATTTATAAAGGGGAGGGCCCCTTTATTATTTAAGCAAAAAAGTTTTGCATACCCTGTCATCCTAGTAAACATTCCCCAAAACACAGATGCAAATTATTACTGATAATGAATATTCATAGTAGCAGAGATATTTCAATGCAAGTATCTGGATGTCATTGTAATTATAAATAACAGAGGTGTCTCATATATTCAGGGCCCACTTATCCAGGTTTTACTGTATATAAAATTGCTAATGAATAGAAAACGTTATGGATACAATACAAAAAATATTTAGTTAAATTAAAATATTTTACATTTAATAAAAACTCATAAGTTTTAGATAATTTTTCTTTTATTGTCAGTAAACTAATATGATAATGTTATTAGTTTTATTTATATGAATTCAATACCTGTATGTAAGACCTTCGGGAGGTGACAGGGCCTGAAGGTTATGAGTAGTTTCTCCATCTGCAGTGAAGCGCTTGAAAAAGGCTTTTTCATTTCCAGCCATTTTGCAGCTATAGCTTTCAACACGTCCCTGAACGGCGCTGTCTCCATTAAGGATCGAAAGCGCACGGCTTAGTGCTTCCAAACGAGCACTTTCCAAAAGTTTCATTTTCACTTATTTTTAAGTTCCTCTATTTATCCGCTCAAACTTCTCGTTATAAATGCAGTGCTTATATTTGTGTAGCACGGTGCATTACTTCTGTACATAGCAGAGGGGTGTATAAATATTCCTTTTCTTTTTGAATGTAGAAGGTTCACACTCGGAATTAAATTCGACTTCTGTTCTTCCGCGCTGATGGGATGCGGGAACATCACAAATAGGAAAAGAAGTTGGAGTTTTCTAATTTCTTTAACAAGTGGTAACAAAAGTATTTTTAGCTTGTATTATTGTCTCTGTATACAAGAGCGCGTCACTCGTTGTCCTACAAAATAGCACAAACACAAAACTTGATGTTAGAGGTCAAAATCCATTAGAGACATCATTATATCATCAAAAAACCACTGTGAAGTTTAGTCAGACGCAATTATTATAACTTATTTAGAAGAAGTAATATATTGGGATAAATTAAGTTCTACAGTCAACAACAATTACATTACACAATACAGAAGGCAATAGACATAGACAGGTCAACAATATAGAATTATAGATTATAGTCAATTCAATACAAAGTATTATTAGGGCTGCCTTTGCCCAGTATTGCACACTTAAAAAAAAATACCCCTCAAATAGCCTTAAATGCAAGATTGTTAAGATAAATTACATATAATTTAGTTTTATTTTTTTTAACATCATACAGTTTATTAATCTAATATTTACAAGATTGACGCCCTGTTTCTAAAACACTGATCACCGTAGATGTCAACTAATCAGCTGTGGCTTTTGAAATTTCATTTTAGTTGCCAAAAGGATGGTTAAACTCTTTGATTTGATCATTCATTAAGAAGATCATTCTGGTCTATTTAGAGAGTCTAACCATCTATTTGGCAAATAAAATAATAAAAAAACCTAATCCACGCGGCATGGTGCCAAGAACGCTCGCTGCATTTCCTCGCTGAATAGTTATGCTTAACCTTTGAGCAAGAAAAGAACCAGACCTCTTCTCATCAGCCGCGGCACAATTTTAATTATCGTTATCATTACAAATAGTACAAATAACACAATATTTACAAACATTCTTATGATTACATTGATTAATAAACATTTGCTTTTATTTTAAATATAATTCAACGCCCTAAACTTTCAGGACCGTAAAAAAGCCCAATACGCATAATTTCGCCTTTATGCATATATATTATATACATACATACTTAGTTAAAAACGTTAATTTTTCTATTACAAAGTTATTTTCAATATTTATGTTTGAAAATATCTTTCAATAATATTTGTAAAGGTTATTTACTAGAAACTACACGATACTAGAAGTATTTAAACGTTGATATAAAATATTAATTAATTACAAGTAAATAAATATTTGTAATTTCTTATTGCGAATATAGGCTTAACTTTTAAGTGTAGTTTGCTGTTAGCCCCCAGGTTTTGACAGCTTTGTTGGAAGAATATCATAGGGACATGATCTGCTGGCTCAGAAGAATAACGTTACTGGTGCACGATGACGCTATCTAGTACACTGCATCTTACCGACCTCTGTCAATACTGAAAGATTGACAATGCAACAACAACAGATGGTGAGAGAGACTGACGAAACCATCCAAGGGCAGCCTTTAAGTCCGATTTACACAGGTCAAGTGTATAGTGAAGTAGACATGTACAGTGAGTAAGTACATTTGTATAAAACATCGGACAATAGTGAGTCAACTGGCTTGCAAGCTGCCTTCCCAATCGTTTTCTATTTTTTATGCAAGTGCACCGCTCGCGTGCCTGCTTAACCCTCTGCGGGGTACATGGCTATTAACTTGCTGTAGTGCAGCGATGAGATGAATTCCTTTTTCGACGAGTTCGACCTACACAAGTCGACCGGCTCATCGTTACCGTAGAGTCCGCCACTGGTCACTGTACATGCATCGCTAACTCGCTAGGCGGCATTGTACTTGAACAATGTGAATCGGGCTTAAGATTGGGACTGAACCTTGTTTAAACCGCGATGGATATAGTTAAATCTGTCCAGAGGAAGTAACAAAGTCGAAAATTAGCACATTAAACAATTATGTCGAACGATATCTTAAGAAAATAAAATTATATTTTTATGTAGTTAGTAGCAATTCCATGAAGTGTGTCACACGCCTCCTCTCAGCGATGTCTGCTTCTTCTATGAATTTAATATTGCCTAAGAGACTTCTCTTACAATAAACAGAGACACTCTTAAAATATTAGAATGTTTTCAGATGTCCCTATTAATGTCTAATTTGACACTGACAGTGACAGACTGACAGATCACAGAGCCCAGAGCCCAGGCCCACTATCGGCATAATACATATTACATATCTATTTAATGTACGGACGATTATTTATTTAACCTCATGCTACATGAATCTATTTTACTACGTAATTTTGTGTCTCTAGTATAGCTTTACCTTACTGCCATAAAATGCTACCTAGTACTTTGGTTTCTTCTGTTTATAAAACATTATCTAAAACAAATCGACCCATCTATAATTTATTTAGACTTCAAAAGCCGAAAACATTAGGATGTCAGACTTACGGTACGTATTATTATTCCATTATATTTTACTCCTGGAAAACGGAAATTTTCCATGTACTTTATCTGTGTTAACCATCCCCTGTTCTTAAAACATTAAAAAAAATATTCTTGTTTGCCATTTATATATTTTTCAAAGTAATAAATAAAAAAAATGTAAGTTACACAGATTGAATGAATTATATTTAAAATTTATTGCTCTTTATTTCAGCAACTCACAAAAGATTTTACCGTCGTACAGATATTGTACAAAGTGACGACAAGTGGGAAGTAACCTTGGATCATAGGAGATTAAAAACACCCAATGGCCAAGTGTTAAAGCTAGGAAGTGAACAATTAGCGAGGGCTATAGCAGCAGAGTGGGATGCGCAAAATGAGATTATTGCACAACCAACAATGCATTTGGTGAATAATTGAAATAAAAAAATTAGTAAAATATTGAGATGATAATTTTAAATTGATAAATATATATTTACTTTTATATTTTATACTTCTACTTTTACTTCAAGACTGCTTTATGCAATACTGCGCTGGATAATCCTGGAAAATTGACATCACATGATATTGCCATATATTTATTGGAGTACCTGAGCACAGACACTCTGCTTTTTCACTCAGAAGTAAGTGTGTTTCCAGTTTTTCTAGTTGAGAAATTCATATTATATCAGAATTATAATCTGCAGTATAATATTGAGAGTAAGTATAATCAGTAATATCTAAAAAGTCAGTACAGTTGCAACTTATAAAGAGGAATGGATGTTATACACTATTTTAGTTTCAAATAACTTAAGTCTAAATATTGAATAAATGTGTAAAAGACACTGAAATAACTTCAAAAAAATCTGCTGATTCATGTTGAGGCCACAAAAATATGTATTGTAATAATATTTCAATATGGGCCCTTTATGATTTAGGAAGAACAAGAATTATGTGAGTTGCAAGAAAAGAAATGGGGGCCAGTCTTGGATTGGTTTCAAAAAAGGTTTGGTGTCACTCAAGAAATTTCAAGAAGATTAGAACCTCCACCAGTCAGTAACCAAACTCGAGCGGTGTTATCACGACATTTTCTTTCCTATGATTTCCCAGCGCTAAATGGTATAGTCTTAATTTAGCACAAATTAATTTTTTCACATAAACCTTTGTGTTTGTTTACGTCCTATCATATCCCAAAGCCTTAACACTCATAATAAAATAAAGCATCTGATTAAAATTGGCAATCTAAGATGTCAAGTCAACATTACAGCCAATTTGCCTGATATGTATTTGTTGGTTTGTGGGGCTGTGTAATATTTATTACTTGATAATATTTAAAAGGATGTGTAAATTTCTTAACATTTGTTTGAAGTGTTATACTTTATGGTCACTAACATCTCAAATACTATAAAGTTATTATTTTATTTTGCATGGTATATATATATCTTAAATTCTAGCTCTATGCTTTGGGGCAGAAGCACTTAAATCACCAATGTTAATGTTGGCGTGTATGGATCGGTATTTAGAACCAAGAGAAGCCGTCATGCTTGCTAGGCTCGAAGAGGAGTATCAGGTAATTATAATTATTTTATTTCATATGTTGAATAATAAAAATAAATTTATCATTAGAATTTGACAAAAGAAAATGGAAGTGTTATACTTCTAAGTTTCTTCTGATGAGTGAGGTAGCCGAGCCCACTTTATAAAAGGTAGCAACGCATCTGCAACAGTACGGGTGCTAATGTCAAATGGGGGGCGGTTATCGCTTAACGACATCAGGTGAACTGCCAGCTCTTTTGCCATTTTTTCGCATAAGATATTAAATAAAAATAATACACTGTCATTTATTTACATTTGCTTTATTTTTTATTGAATGCAGTTACTGCGATGGGGACGTGTACCATGGGCCCACGAGCTAAACCAAGCAGAGCTGACTTCACGTGTGGCTGCAGCCTTACTCGTCATACAGTCTTCTACCGAAAAACATTTAGAAACAATTAAGAGCCGAAGCGAACAATCCATTTAAACAGAAAAAAACGAATACAAGTTATAAAATGAGTTAGTAAAAACATAAAATTTTTCAGTGTTTTCTTTTTACTGCCAATTAATTAGATCACCATTTGCACTCATTAATTTCAATAAACCTAACAAACGGTAAGGTAATATTAGTAGTAATAGAATAGTAACATAAATTGATTGTTTCAAACTAAGATACAATGGAATTAGAAACTTCAGTTTGTCAAATTCATAATATTGGCGATGTTAGTGACAATTTGTTGTCGTTTATAAAATTGTGATGAAAATATAACGATAAAATATGATCAATCAAATCAAAACTTCTGGATTTGTTTCGTCGACGGTAAACAAAACCTACGAAGACCATTTCGCCTATTCCGCACTTGATAATTTTACAAGTAGTTAATGAAATTTGCTTAGATTTTAAAAGTGGAAACTTTCACCTAAGTCCGTTACGGTAGCTGGCAACAAAACGTGGTTTAACGTTTAATTACATCCACCGAAACTAGCCAATTAACCTATATAAGTTTATGCCCGTGAAGATCAATCAAAGACGGCTTAATTTTATTTAGACGTAAGTACGGACAGATAAAATTTTTGCCTTATACTAGGTGAAAAGAAAGCGAAGGGTTAAAATATCTTCAAAAATGCTTTTATCACTTAAAGCTATTCCAATTGACTAATTCTTGACAGTGGTAGGACCACGCAGCAGCCTTGGCTGTTGCACGAATAGGCAGGCTCCTCCGGGTAAGTACCACGACCTAACAGAAGACCGGCGTGAAGTGGAAGTATAATACTTTCGCGTTTCGTCTGGTGAGTGAGGTAGCCAGAGCCCAATTTAAAAAAAGGTTGTCAATGCATCTTCAAACCCTCGGGTGTAGCAGATGTCCATGGGCGGCGGTATTCACTTAACATCAGGTGAACCGCCTGCTCGTTTACAAACTTTTCAAATAAAAAAAATATTTTGCAGTAAATTTTTACTATTTCTGCTTTAGAACCTTGATTTATTTTAGACAATTCATATTATTAATTCATGATTGGTTATTAAATAAACTAGCACCTAAGCAATTGATGGAACCAAATTTGTGATGCGCCACAATAAATCGGGAAGTATCCAAATTTAAGTGGGACTGGGCGTTTTAGAATGAAGTGAAATAGAAATAGCAAAAACGGAATCGCGAAGTTACGCTAAATATAGCTGAGCGAGCAGAGAGACGACGTTGCACTGGCGACTCAGTGTCCGTGCGACCTCGCTTTGTTCTCCACTGCTCCGCCTCTGCGCCGAGAATTCATTATTATTGACAATTGTGCTCGTTGACAAAAGTGGTTTCAGTCTCACAGTAGGATTGTTAGCTCCGATTCAGTTTTTCTCGTATTTGCATAGAGATGTGTATGTTACAATGAAGGGCGTTATCTTGGATTTAAATATATCACAGTTTGTGAGGAATCGAGGTTAATATGTTCTAGTTTCGGTTTTTGTAACATTTCAATATTTTGCAGTGTGTGAGTATGGATTCCTTATATTATTATTGCAATTTTATATACCTAAAATATTATTTTATACAGAGAGTATTTTTATACCTTTTTCAGAAGGTGATGAACTGCGATATAAACGCGGAGGCACCGCGTCCGCGCCCATTATCCGGTGGTATCTGGACATTGTTTTCTTGGCTCCGCCGTGAGGAGCGCTCATTCTCCAACGAGAGTATATCTAGTGCCGGATCGGATCGTACTGCTGTTAGTTTTGCCTTCTTAGAACCTCTTAATTACAAAGCAGCTACAGAACCAATCGTTTTACCGCCCCTTAGCCCACCCACGGATTCATATCGAAAAAGAGTGCGTGATAGAAATTTTCGAAGACAAAGAGAACGGAATATTACGCTTCATCGCAAATACGGCTTATTTAAGGGCGAAAATATCGATCGCTTCGACGCTTTTAGTCTGCCTCCTGCCCATAGAAATTCTTCTATCACTGTCGAAAAAGCAGAACGTGGAAGACGGGCAGCAAGTGAAAGCTTTCAGAGACGTGCACCTTACGTTCCTGGTAAACGACGAGCGCCCTTACCTCCTTCAGTTACAACCTCTCTCCCTCGTAATTTTTCAAGAAAAAGACCAGCTCCGCAGCCCCCAAATAATTTGGCACAAATAGCTGTAGAGGTAGATAGGCTTGAGTCAATGAACCCGAAATCGGAAGGTGATAGGTATTCTATACTGAACAAAAATGTATCAATCGACAATAAAACTGAAAAAAGTATTAAACAAGAGAAAATCAAGGTTGAAAAAAATTTTCTTAAACAAATTTTTGATAATAAAAAAAGAAACTCCGTCATAGAAACAAATTGCATAAAACTTTTGCCTAATATCAGCGAATTAGATAAGCAAGCGGCTAAAATAATTGAGAACAAAAAACTCAAAATGTTAGAAGTTGACGCAAGTAATCCGACAAATGACAAAGGTGTATTAAGCGAAGGAAAAGTATTGTGTTGTTCTGTATGTCATAGAAAGTATAATGCCAATACATCTTCATGCCTTTACTGCGTTCCAACCCATAATAAAGCAATTGAATCTAACAAAAATAACTTGAAAACTATACCTAATATAGCTACAAATATTTACACACAAACAGATAAAGATCTAACAAATGCAGCCTCAAAGAGTAAATTATGCGAAAACGAAGAAAAGAAAAAACTTAAAGAGATGTTAAAAGAAATGAAAGACTCTCTACCGAAAAGACCGAAACATGATTTACTTACCAATGAAAGTCCCACGCTTCGCATAGGGTCATCATCATTAACTCATAAGAATAAACCAGAGTCGTCTGAAATCTCTCTGAAATCTGATATCCTAAAAACTGAGTCGGATACTAAGAAACAGGGTCTTGATGTGGCAGATAATCGAATTTTAGATATTACAATAACAAATAGTAATATTGATCAGCCCTCTTCGAGTGGTATATCCACCAGCTATCTATTTCAAACAAAAATATCTAAAGTGCAATGTAAAAGCTACGACCAAAATTGCGATGTATCGGAATGTAATTTACCAATCGGCGCGCAAGTCGGTATAATGAACATGAACAAAACAGAAATAGAAAATTCCCAGGCATTAGTCTCAACTCAAAGAAATAACATTCCAATAAATAAAACAGAAACTAAATTATGTAAAAATGACAGCACAGAGAAAATTATTACTCAAGAAAAAGTAGACAATTTTCAACTTCAACTAAAAGATTCTTTATCAAAAAATCAAATTGAAGTAAATAAAACAAAAAAAATAAGAAATTTCCAATTACCTAACAATAACTTAACATCGAATACAGTAGAAAACGTAAAGCCAGAACTGTTGCACGTAAGAAATACTGAAGTATCGAAACCATTACAACTTAATTCCTTATGTTTTGGTAACAAAACGACGTTAAATATGAGAACGGAAAAAGACAATAATGTTACCAAACAGTCATTGATTAATAACAGTTCTTCAAATAATGTTGATGGCAATATAAGCTGTACAAAAAAAATTTTAAGTGACCAATCTATATTAAATAATAATCAAATAACAAATCAGGCACAAGCAAGCAATGTTAAAACTACAAACACAAGTATCAATGATTCACATAACTTATCAAACCTACATACACCTTTAAAAATTTCATCCTTGTTAAATCCAGTTTATCGTCCCATCCAAAGTTACGTTTTATCAAGCGAATCTTCAAAGAATGGGACTGAAAAAAAAACTTATAACGCCCTACAACAGGCGACAGTGTCTTTTAATCAAAAGCTGATGCCTATTAAAGAAATATCCGAAATCAACGAAAAAGAGTCTGATGAAAAACTATTAAAATCTTTATCAAGCTCAAATCAATCAAAGGATTACAGCACAAATACATCAGTATGCAAGGTCTTAGGCATAAAACCATCATCATCAAGAGATTCAGAGAACAAATCTCCACCCAAAATGGACCATCATTCGAGACGAAGAGAGTTGGTAAATCAACTAGAAAAGTCTATAGCAAAAGGTGACGAACAAGCAGCAGCCGATGCTGCTGTTAAACTGGCTAAATTACGTTTATCGTGCTCCGTTTTATCTTTTTCTTCCCAAATAATTGGAAGTGCACCTAAAACGCCAAATATTACTCAGAATTTGCCAAACCCCATTGAAAGTGAATCAGATATAAACAAAATATCTCAAGAAAGTAATATTAATAAAATGAATAATCATAAAGGTAAAGCTTTGGATAAAAACATCGAAAAAAAGGAAACAAAAGCGTCGACATCCAAGACTGAAAAGGAGAAAAGTAAATGCTCACCAAATAAAGTGGTTGTTAGTCAGAGCGACATTAAAAGTGAACCATCGACTTCAAAATGTGGTAATTTGATAAATCAAACAATATCGTGAGTATTGCTTTTATTTTGTTAAAAATTAAGTAGCTCTTTCCCTATAATTAATGTAAAAGTTCGTATTTTGATTTTATTCTTCATTTCTTTTCATATGTTACTTCTCAAAATTGCAACTATTTCAAAGAAGAACGTTAAAAATGTTTATTTAATCCGTCACGCTATTATTTAGTTCTGTGCTTCATTCAGTAAACATTGAACCCTCACAATATCATTATATTGTTCGTATATCAAGACTGATTTTTCATCAAGAATTTATGTCTCAAATGGCCTACGTTCTTAAAACCATAAACAGCTTCTCAGTCCTTGTAATCACAGATAAGTGACCATTTTATTGTGAGACGATAGCAAAGGACGTTCGGTAGCAGATGCATTGCCATCCTTTAATAGAGTTGGCCCGGTTACTTTAATTAACAGACTAAACGCAGAAGAAAATTGTTCGAATTCGCGCACACAAACAGATATTCAGAAGATATTCTGTGAATCGATAGTACTTCTGAAGCTGGTAATTCATGCATTACCGTAAGCAACAGGAAATCCTACCACAGTGAAACGCTGTAGATTATGATTCTTTCAAACTTATTTATTGAAACTTATATTTATGTTTTACGCATGTTGTTGCTTTTGAAAATAGGTTGCACGGTACAAATATAATAAAGGCGCATATTCTAATTTAGAGTTATTGTATATTTAAATATAGTTAAATTATAAAGTTGTACGGATCGCATAGTGTCCCTCCTAGCCCCTATTCGCACTGGTAGTTTCTTCTTATATTGTCAATACGTTTAAGCTTATTAGTTTAGTAAATGTGAGAGAAAGAAACTTTGTAGGTACGTCCTGCAATACTTTTAAAATTATGAATTTATAATTTTAGGATACAGGTATGGGTAGAGGATAAGGAAGCGACCAGAGGACCTATATTTATACGAATTCCACGGGAAGCAACAATGGGACAATTGCGGCGGCAAGCGGAAACGACTCTTGGACTGGATTCTCGATTACAACGTTGGATAGTTGGCCGAACTCTTTGTTTGGATGTTAATACTCCATTAATCTCTTTAGCTGGCTCGGATCTTAGCGCACCGTTTTACTTATGTTTAGTAGAGTCAGGTAAGAATTAACTCTATTGATTATGTATGATACGTTTGTCATATTTGATAAATTATATCTAACTTCGGTAATTATTCTTTTGGTGACACCTAAATTATTATTTTAGATTAAAATTTTAAGTCAGAAAAAATTTACTCGTGATATTTTATAACGTCAGATTTCAAATGTTACAGAAACAAAACAAGAAACTACTTGCAGTACTGAAGCAAATGAACAAAAATTAAAAGAAGACGACATTGCAAAACTGACTAATAATAATTCTGGAGAAGTATATAATGAGTTAATGAAACTAGAACAGCAAGCGATTGTTCCCAATAGCGAAGCTTTTGAATGCGGAGTTTGTATGGATGTCTGTGAGCCAGGAAGAGGCGCTGTGCTCCGTGATTGTATCCACACATTTTGCAGAGACTGTCTCTCGGACGTTGTGCGCCATTGTGAGGATCCAATTGTGTCATGCCCCGCAATGGGATGTCCTGGCGTGCTACAAGAACGTGAAATACGCGTATTATTGACCCATGAAGAATATGAGCGATGGCTTGCACGTGGACTCGCTACCGCGGAATGTGGTACGCGGAATGCATTCCATTGTCGCACTCGCGACTGTACGGGCTGGGCTCTTTGTGAACCCGGAGTTAGAAAATTTCCTTGCCCAGTATGCAAATGCAACAACTGTGTTCCTTGCCAGGTAGTATTAATATTATCGTTCAAACAAACATTAAATCAAGACATAACATTATTTAGAATTTATAATTATAGATCAAATTGAAAGTAAAAAATGTCAAACAACAATTTTTTTTTTGTTGTTTGACATTGTGAATAATTAATACTAAAACTATAAAACAATTTGTGAATAATTAGCTATCAGTAAAAACGGAAAACTCTCCTCATAAACGTCGAATGGCCGCGTTTTAAATAGCTTCATGTTAGTTTTAGTCCCGAGCTAGTTTCGTAAACAATGTTTTCAACGTCCTTTACTTCACATTTTATGAACTCGCTGAAATGTTTTGTTATGCTTTTATATTATATTGCATCACAGGTACGTTAACGTTAGAGCCATATTTTAAGTTACTACAAAATGTAACTAATTTTGGATATCTAGTTGTGACATTAATTAAAATAATAATGAGTAGTTCTATCTTTGAATTAAATTTGAATATTTTTTTCTATGTAAGTATACATACAATTGTATGTCTTACTTGTTCATAGCAGTACATTAATAGCTATACGGACTTCTTTCTCTGAGCCAATGGATAGTCGTGAGAATTTTTTATTAGACAGAAGTTTTAAAAAACATAATAAAAAAAATTGGCCAAATATACCATAGTCTTAGACTATAGGTGACCCGTTCTCAGTATTATAGGTCAACACTGTCTCGGGATTATTCATGTTTAAGTATCCGAGTAAGGTTGCAGCTGCTGTCTGAAAATATCATTAGCACCTTTCTTATAGTAAACGTTTTACAGGCGTTTAACAAAATTTTACAGGCTATTCACGAAGGCGAAACTTGTGAAGAATACCAAGCCAAACTTCGTACCGCTGTGGCGTCAGCTCAGACAAATGACACCGATGAGGGCACACGGACTTTGCTGAATTCTCTTATACGCCGTGGTGAAGCTTTGGAGTGTCCGGAATGTCACGCTATTATCACGAAAAAATGGGGATGCGATTGGGTGAAATGCTCAGCGTGTAAAACGGAAATTTGCTGGGTGACACGCGGTCGCCGTTGGGGTCCAGGTGGTCGGGGCGATACATCGGCGGGTTGCAGATGTGGTGTTGACGGCAAAAGATGCCACCCCTCTTGCGGTTATTGCCACTAATTTATTAATGTAAGCTATGTATCCTGTTTTAACGGGGTTTTATAATAAACTATTTATATATTAAGTGGTGATTTACTTCGAATGTAATAAGTTTTTCATCACGTCCACTGTTAAGTAGCGAACTACTTAGTGGGCGCTAATTACGTGAGGAGTTCAGGGGGGGAGAGGGTCGACTTCAATCACATCTAATCTTACCTTGGGGAAAGTGGGGGTCTCGGCAAATATCACGTAAATTTTATTTTCGCAAGAGACGGAGTAAAATTGCGACAAAATAGTCTGCATTATAATATAATACATACATCAAAAGACACGTTTATAAGCCTACAAAAATTTTCAAGGCGAAGTAATAAAGTTACGGAACGCATCTAAGCAAAATTACCGGAAAAGAAGACTTAATACAGCATGTTCAGCATGAGATCGGACAGCTCCGCACGAAAGCGACCTAGGGAAAGAGAGAGAGACAACATGTCCACATGACTGAAAATCATGTGGACATGTTGGTTCCAATAGTCATTCTTGGGACTGCACTATTCTTCTTGGACTAAACTTCTTTCTGACGACCCGATTGGCGTAGTTGATAGAGTTACCCTGTCTCTTGCGCCAGAGGGTGTGGGTTCGATCCCCTCTACTGGAAAAATTTTGTGTGATGGACATAATGTTTTTGTATGTATATTTTATATATATATAATTCTTCTGTACGTGTATATGTCACTTTAAGTATGTTTATCAGTTTTCTAGTACCCATAGTACAAGCTTTGCTTAGTTCGGACTGGATAACGTTGTGGAAAATAATGTCCCGAAATATTTATTATTATTACTCGTAATTACAATGAATATTCTTGAATCTTAGTAGAAACGATTTAAATATTTTATAGTTTGGGTTTCCCTGTATGTAATTCTAGCCTACTTTCTCAGAAATCTTAAATAGTGGTCTTGATTAGTTTTAAATAAAAATATTAAGCAAATTGCATATTTTTTCTTATTAGAATAAATCCGATGCATCTACGAGATATATGCATTGGACGGCGGGGTTGAACGGTGGTAACTTACTCGTACATAAGAATATATTAAATTTTAATATTTTGACGTTTCTTAAAAACGCGTAAGCGTCTATGTGCATAAATAGGTATATTTTGAATTTTGAACTAAATCTCGCGAAATGTCACCAGGGGGTTAGGGGGAGTCAATCTGTAAATTCACCTCATGTTATTAAAGAGCGCCCCCTATCCCAGAATATAAAATTATTATAATTAATGTAAAAAAAAAATGTATTTGGGAAGCCAAAGTTTTTATTTCATTATTTTTATATAAACTAAATCCGGTTTATATTATTATGATTAGTAATAAAAAGTATAATTTAACCATGACGATGACTTATGACTATTAAAAACAAAATAAAACAATGAGGAAGTTCAGCATGAAATTATGGGCCACTAGTAGAAAAATACGAATTTAATTGTATGGACATATTTGCTCATCAGCTTTGTTGGTATAAAAGACGTTTATCTTTATATGACCTATATATTATCCTAAAGTAAGGTCAGTCAGGTAAAGTACTTTTGGCGACTGGTACTTTTATCGGTGGTAGGGCGACGCAGCAGCCTCGGCTGTTGCACAAATGGGCAGGCCCGTCCGGGTAAGTACCACGACCTCACAGAAGACAAGCGTAAAGTGGAAGTATTGGGCTCTGGCTACCTGCCAGAGCCCAATTTTCAAAAGGTTGTCAACGCATCTGTAACCCTCGGGTGTAGCAGATAACTTACCAAAAAAGTTTCGGGATGTATTTCGTCAGGCGAAAGGTCTTTTCAGGACAGGAGTAATCCAGTCCAAAGCTGAATTGCTCAAGAATAATGGAGAGTCGCCATTCGAGTTCTCCACAAAAAACTGTACTAGCTGGTGGAAACTGTTCTAGCTGGTGGTTAGATTGATGGTTTGTTGAGCTTGCCGAAGACGAAGGCATCATTCCATGAGTCCAAGAAGGAATAGCAGGAAAGAAGCACGTTGGAAATATTCTCCAGTGGCGAATAAGCAAGATTTTTGACGTAAGAAAAATCCTTCATTGGCCACGGGCAACTTACACCTCCCATGACCACACAAACCTCACGGTTATATGGATCGAATCACGGGAAGGTGCATATTTGGCCGCGATGCATCTTCTTGACTCTCCACAAAATATTTATCCTCTTCCTTGACCCTGTAGCAACTCTCCCCACAAAGAGACTAGACGTAGAGGTAGACTAAGACTAGACGCATGTATAGAATACTCAACATCGGATGCCATACGTTGTCTTGTCGCGCGCCGTTGGTGCCATTCCTTCTTTTTGGATTTATTTCGACAGCATGGCGTAGCTAGGTGGACAAGGGCCCCGGTGCATAGAGGAAAAAGCGGCCCCCGCCAATCAAAAATTTCCAGTCAAATTATTTAATTTTTGTAAATTCGTCTATAACTTCACTCAAATCTAAGTTAGATTCTGTCTTGTTTTTGTTGTTGCAATTAATGTTAAATGTCTCTCTTTTGTGGGGGCCCCTCTTTTGCGGAGGCCCCGGGGCTGTAGCCCCAGTTACCCTACTCTAAATCCGGCCCTGTTTAGGTAATGCACGCCAAGATAGCTCTTAGAGGGTAGCAATTTTTCCGACTTAATACTTACCATAATATTTTGGCCAAATTTTTTAAATTTACAGGGAATATCGTACATAGATGAGATCACACGCAAGGGAAAGGAAATGAAAACTTAACTAAAAAGTTGATGGGTGGAATTGGCACATGAGCATATCACTAATACAATGTGCTACAAACGTACTGAATCAAATAAGGGTAAAACATAGCACATGCTTATCAAAAGGGCTTGGCGCATATGTTGAAAGTCAGGTCAAATCAATCATAAGGAGTTTTGTTATTGTTCATTTAACATAAAAAATCATGTGAGCAACCTCAAGTTTTGCTAGATTCGAGAGCTACCTGCTCCTTTCTTTTCAAAGCTTAGGGTGCCCCGTGAGATTCGGGGTCCTGGTGCACTGCACCTTCGATAGCTACGCCACACGCGGGAGGGCACACGCCACCTGCGGTGGTCCCACCTGGCGAGAGATGATCGAAGTGGCCACAAAAGTTTGATCAGCGATCTAGAATTAGGCCGAGATACTAGGGGCAGGGTGAGTTACACACAATTACGTGAGCGTCCGTTTAAAGTGCGTTACGAAGCCAAAATAACATGGTGCCTCGGACTTACGATGCGCCACATAGCTGCATTCACCGAATGCGCCTCGCACATCAGCCAAGCTCGTTGTGGGATGCCGTCGCGCCCCGGAGCGGCACTTTTGGCTTTTATCCTAAGGACGGCACCGCCGAACTCTCCTGGAGGTTCGGGGCAGTCTCTTCCTTCTTTTTTCACAACAAAACAATTGGTGCGTTGAACAGCACTTGATTGATAGTTTTCTTACTAGTGCTACCAACGCAATTGGTGCGTTTCCCATTTTTTGACGGTGATTATTTTTATTTTTTGTTATAAAACTCATATTCTGTTGTAATATACAGCGTGAAATTATAACCGCGACAATAAATGAACGCACGTCTAACGCTGTTTGCCAATAATAATAAAAAATATAAAACGTTAAAAAATCCATTATTAAAAATATTTTTTTTCAAACAAATTGAATAAAAAGGAAACAAAATTTGTGACACCCTATACAACTCCAACTGACTGATACTTACATACATTCAGAGACTTTTTCATTCGTTGCCACTCTCCTTCTAACAGTATGTTTTGTCTCTTTTAAATTCATTAAACCCATTCTTATGCTTTGTGACCTTTACAAATAAACTTTACGTTACAGTTTTATAAGTTTTCTAAAATTCTTTGTTTTGGAAAATTTAATAACTCGGTAAATATTGATGTTTAAAGAATGTAAATGTTTAATACAATTTTGAAAAGTTGTCCTCTATATGTGTGCTCATTTATTGTCGCGGTTGTAACGACACGCTGTATAATAATATAAAGTGGCACACATTTGATATTTGAAAAATTTAAGTGGCAATGAATGGGTTAAAGAAGGATATGTGCCAACTTAATGTATTAAAAACTATCAATTCAACCATTTTTGAGAGAAAAATCTAAAATAACAATTATATGCTACAATATCTCTAAAGTTATTTTAGATATTCTATTGCTTGTTTGTGCCCAGTGTTCTTGAGTATGCTTCACTATTATCTAATACAAACTGCGATGCATAGGTACTACTAATAATAATAAATTTATAACTACTATAAAAATATTTTCTTTTCTATTAAAAATGGAATTATAATTCCAGATGAAAACAACACCATTTATTGTCACTGGTAGAAAGACGTAAAATAGCTGATGTAGTATTTTATTAGGCATTTCGCAATGTAGGATAGATTACCCTACTTGAACAAATTACGGTTTATAACACTACGAAAAAATTATTTCTCAACAGAAACAACCATGCCCTTAGACACTAGCTTACACAACTAGACCAGACAAAACTCATTCTTCCTTTGTGTTCCTTGATCGCTGATCAGGTAGTTTGAGCAGTTCAACTATTTTTAACAAAAAAAACCGACTTCAAACCGCAAAGTAAAATACATTGTAATTTAAAATAATCTAATTAATACCTATAAAATTTGAGGATTGCCCTCGATTTTTCTGGGATGCCATCATCAGATCCGCATTTACTTATCATGGTACCTTTGGAATATTTCCTTTCCAATAAAAACAGAATCATCAAAATCAATTCCTAAACGACGAAGTTATCCACGAACACACATAAAAAAAAGTATATATATGGTAGAATTGAGAAACCTCCTCTTTTTTGAAGTCGGTTATAAACCACTATTGTTAAAGGGGTCTGGCTAAACATTCAATAGTTTGAGTTATACTTCTGCAATTATTATTATTGTAGTTTTTCTCTTTTTTTAATAACTTTAAATATCCAAAATTATTTATATCAATACAAGTTCTATTGTTAGGTACTTTAAATGTGAAAAAATATTAATGGCTTATTTCTAAATGCTCTGGTTATATATGTATATTATTTTAGCTGTATGTTTTCTAAAGTAAATTGAATAATGATGGATGCATCAGCATTATCTAAAACACCGATATCCATGGCTAATCTTGCAAGTATCTTCAACAACTCTTCTCTCATTGTATGTACTTCTATGTGCCCTGATTGTGACAAAGTTATTTTGGCACATTACCTGCCCTCAATTGTATTTTTTATGGTAACCTAGAATGATCTATTGTAGTGTTCCCTTAAAAACATTGCCTGTTTGATAACATTAGGATATTTTACATACAAAAATTTCATGTGGACAGACACCCTGATCCAAAACAATTATCTATGGATCACACAAATAGTTTTATCATGTGTGAATCGAACTTATGACCCCCATTACTGAAGCCAATATCTTCTAGGGAACTACAACAGTCCACAAACTAACTTTGGCCTCTAACCTGATATAAATATTCTACTTAATTATTAAAGGAATAAATAAATAATATTATAAAGTGTATTAATATAAATAAATTGAAGTGTTAGTATTATACTTTCACATTTTTTTGATGAGGGAGATATTTAGGGCCCATTTATTGCTTTCACAACCCTTTTGGTATTGTAGATATCCACGGGTTGCATCAATCACATTATTTCTGCTAACTGCCTGCTTACTTACAACTTTTCACATACAAAGGAATAATAAATGGTCTCAATCCTATACAACTGTTATGAAATTTAATTTGGCTTAGTTTATGTTGTTAAGGCATCAAAAATTATTCCTTGAATGATTTTTGAATCTTATTTGTGCTGAATTAACACGAAAGCACTCTAAGCACTATTATTCCATAGAATACAACAAAAAAGCAAATATATTTAAAATCATAATAGGTGGTTAATAGATATACCTATCTATTAACACAATTGTCTCTTATTTATGTAAGATTTAAAACATTAACTTAAATATAAATTATTAACAAATATAAAATGTTAATAAAAAATCAGATATTAATCATGAATGAATTTAAATTAAAGATAACATTAGGTTGACTTATTTATTAAACCTTATGAATACGCTATCAATATCTAAATGTTACAACATAATCACACACCCAGTATTAAGTTTGAGTACTTACAAACTATTAATAATAACTCAGAGTTATTAATGATCATGATGTATTCACAAAATGCACTCTTTTACTTGACACTTATAATTATACAACTTAATAGCGACGCATTCCTGGTGGACCACGGCTTCCTGGGCCTCCACGACCCATTCCAGGTGGAGCACCCATCATGCCAGGGGGTGGGCCGCCCATCATGGGTCCACCACGCATTTGTGGAGGTGCCGAGAGTTGCCCTCTAGATCCTGGGGCCATATGTTGTTGAGATGGACCACCTACGCCTCTTGCGGGGCCTTGAAGCCCAGGAGGTGGTCCTCCTGGACCTGCTCCACGACCCGCCGCACGTCCTGCTCCTGGACCTCCAATAGCTCCAGGAAGGGGAACACGGGGTAATCCTTCTTCCGGTGGCGGCGGTCCTTCAATAGTTAAGGAAACTATGTTTTCTCCTCGCAAAAGAACGAATCCCAATGTTCTTTTTTCTTCTCTGTCTGGAGTTCTGTTATTTTTCGATTTAATTTTTCTAAATTCTTCACAATCTCCTAATATCAAATTCATATGCTTATCAAACGCTTTAAATGTTCCAATAAATGTCCTGGAATCTTGTAGAATAACTCTTACCCTATAGTTAATATGCTGTTGCATTTTATTATTCTTTCCGATCGTCTGAAAGGAAATTTGAAAAAACATTATTATGGCAAAAATAGACTTTTGTCATAATTAATAGGACACACAATTAGTAAATAAAGACAGCGCTCACCATCTTTAATTTGTGATTACTATGCTTTGTTGAGATTAATCACAAATCCTTGTATATTAGCGGGAAAACAATGACATAAGACCCAAGCCGGCGATTTTTTTTACATTTGACATTCCAAAACAAACATGGCGTTTTGGATTGGAATTAAGGAAGCGTCTACGGTGCTGCCAGATCCAAAACTCAGCGATTGAAAGTAATTATGGTACATTCAACAATTTTTAATGTAAAAAGTTTCTATTGTCCCCCATTTTTTTCTAAAGTACATAAAATAAAGGACAACTCATACGAACCCATGTATCTTTTTTTAAATTTTTTTGCAAGATTTAATATTAGGTCACAAACTAAAACATACACAGAGAAGTAATTTGAAAACAAATCTGTAGCCTACTATCTGAAACAACACTCAGTAATCGTAGAGATAACATTATTAATATTATTATTGACTAAAGAGTTAAAATTTAATTAAACGATTAAAATTTGATATAACTAAAACGTAACTTATTAAGCTAAAATAAAAGTTAAAGAAATACAATACGAGCGAGTGGTTAGATGTGCCCGTACATGACAAAAAGCAATATGTCGTCGGAGAGATGATTTAAAGCTGGGCAGGCTACAGTTGAATATGCATTGATGAGAAATCCATTATAAAATTTACACATCCTGAACAAAGAACCATTTCTAGTAACTTTATTTGAAGATAATGGTATGGCGAATAACTGTGGGACACTCACCGAACGGGTTGGCACTTTAAAACATAACTCCTTAAGAAGTTGGTCACCAAATTGTCCATTGGCAACTGTATATGGGTTTTCAAGGCTCTCTAATTTAATTTGTTCAACCGGTCACTATATGCTGTAATTTTCCTCCTGAGTCCTAGTCTTGATCACAGTGAACTTATAAATCTGCGCTGAAGAGACTCAATTCTGTCACTGTGGATCTGATATATGACCAGACTGGTCAGCAGTATTCAAAGACTCTCCTGACCAACGAGAGGTATAGTATTATCGAGTTTGGAATGGCAAAGGAAATCATCCTATTATTAGCCTTATTACACATGTAGTCATAGAGTGGTTTAAAAAAAAGAGCCGAGTCCAATAATATGCCAAAATTAGAAATTATATTTAAATCCCTCTGTAGTATCTCGCAGTCCTGCAGACTGTTTACGAGTCGGCACACTTTGATATCATCAGAATAAGCAAGACAATTGCTATTCAGAAGACCTTCTTGATCATTTATAAAAATCAAAAATAGGAGAGGTCCTAAATTAGAACCTTGCGGAACCCCAAAGCTAGCCAAGAGAGGAACCGAGTCATAGCCTCCCAAAGCAAGCGACTGTCAACGACAGCTAAGTTAGGAAGAAAGTCATGTGTGCAAGTTACCGTGAATTCCCAAATTTTGTGCTTTTATCAGAAGTATTGAGTGATCAACCCGATCAAAAACTTTGCTGAAATCCGTATACATGGGGTCCACTTTGATTCTACTATTAAATGCATCATAAATGAAATATGTATAAACAAGGAGATTAAGTATTAGTCGACCTCCCCTGTATGTTGGAGAGGGCTGAGTATGTGTTTTATGTGGTTGTAAATGTGGTCGTATACAAAACATTCGAAGATCGTGGCAAACGAGGAGAGTATACAGATAGGCCGATAGTTATTGACGTCACACCTATCTACAGATTGGTGAATTGGAGTAACTTTCTTGCGATTGTCCATAATGATGGAAAGTGATTGTGATGGCAAGTGGCATGAGCCAACACCGAGGCACATAGTTAAATAAATATTGGTGGAATGCCATCAGGTCATTTGCATACATCAATAGATTTCAATATAGATAGGACACGGCCAGTAGAAATTCAACGGAGGAAACATTGGAATATAGTATACTTTAGTGCCAACGCTATAAACGTTTAAAAGTATTCGACTAAAGATTGACTATATCATTTCCATTATGGGCTTCACAATCATGATAGTATACACAGCTTGGAATATTGTTTGTACTGCTCGGGCACGCGACTTACAAAAGGGGCGGCGGTGCGAACGGTCATCTTCCTGTATCCAACTTGCTACGTTTCCATTCAATTACATCAGTGTGGTTAATAATTATTTTCGTTATTGTCGATTTTAATCGAACAAGTAAATTACAATGAGGGATCTGACAACGAGTTGTCCTATGTTATACACCTAATATACAGCGTGACGTTACCATCGCGATAATAAATGAACACACATATAGGGGATAACTTTTTGAAGTTGTATTAAACATTTAAATTCTTTAAACATCAATATTTACCGAGTTATTAAATTTTCCAAAACAAAGAATTTTAGAACACTCTTACCTATAAAAGCGTAACGTAAAGATCATTTGTAAAGGTCACAAAGCATATGAATGGGTTGAATGAATTTAAAAGAGACAAAACATACTGTTAGAAGGAGAGGCTTGTAATACAACGCTGTGGCGCGAGTTGTATAGGATGTTACAAATTTTGTTTTAATCGGATCTTGAATAATCGGAATCTCGGAAACGTGTAGTATGCGCGTATATTCTGGGGCGAAAAATCGATCTATCTAGGTTTCATTTTTAGAAATTGTCCTTTTAAGGCGCTGTATGCAGTGAATTTTTAACTATTTGGGTGGTGAAGTATGAGGAAGCGGAGGAGGGGTAACGCCGCTTAGCGGCGTGCAGCGCGCGAGTTTCGTCGCCGCGCCAATAGTCCAAGTCATTCTTTACTGTGTGGGTGTAGTGATGGGCCGTAGGATACTATCGATAGTATCATGGAAGGCTTTCGAAAATGTACACAGTTGATCCCTATAATACCTTTTACATACCATGATTGTATTTTACTTTTATATTATAATAGGAATAATAATAAACAAACAAATATAAAGTATGAGAAAGCAATCAACAATTTAAAAAAATCTTCGTATTTATTCTTTTGGAATTGATTAAAAATACATCGTAAAGTCAAATAAATTAATAAAGGCAAATTACTTATAATTATTATTTTTTGTTTTTATGGTTTATATTGTGATTTTAAAGAAACGGCTCATAAAATTTTTGCAGAAATTACGAACACAATTTTTTTTATTACATTATTTTTTTTTATTAGGAATTTTAATTTATCCTTTAAATGTTCAAGACTTAATATGTTTTATTACTTTCTCAACTAAAATGAAATTTAAAAAACTATCGATAAGATCCTTATTTGTATCGATAAACGACAGCAATTATAACTAGAATCGAAATTTTGTCACTTTCCACAGAACTCGCGTAGCCTGTTGGTCCGAGCGTCATACACAATGGTAAACTATTACTGTAGTAACAAGTTCAAACCCTCTTCGAGTGGAGTTGCATTTTTTATATTATTTTCCCTTTTAATTTGTTAGCCAACTAATTATTTTGTTTTTATTTTATAAAATGGCTCAATTTGGGAAATAAACAAATTAATAAAAAAATTATAAAACAATTATTTTTCGAGTATAAGATAAATTTTCGTTTTAGGCTGAAAAATTAAATATTTTAATAAAAAAATAGATGACGTTAAAAATTTTAATACTAAAATTTGGTTTATTTACTGATAGATTGTTCTCCAACTGTTTCAACTTTGAACAAATACAATAATATTTCGTTGTAATTATTTATGAAAATAAAAAAATCAACAAAAATTAAATGGTAATTAAAAATACTTCCAAATAAGAAAATCAAAAATAAGAACAACAAAAAATTTTGGTATTTGAACACAATCCACAAAGAATGATGGTCCTATACACTGTATGTATAGGACTGATAGACCAATCAATCACGAAATAAGACATTCAAATTACCCTTTAAATAAATTATTAACAACTGTTAATACATAGAAATAATTTATAACTACAAAATAGAACCGTTTTTCCCCCAAAGGGTAAAAAACGGATATTTAGGTTTCAGCCGAAGCTTGAACCACCTTTGAGATTACACTCTCAAAATTCGTCGTCAACTCACCCACATTTGTTCCATCTATCTGTCTGTCCTTGTCTGTATTGACCTTTGCTATCTCTTTCTAACCTTGACGGGGCAGCACACGGTTGTTCGTTCTTCAGTACCTTAAGCCGGCAAGGCATTCAGTGGTGGTTCAAGCTTCGGCTGAAACCTAAATATCCGTTTTTTACCCTTTTGGGGGAAAAACGGTTCTATTTAGGTGTTTGAGCCTTCGCTTGAACCACCTTTGAGACGTGTTTACCTTCTGCCGGCGCTGCCCAAAGCGTAATGTGATTAAAGGTGATAGTAGTAGGTATACAATAAAAAGAGAGTAGTACTTAGACATGATGTATAATAAAGAAGAATAAAATCAAATTGTTAGCAAGAACAAACATTCATAATATTTATTTGAGATCGTTGACTATAATAATTAAAAACCAAAAACTTAACTTCTCCCTTAGTATTAAGAATATAAATTATATCAAATCAAATATAACAACATATTTAACCCTGATGATTATGTGTTAAATAATATGATCTATAAAGGCGTAAAAGAATCAACTAGAGCATTACGTACACTGCTCCGGGCCTTGTACCTTGGTAGCTCTCTGAAATAATGGTTCAAAAATGTATTTCTACTTCTCCAATTCCCTCTTTTAAGAACTTCTTCGATATTAAAATGGTTACTGGACCAGATGTCGGAGGCTACTGCGGCTCTGAAGCTGCCCGCAGAAGCATCAATTCTAGCTTCTCTAAAGATAGATCGAATCCACCCTGCTATTACAGAGCGGGAAGCAGCCTTGACTTTTCCTCGCGTACTGATAAACAGGTTATGAATGTTTTTGGAACTGCGTCGTTGAGCTGAGAAAGTTATAAGTTTCCTAATCCAAAACACCAAGTCAAGGCGTTCCACTCGTTCTTTTGTATTCCGTAGTGACCATCCTGACTGTTGATAGGTAAACGTGTCGGTTTTAGAACCGTAATTAGGCCAAAATATAATTTCGTCCCCGTTGTCTTCGAACGCGCTTTCTTTGATACTCAAAAGCGTTAGATCCTGCACTCTTCTGCCTGAGGCCAGGAGTAAAAGAGCACTTGTGTGTCTGGAGACACCAAATATACTGTCTTCGTTAAAGGTATAACTTTTCAGAAAATTTACTAGATCATCTATTTTCCAGGACAATGGCTTTTTCTCTGGTGGCTTTTTAGCAAAAATACCTTTTAGCACTTGTTTCACGAGCGGGTGCGAGCTCAGTGCTTCTGATCGATTGGGGTCGACAAACGTCGCTACTACAGATTTGTGTAATGCCACTGTTCTTGGTGCTAGCTTCTCATTGACAAATAAATGAAATAGGTATTTGGCTAGAGTTTGAGGACTTGGGCTATTCACCTGGATGTTTTGCATCAGAACCAACTCGCGCCATCTAGACCAAACTGGCTTATAAATTTTTAAGGACGATGATCGCCACGAATTCTCCAGTAGCTGGATGTCGGATTCCGACCAGCCCTCTAGTTGGCCTGCCCACCCTGAACCTTCCATACCACCAAATTTAGCTTGTCTACTTCTGGTGGCGGCTGGTTGGTCCGTAGGTCGACTAAGTTCGACTGCAAATTCCGTATTCTGAATGGAGATCCCATCGCTCGTCTCCGTACCTCTGGTTCCCAGAACGCTCGAGACCATGTTGGAGTTACAAGGAGATAATGGCCTTCTGATAATTTCAAGTGCCGTAGTACTTGGGGGATGAGTGCAGGCGGGGGAAAGATCCAACCCAACTGGTAGCGCCATGTTCGGCTGAATGCGTCGGTGAATTGGCTCTTTTCGTCCGTCGCGTCTTCGCTGACGTAAGCTGGTACGATCGCCGAGTTTTTGGAAGCAAACAAATCGATTTCGGGATAGCCCAATTCCTGCAAGATTGCTTTCAACGCTATTTTGTTGAGATGCCACTCTGGGAGGGCTCTTGCTCTCGATAGCCCGTCCGCTATCCCGTTGTACTGACCCGGTATGTAACGAGCTGTTATGTGACACCGCAATTTTCGACAGAGTTCTAGTATTTTCGTTACTGTTTGTAGCAGAATCAAGGACTTTGTACCTCCCTGTTTCATGACATAGGCTACACTCGTACGATTGTCGGTTTGTAACATTAGCGATTTTCCCTGTATTTTGGGTCCCAACCGACTTAAGACTTCGTAAACTGTCCAAAGTTCCTTCTGGTTGCTGTGCCACTTTTGTTGACGAGGGGCCCACAAACCCCACAGATGTTGTCCGTTCGCTATTGCTCCCCAACCCTTGTCGGCTACGCAGCCGACAAGGGTTGGGGAGCAATAGCGAACTGTTGTTATAAATACTGTTGGTGTAGGGTAGTATATTGGGGAACTCTGATCTATGTTGTCTAGCCACCAGCTGAGCTCCTCGATCATTGCATCTGGAAGTGGGTATTTCACGTGTCGTTTTTTCTTTGGTAGCCGGTTTGACAATCTTTGCAATACTCTGCAATGGAGTCGTCCCATTGGTACTACGAAAGATGCGAAATTGAGTTTGCCCAATATTACTTTTGCATCGAACCAACTCCACCGTTTCTTCTTCATCAAGTCTGCCAGGTGTTTTTTCAGTTGTTCTATTTTTGCAAATCCTAAACCCTTCGTTCTTTTCCGTATTCCATGTTACTCCCAGATACTCTTTAAGTACTTGCGCTACGGTAAACCTCGCGACCATGACATTTTTTCCATGCTCAGAGCAAGACCTAAGGTTTTAATGAATGAATGCTTTAAAGCGTACATTTCACGAATCGAGGACGACGTATTAGTGAATATTTAATCTTTTTGGAGATACTAAAAATAAACTTATTAGGCGAGCACGTCCAGAACACACCCCCGTGTCCGATGTGAATTGACTTCCAGTTCCACAACTCATAACCGTCAAGTCCGCTCTCTCATTTCCTGTATCGACCTTACTCAAGCGCACTACTTGACGTTTCCGAGAGCTAACAATAGATGGTGTTGTAATCAAATTATAGCGCCACGTCTTGATCCTGCGACATATATATATATTGCTCGTTTAAAGGATAAGAGATAAGTTTGATAACGTTGCGTATTTATCGTTATAATAACGTTAATTTCTCAATAATAATTTCGTCCTGTTACTCGTATAACGTTATACAAAAAAATTGAAAACGAAAAGTTTTCTGAGGTACCGATACCATTATGACGTTATAATATCGTTATAAATTTCGTTATGCATAACGTTTTAAGTCCTTGGACGTATTGTTCAAAAGATATTAGATAAAGATTACTGTTACCAGCGCCATCTATCCGATACTAACTAACGTAATTATGTTCGCCGGGGTGGTTATGCCGTCTATATAAATGTGCTAAGTTTCATATCAATTGGGGTAACGGTTCTATAGTTTTAGATGAACATCTCACATACATTATATATATATTTATTTAGATTCGAAAATCACATGCCTTTTACGCATAATTATGTCTTACGGAACTTTTTGAATTTTGAGAACCGTTGTAATTTGCCTTCGATGTCATGATAAGACGTAGTTATGAGGAAATCAAAACTTGGCCTTAATTTTTGCGCTTGATCTTTTGAATAGATCTCATACTCAATCATGCGGGAATATAACTTTTTGCTTTCACCAATTAGGAAATATGTATATTATGCATTAAAATTGCTTCGGTACGATTAATTCAATGAACTTAATATAAACATTTTACAAAATTCAATGTTATCTATAATATAATAGACAAAAATATGTTTGTCATGAAGTAGTGGAATAAGCAGACTATTTAATAATCGATCTGGTCTTACGGATCTGAAGAACTTGTTTCCGTAAGACATGTCTTTTTAAACATTGTCTCTTATCTTTTAATCGATGATATCAAATGTAACGAGAATTTTCTTTAATAATGTATAAAATATAAGTAAATGTGTATAACTATAGTTGGTTTTCAATATTATAAACTTCAATTATGCGGAGTTGAAAAGAATAAGAAGTCTGGGTTCTAGGTAATTCTTTTACTTAGGGATAACATGAAACGATAAATACAAAACTTAGCCTAATTAACAGTGACGGCACAATTATACTATTTAAAGAACTAATTAGTCTTTTACCGGGTTTACAACAATCATTCGCACTTGTGCTAGATTTTACAGAAAACTTGCAAATTAACAATCACATACACCACTCTAAACTATCGCTACAAATCAATACAGTCATTATAATATACAGCCTTCGGTTAGAATAAAGCCCTTATAACTAATATTGAACATTCAATTTAAAATTCAAAGCTGAATATAATGCTACGACAGATCAGCGGCGGCGGGAGGAGCGAATTGTATAACAGAAGTATGGCGTACTACGGGCACGGGCGCTGGCACTGATTCAGGGTAAGGAATGAACTTTCGTTTTCTAGGAGGGAGCGAGGAAGGAGCGATAGTTAAATGTAGACTGGTCGTAGGTGGCGAAGGGGATGGGGTGGGAGTGGGCGCGGCGCTGGGGATCGGACACGGCGGTGCGACGGTTATCTTCGGCGCGTTGGCACACGGCGGTGATGGGGGCGAGCTTGGGGGCGTCGGCGGCAACTGCTGCAAGGCCGCTTCAACGTCACACATGGCGTTGCTGTTTCCAACCATCGGCGCCATGGAAACCGAGGACGCCCCCCGTGGCGTCTCAGCACCGTGCTCCTTGTATATGTGGGCTTCCATTTGCTTCTTAGTGTTAAAGGTGCCATCGCACACCGTGCAGCGGTAGCAACGCTCTCCGTAATGCTGGAACCGGTGCAGTTTCAGCACATGGTTATATCCGAAGTCGCGGAGGCAAATATCGCAGGTGTAGGGCCGCTCGCCTGTGTGTGTGCGCGAATGCACTTTCAACTGTTTGGAGCAAGTGAAACCCTTTCCGCAGCCCGGTGCCGGGCAGCGGTAGGGTTTTTCACCCGTATGCGTTCTCAAATGGATCACCAGCTGTCCGGATTGTATGAAGGTCCTTGTGGCAATGCGGGCACGCGTGCGGCCTCTCGCCGGTGTGGATGCGAGCGTGACGGTGCAGTTTCCCCGAGTGCTCGAAGGCGGCGCCGCAAACGCCGCATCGGTACGGGCGCTCCTTAGTGTGGATCCGTCGGTGCACTTGCAAGTTCTCCTTAACACTGAACATCTTGTGGCAGTATTCACACTCGAAGGGGCGTTCACCTGTGTGGGTCCGGTAGTGGCGGACGAGACGCGCCGGCACGGCGAAAGTTTTGTGGCAGACATCACAGCGGTGGGCATCGGCAGCTACTCGGTGCGAGCGGGCGTGAGCAGTGAGCGCGCTACGAGTGGAAAGGGTCAGCCCGCATTCCCCACACTGGTGTACACGTTCCTCTTCACCTGCCGAACGATCGAGTTTTATATCTAGAGACGGAATATAATTCATTGTTTTTTTTATCAACTACTATAACAAGATAATTATTGAGCGCGCTTAATCACGACGACCGTTCACAGTGCAATGTGTGTTGTGGACGGCATGCGGCGATCAGGAAAATCAGGATGCACATACAGGCCATAAAGGGGCGCGGACAGGCCGGGGGGTGCGAGGAACAAGGCAGAGTGAATGTCCTCCGACAGCACGTGGAGGCCCGTACCTCGGTTTCGACGCGATAGTGCCGCGGTGCGCGCCTCCACGTGTTTGGGCCGCCGACCCCGTATCCGCACTGAGCCTCACCCCGCACTCTTCCCCACTTTCGTTTTAACCTCGTGCAATACACTAATGTTTTATGTGTAGAGTATGGTTATATTTTATAAATATAACTTATTCATTCATTCTCTGCACATATTATCATTGAAACATTTTTTTTTATTATTTGAATAGGCAGTGAAATATTATTTCTACTATATGGCACATAACAAATTGATATGAAAAAAATACTTTTCAAAATCATGCTATACAAGAATTATAAGTTGCAACCAATTCGAATGAATTTAAACTATCAATTAAAGTTGCTTTCAAAATAGTTAGGAAGTCAAAAAAATACTTTAAAAATTATTGTGGGGCACACATTTGGTATTAAACAATAAGTTATCGTCAAAGACTCACCTATCATATTTCGGTAATGATGATTGATATTCGTAAGTCGGTTCAATGGTGTCAGTGTTGGTGTAGGTTGCGTATTATTTAGACAAACGGAGCTAACGCGCGCCTCACTGACGGTCCACGGCCGAATGCGGAATTCGCGAGCTCGACTCAGCCAGCGCATGTGTCCTCCACTCTCCTCTACACCGCACACAACCCTCAGTCACATCTATACAGAGCCATCTGTGTGCCCACTTTTGATGTGTGTGTGATATAAATGGCAGTGTCTTCTGTGTCATACGAAAAAAGTACCTTAGTAGAAATGATGTAATTTGTTTCATGAAAAAAAATAAACCCACTATAGGTAATGCTTTAGCGTTTTTTTATATAATTATTCTTTACTGTTGAACAGGCTTCATATATTGTGTTTTATGGTTCAACCAAGATGTATTATTTTATATTGAATAAAAATATAAATGAGTATAAAATGTTTCCAACTCATACATAAGTAGTAGGAGAATTAAAAATATAAAATTATTTTTTTCCCTTAATTCCCTTAGTTGCCATATTAAATAACAGCAATAATAATTTAATCTTTTAATTAATTATTGTTTTTATTTAATGTCTAGCAGCAGTATTTTTGCTATGGAACCTGATAAGAAACAATGCTTTAATTATTGTCTTAGCAAATGAGTACAAGTTCATCTTTGCTGTGCCAGCAATAAAATTCAATTATTTTACTAAAATCACAAAATTAGCACGCATAAAGCGATTTATTACACACAGAGGCGATGATGTTGGGTCAGGAACAATAATAATGCATGTAGGTATGTATATATTATCTATATTGTAGAATGTACATACGACAGACTACCGCGGCTTTGTTGAAGGTTGGAGAGGGCAGCAGCAAGCGAGCGCGGCGGGCGGCGAGGCACCACGTGGAGGCGCACCGCGGTTTCGAAGCGCGTGTGAACTCTCGATTGGAGTGCGCGTGCGTGACTTGTCGACTTGCCTCCTCCCGCACTCTCCCTCCCGTACTGATATTTTGTGTCTGCCCGTCTAGGACAATGTATATGTTATAAGGGCTGACGTGATCCGGAAGAAATTTCCTCGTAGCGACGCGCCCCTATGCATATTACAACAGATTAACGTTTTGATGATTTTTGATAATCATTGTACTTATACTCATTTTCGGTAATCATAAATCATTTCAATTTTTTCGATCAATATAGTGGTCGGCAGTGTCCGTATAATGCCTAACATTGAACATACTCTTATGACATGTTTGTTTTGTACTTAGCATGGGTACAGTGCATGATAAAGAACTAGCTATTATTTCTGTGCTAATGCCGATAAAAATTGAGAATTATGTAACAAAAACTGCATTGTGTCTTGAGCAGCTGATAAAAACAGCACTGTATTAAAATTGCCACTACCTACTATGATAAGCAGTTTATCTTTTACGTATCTTGCAATATATAGTAGAAATTGGACTAAGTATCGCAAGAAGAATTTTTTTTTAATATTCATATAAAAAAAAAAACAATAAAAATATGACAGGTTGTGAACTTGACACTGTGTGCTTTGGCGATTCGGGTTCTAAAAATGGCTGAAAAAGTTTTAATCGTAAGAAATTGCAAAAACCGAAATACCTTTGATGCACTGTGACCGGCCTTTAGTTACAAGGCTGATGGGCCGCCGATGTTTCAGCACAATTCAATAATATAAACTAAAGTAGGTACTCATTTTCAATGAAGAGTTAACCGAAATATCTCAGTATGTGCATTCGTTTTTTTACCTTTATTGAAACAATCATAGATTGTAAAATAAAGAATACCACAGAGTTATACTATTGTGGCAACACCTTTCATTCCAAATGTAAATAACATAAAATATAATATTTCAGGTATATAAAAGTACTCTTTGGTCTTCAGGGATACAAAAACAATATTAAGAAGGATTAATACTATAATTTTCCTTTTTTAAATTAACCTTTGTTAAAAAGTTTTATCATAATTAGATAATTAGTTTAGGAATGCTGAACTTAACAAACGTTAATCAAGTTATAAATTGATCAAATGAGTTTAATGATTACGTTAGCATAAAACCGGTAGGTAATTAAATTTAGCTCGTTCACAGGATCCTTTGTTGAGACAGGTTTATTAATTCTAGCACGTGTAAGCAAAATACTGAATATATTTACTACAATGTAAGTACTTGCTCGTATAGTTTTTTTTCTACGTGGACCAAGTCGACTCTAATTGTGTAATATCCGAAGTTACTGAATGTAATTCTCTTTTATATAAGGGTTAAATACAATCTTAATTTTTTGGAAAAAAGAAAAACTGGAAGAACTTCTGTCTGAAAATAACCTAAGCGTTATATTGTTTTTGGGACTGCGAGAAAAAATAAGGGCCAACATATCGTCCCCTAAAGCTAACGCCTTCTTCTCCCTCTCAATATCGGACTTATCTGAGAGGTCCTCCGTGACCCAATAACCTAGATATTTAAATTTTGATACTTGTTTCAAATGGCGCAGTGTAAACCGCCAGTAGAGCAGAAAAATTTTACCAAAACATTTTACACCTAGTAGTAATTCACTAACATATGTGTTTACTGTCGTCAATTTGAGGATCAAATAAGTCTCCTACCCCTACACGGAATCGCACCATAAGCCGCTACATCGAAACGAATCATACAACGTCAACCGATATAATAAAGTATTAAGAATAAACTAGTAAATTAAAAATAAAAGTAGTATGTAAAAGTAACTCAAATCAAAGTCCTATAAATTAAAGAACTATATAAAAGTAACGTAAATGAATACGAATTTATAACCCATTACATTATAACACTTAGTGAATTACTTATTGTAGTATCTCCCTTACAAATATTACAATTTTTACAGATTTTATCACGTTTACGTTAATGTTTAATTTTTCTACAATACTCAACAGCATCCATAATGATTAACATTAACAATGATATTAGGTTCATGAACGTGCTTTATTTCCCAACCTTTGATTAATTCTACAATTGTTCATTCATTATCGTCATCATACTACAGTCCACACTGTTGGTAACCATGATGACTGAAAATTACTAACGGAAATGCCACGGCAGATTTACACGTGTAATTGTCATCTACGTTTTTTACATAAACATTATTAGCATACTCACTTTTGTATATAAAAAGATACGCTGCAAATACGTGTTTAAATTGATATAAACTTAATTTATCGGCGCTTATATTTTTTTGCAAGTCTTATTTTCTTTTATGTCCGTGAATATGGGAATTTTATATATTGAATTTTATATATCGAAATATTGACTTTTATATATTTTATAACAATATATAAAGCAAGAATTGATTCAAAGTACTTAATTTATAAATATTAGTTTTCTAGCAATTTTATAATATTAGATTCATTTTTAAAAATCTTAAGTCTATAAAGACTGCAGTTTAAGATTTAAATGCTCTACGTACTTATGAAATACTACTGAAGCTAATTTAGATTCCCAGGGGCGCACTTCAATTTAATTACCTAACTTATGTAGTGCTTTGTAAGGAACAGCTTTACAATAGAGAACAGATTTGGATGATTGACTTAAATTTGACACACTTGATTGATTTTAATTCCTCGTTACAGATTATTTAAGTGACATATATATAAAAATATATATGTCTCTAGAGACCTTACATCGTATCATCAATCACAAATTATCATATTTTTTTTAAAAAGAAGTATATTTTTACATTTGTGCAATAAATGAAACCATGGCGTTTGTGCAAAAAATTAAATAAATGTTAAGTAAGGCTGAGAGAAAAATGTATAAAATTTAATAGGACATGAGAGGAGGGTGCAAGCGGGCGAAGCGAGGGTGCCGGGCGCGGCAAGAGGGGCGAAGCGCCGACACGCGCTGTACGGTCAGCGAACGTTCGAAACCGCAGTGCGGAGGCCCGGCGGCGCGTGCGCCCGATTCAACCTTCCTCAACGCGACCGCAACTGACCCGCGCACCGCGCCACGAGCGAGGTGCGCGTGGCAAGCGCACCATTGGTGCCTTGTGCGCATCGTTCGAAACTTGAAATTTTTAAACTTCAAATGAAACTGCCTTTTTAAATTTTGTAACGAGCTTTAAGCTAAGAGGCAGTTTTTCAAAAGCAAAAAGTAATTAAATAATTTTAAAAAATGTTAGGAATATCTATAATTATGTTATGTGAATATTCGCAAAAAACTGTATAAACATATAACACCAATTTTCATTCGGTATATCGTATTGATAGACGAGAGAGAGAGAGATAAACTTGTTTAAATGAATTTACAAGTTTTTCGATAATCATAAATAACACTTTATTGTCACCTGTGCCTTAAAATCATTAATCAGCAATATTGCACCTGTGCCTTGCCAACGCGGTGGTCGCCACCAGCTATGATGCAGAGTAATGGAATCTTCGATTCAGAACTGTACCTCGGCTCGCTCTCTACGGTAATCTAAATTAGTCCCGGAATCGGTATTATTTCCCTCCAGCACTAGATATTAATAATCTATTTTATAATCACACAAATAAGCAAAAGATTGTTTTTTTTTTTGGTAAGTAATGTATTTTGGAAATCATATTTAGAGTCACAAATTACTGAGTAATGAAATATGCATAATATTTTTCGATCTTACCGACCTAATAAAGAAAATATGAACTGGTGTTTTTCACAAAAGAAAGAACTTTAAAAAAAAGGGAAAAAATAACAAAATCATCTGGATCGACAAAAAATTAAAAAAATAAAGAAAAAAATTAAAAATAAAGAAAGTGTGTAAATGATCGTGACACGAACCACGGCCTTCTGTTTCGGGCCGCCCGATTATCGACCGAGGCCGGCGGTCTTCCCGAACCGTTACGACCTGGGAACCTTCAAAAAGAGAGCGTACTCTTTCTTTAAAGGCCGGCAACGCATTTGTGAGCCCTCGGGTATTGCAGGTGTTCATGGGCGGCGGTAATCACTTACCATCAGGTGAGCCTCCTGCTCGTTTGCCCCTTTTCTCCATAAAAAAAAAAAAATTACTAAATTTCATGAAAATCGCTGAAGCCGTTTGCGAGATTCCAATTATATATTATATTATATATTATTATTATATATTATATAATCTTTCTTATCCTTTAAACGAGCAATTCTTGTATATAAATTTATATACACACCGCCACAATTAGCGGAACACAAAAAAAAGCAGGATTTTAAAATCTTTTACTTGAGGAAACAGCCAGTTATGATATTTTTTTAATTTATTGTCAAATTTGAAAATAGAAAATTAGATGACATACACTTTTTTCATTCATTTGTTTTATTTTCCCGAACAATACGTTTTGTCAACTTGTTCGAGTAATAACTACGTAATTGTAATTTTTTTTTGAAAAATTTAACTTAATGGTTATTTATAAATTAAAAATGAAACCTAGAATCGAGTTTTCGCCCCCGAATCTACACACACTGTGGAACCAACTGCCGCCGGCGGTCTTCCCGAACCGTTACGACCTGGGAACCTTCAAAAAGAGAGCGTACTCTTTCTTTAAAGGCCGGCAACGCATTTGTGAGCCCTCGGGTATTGCAGGTGTTCATGGGCGGCGGTAATCACTTACCATCAGGTGAGCCTCCTGCTCGTTTGCCCCTTTTCTCCATAAAAAAAAAAAATTACTAAATTTCATGAAAATCGCTGAAGCCGTTTGCGAGATTCCAATTATATATTATATTATATATTATTATTATATATTATATAATCTTTCTTATCCTTTAAACGAGCAATTCTTGTATATAAATTTATATACACACCGCCACAATTAGCGGAACACAAAAAAAAGCAGGATTTTAAAATCTTTTACTTGAGGAACTAGCCAGTTATGATATTTTTTTAATTTATTGTCAAATTTGAAAATAGAAAATTAGATGACATATACTTTTTTCATTCATTTGTTTTTATTTTCCCGAACAATACGTTTTGTCAACTTGTTCGAGTAATAACTACGTAATTGTAATTTTTTTTGAAAAATTTAACTTAATGGTTATTTATAAATTTGTTATTCTATAGGCAATTTTGTTTATTAAAAGCTCTTTATTATGCCTGACTTAACATCACTGGAAATCATTAGGGCTGATGAAATGAGAAGAAATGGCCATACCTACAGATCGATTGCCTCAATGCTTCGTTGTCCAGTATCAACGATTCATCGCAGCATCCAGCGGTACAGATCGTCTCATTCTCTTGTGAGGAGGAGGGGTCAAGATAGAAAAAGATGTACATCGAGGCGAGATGACAGTTTTTTACAACTTGGAGTTCGTAGGAATACGCGATTAACGGCTGTACAAGCTCTTAATGAACTGGAAGACGTTCGAGGAGTACGAGTAAGTGAGCGTACAGTTCGCAGGAGATTTGAAGAGTTGGTTGGTTTAGGGTCGTATATACCTGCCAAAGGCCCAAAACTTGAGAGACGTCACCGCGTAAACCGATTAAGCTATGCGCGAGAACATCGTCATTGGGATTTGAACGAATGGCAGCAGGTTCTCTTTACTGATGAGTGTAGAGTTCTTTTAAAACAGATCGATGGGAGACAGCGAATATGGGAGACGCAAAGGAGAACGCCACATACAGTCTAATTTTGAACACACAGTGGCTTATGGTGGCGGCTCGATTATGGTTTGGGGAGGGATATGTTTGGGAGCTCGCACGGAGTTAGTGATAGTCACAGGAGGGACCATGACAGCAGATCGATACATCAGAGACATTTTAGAAGAACATGTTGTATCATTTGCCCCATTTATTGGTGACGACTTTATTCTAATGCAAGAGAATGCTCGTGCTCATAGTGCACAATCGGTACAGGCATATCTGAGCCACGTAGCTATACCGGTGATGCAGTGGCCAGCAAATTCCCCCGATATGAATCCGATAGAGCATGTCTGGGACTTGCTAAAAAGAAGGGTTAAATCCAGAATGCCACCCCCAACAATCTGAATGAACTTGGAAACGCATTACTTGAGGAGTGGGAGCGGTTGCCTCAAGAAATCATCGATAACATAATCTGTAGCATGCCCAGACGAATGGAAACCGTAATCAGAGCAAGAGGGGGGGAAACACTCGTTATTAATTTTGCTTTAATTTTATTGTTGTCATTTAATGCTTACTTTTTTTTTATTTTTTGTGATGGTTCATAATCATCTAAAAATTTCACTTATTTCAAATTTCTTTATTTTTCAATAAAAAATAACGAAGACTTTTCAAAGTCGTTGTTAAAAGATGTTTATCAATTTGTTATTTTGTGTCTAATTACATTTTCGTCAAATATATGCGTTATTATCTCATAGTCTCACTTTTTTTTTTGTTCCGCTAATTGTGCCGGTGTGTATATAATCGAAATCGGGCGGCCGCTAACAAACAGCCACGAAACAGAAGGCCGTGGTTCGTATCACGATCATTTACACACTTATTTTTTTTACTTTTTTTTCGATTCCAGATCATTGCTTTCTTTATCTTTTATTTTTTATTTTGTTATTTTTTCCCTTTTTTTTTAAAGTTCTTTCTTTTGTAAAAAGCACCAGTTCATATTTTCTTATTATTACGTCGGTAAGATCGAAACATATTATGCATATTATTATTGATATATTGATTTACTAAAAAAAGAAACCGAGCAAAGCTCGGTCCTCCAGGTACTTGTAATCTAATTACACCAATTGGTGTAATTTGAGGGCCTCAGTTTTGGTGCGCCTGTGTCATATCTACCTCGTATTTTATTGTATAAAATACCATTGGTGTAGCCTATATTTATCCGCAGTAAAATTTATTATGTAAAAAAGTCATTGACCGGACAGACAACCCAGGCCCGCGGCCCGCCAGTCTTAGTCGGGAAAGACGAAAATTTAAGAAAGTTGAATGACCGACCTCGGTGCTTGCTGTAACAAACATTGTAGCAGTCTTACTGATAAATCCTTTGCTGTTCCTACCTATATTCATAGACGCGATCAAAAGGTGACTAAATATTTATTATTCCTTTAAAGAATCAAAGATGGTCGTATGAATACGTCAATTGCCGAGTACAAGGCATTATTTTGCAGTGAGTTTTGCTTATTTAATCATTATAATGAGCATTGCTGGGACTCATATTATCGCTATATTCTTTATTTAGATTGATCAATTATATGTGCCTGGATAAGCCTCAGTGTAATAAATACTTCTAAGTTATATATATTTGTGGGGTTTGTTAAAACTTTATAAATATGTTTTTGCATATGTTTATCATAGTGTTTTGATGCGTCACCTATAACGCTGGCTTCAATACAGGGTATCGATAACCGGAGGGTCTAAGCTTTTTCATAATTTTTTTAATATATTAAAATCAGTACATTTGTCTCGTTCTCAGTCTCGAATCATCGGAAAGCATTAAAATAGGTAAATTCTTTTATTATATGCTTGTCAAGAATATAATGATAGGGTAAATCAAGACAAGTAAATAATGAACGTTTAGTCCATCAAATCGAAGAAATAAATTATAATATTTCGTATTTTCCTGTCAAAATAACTTTGTTAAATGTGTGAAACGAGAAAACACGAAAAATAATTTGAAAGTAATAAGAAAGAAAACGAATCGCATTTGTGATTTTATTTTTGTTTTTATTATAATATGTTTTCAGCTCAACGTATATTTTCGGAATTTAACTAATGTGATTTAAAATAATTTTACACATTATTTGTATACGTAATCATTATGAGCGTTTACGTCTCGCCTGGCAAGACAAGCAATGTTATATATATGCATAATTATTCATTGCTAACTGTACGTACACAAGCGGGTGGGGCTTTGTGTGTAAATGCGATTCGATCTCTGTTATTATTTCCAATTTATTTTTCTTTATACATGTGTTATTTAATACTGATGAAAGAATTGTAAGTACTACTAAATTTAATGGTGTAGTGAATGAATTGCAGAGTGAAAAAAGGATAAACCAAGAAACAGCCAAAACTATTCACACTTCACCAACCACACTTCATGCACGTCTATCTTCCTAGTCCGTTTTATTAACCTAACTAC